TTGGCCATATAAATTACTAGGCATTTATCTTAGTTAATCAAGATTCTTGTAGGATTTACAGGAAGAGCCCAAGAAACAAATCAAAATGTACTCCGATAGTAGCGCGTTTAATACACACAACATCGCTCTGTATGTATTACAAAAAAATATTCCACCCTGCACAATGAACATTTTTTTGTGTACTCACGAAGGACGGGAACTATGACAACAACTAGCCTAAAGAGGATCTTGTTTTATGCCAGCACTAAACCAAGATAAGGATTTTATGTATGCTCGACGTATTCTCGGATATTGTCAAAGTCGTAAACAAAGTTCTTTAAAAGAGCCCCCTGCTTATTATCAACCCGGGCATCTGTGATGGAGACGCCAAGCATACACATACTAGTGAGTGTGTGTGTGTGTGTATCTGCGAGTCTGCTATACCATCCAGCTATAGCATATATTCGGGCATTGTGCCTGCCCGCTCTGTCTATGTGCCTGCCAAGCGATGTGAATGCTTTTCTGATGACCTGACAATGCAAAAGCGAAAGCACCACGACCGACAACCCTCTTCTTCGGTCGTGACGTCACACTTGTGTGTGTGTGTGTGCGAGCAAGTTTCGTATTGTTCTCGGGATTCGGTAAACTTCTCTTCGTGCTTTCGCAGGGAATTATTCCAGCCCCGTCGGAATTAACGTTTCTGATACAATTGAAGGAAGATTCGAAGCCGCTTTGAAAGGGGAGAGTCGCGCTCAACTCATACCGAAGATCTATATTGATAATAATATGCATAAATAAGATTCTTATACAATATGGTAGGGTCCAAATTAAGTTATGGCGATTTTGGTTTACTGAGCATTCTATACTTGTTCCCACTTCTTTGGTTTATACATTACTTTATTAATTAAAACTAAAGAAGGAGTAATCATCGCAGAATGATTACTATTATCATTCATACATCTGGTGGTATATCTGATATTTTCCTGCCTTTAGACCCTTTCATTAACTGTTTCTATTTGCCTCTTCGCCTGCGCCATTGATTCGCATGAAATAGGATTGCAATTCCCTTATGTAAGTACGCATTAACCGCGTCTCTCTCGTTCTCTCGCTTTTCGAATTTATCAGTTCTATCAATCATTCAACGTGTCAAAATAACCGCAGAGGGTCACAACAACATTTATTGCGGCCGTTTACGCTTTTATGGTAATAAGAACGTTCGTTATTTTTTCGGTGCGCTTTGTTTTTTTCGCCATAACAATGGCGTTATTTTCGAATGAAACATTATGGATGGGTTATTGTTGGCTATTGATTGGAGACGGGCGATTAATCAACCGTATTGGAGTATAACAAAAATCAAAACACTGGAGTTCCTTCCTCTCGAAAATGCGATTGCTTTCCTTCGAAAATTTTCACATTGTGTTACTTTTTTTTTTCGAAGAACGGCGGAATTCCAAAACGTTTTCGAAACGAATCAGAAATTCCGTTTAACTGCCATTCTCATTGTCTACTATCGTTGTAATGACTCTTTGAATGAATACTGTTGTTTGTTTGCTCGCCCGTTCGCCATGAAAATAATCATTGTTTGCCTTAATATCGAAATGCCACGTAAAACTTGAATAAAAAAGCGATTTCCTACTTCTTCTAATGACACCTCGTCGTGAAACGCTCGCTTAATGATTGATACGAAAAGTTTACGTTTTTTTCCTTCCGTTAATTGTTCGAAATAGTTACCAAAATACTTGTTACTTACCGACACGTCCACCTCTAATACCAATTAAAATTATCCCTTTAGAGAAGAAAAATGATGGTGTACTAGAGATGGGCGTTTATAAAAGTAATGTCACTGTTCCTTCAAATGAACATTACTATTCTACATAACATTTGTTCCTAATACAAGTTGCTTTCGTATATGTTATGAAATTATTTAGCCCCTCTATACGTACATACATGTAGTATTTAAATACTTACAAATGGTTCTGAATATAATTAAGTTAATATGGCAATTACCGATTCGATTGGGCGTTGGTAGGTAGTAGAGCAAGTCGTTTAAACGTCTAGTCCCTTTCCTCCTAATCTCGCTTTAATTAGAATGCTTTTACCATGGATGCGTTTAGAATTTCTATATAATGAAGTTCCGTGAAACGCATTAAGCGAAGAAAAGGACCCCCACTGTCGTCGAATTCCCCATCGCATCGCATTATTGCCAGTCATGCACGGTCGTGGTATTTTCATCCATCGAGGATCGAGGAATAAGGAATGAGTCATGGTCCGGCCGTGTAGTTATTGGACCCATGATTGGGTGCATTCATCCGCGAAGTATGATTTACCGTGATGCTTGTACAATTCAAAAAACACATTAGCGGAGGTAATAACTTACAGCTGTTTCTGTAATGTCTGCGGTCCGTCGGGCTGCGGTCGCTTCGGCTCTGTTCGTTATGTTTATTTGTTGCGCTATAGAGCTCTATTCGAACAATTTCTAAATAGACCTAAAACTTGCTCGCGTAATAACACGCATTTCGCGCACGAAAGTCGGTTATAGTTTTTTTTATTTTTTATTATTCCCTGTTTTTCGACCGGCGATGATGCTGGTTTTATGGAAATCGCCGCGCCCTCGGGGCAGGTGCGAAATTGCATTGCCGCAATTTACTCGCCGCGAAATTTCGTTAGTTCTCATCAAATTGCGTTAATTTTTTTACCTTTTTAACGAACGAAATGTGTTTTATCTAACTACTCCAAAGTCTTTAAATAACATGTAATTTCGCCTTTTTAATCTATTTCATGTTGCTCTTTCAATAGCAAAGTGAATTAGAAATTGTATAAAAAGTTGGATAAGTATCTATTATTCTTCCTTGGCACGCAAATTCGTATATTAGGAGCTAACAAAAGTACATTTTTGATTCTGAAGAGTTCTAAATGGTTCTTGACAATTCTGATTCATCCTGTATAGCAATCTAATTGAATCTAGAAAGTTTTAATTGTTCTAGATAGTACTAAATAATTCTAGACAATTCGAAATCATTCTGGATCGATCTAAGTGGATCTCGACAATTCTGATTCGTCTTGTAGCAATCTAAATGATTCTGGACTGTTTTCTAAATGATTCTTAACACTTCTGATTCGTCTTGAAGTGATCTAAATCATTCTGGATAGTTCTAAATGATTTTTGACAATTCTGATTCGTCTTACTAATTGATTCTAGACAGTTTTAATTCTTCTAGATAATTCTAAATGATTCTAGACAATTCTAAAATATTCTGGGCCGTTCTAAGTGGATCTCGACAATTCTGATTCGTCTTCAAGAAATCTAAATGATTCTTAACAATTCTGATTCGTCTTGAAATGGTACTGGACATTTCTAAATTAATGATTCTCAACAATTCTGATTCACATTAAAGAAAACTAAAAGATTCTGGGAAGTTGTAAATGATTCTCAACAATTCTGATACGCCTTGAAGTAACCTTAATGACTCTGGACAGTTCTAAATGAATCTCAACAATTCTGATTTTTCTTGAAGCAATCTAAATGATACTGGACAGTTCTAAACGATTAAAATAATGAGAGTAAATATAAAAATAATAAAAAGAGCATAACATTTTGTTTATAATTGAATATAGTAGTAAGTAATTCAAAATAAGTAGTATTATTTGTATTATAAAAATTGTGTTACACTAAGTCTCATGCGATAGTTTATCACTTCAACGCCCAGTATATAAATCAGTCTAGTTGATAGAAAATGTCGAAAATGAAAAGAAAAATTGCATTTAGACGTTAGACGAGAGGGCCTGACGGTAACAAAGCAGGGCGTCGCGTCTCCGTCGAGTGCATTTCGGAAAACGGGAGATTAGAAATTCGCTATCTTTTATGTAATAAGCGCCTTTATTGTTCCGTATTCTTTTCTGGCATAACAATGAAATTGTGCTCGACGTTTCGACCGGGGCCTACGTACAAGTACGGCATCAAAGCGATTGTTTCGCTGGTCGGTTCTTGTTATCTGCGACTACAACAAAGAAAAAACGAAAGAGTAATTTTAGTGGTTGATTGTAGCGAGAAACAGGAAATGCATCTTATGAAATAATACGTTTCTTTATGGCCGGCGTTTAATGAGCGGTGTTCGGTATGGTTTCTTATTGTTGTTAATCTAAAAATGTATGTGTCTATCTATACTCTTGCGTACGGGAGAATTACCTAACTAAGTGCTCGTTGCAGTTTATGTAACTATATTTCTTTTCTATATACATTTAATGCTTTTAATTCAAATGAAAATGCATTGTAGTTCGATTTCAGTTAGGGTGTCAAAGAGATTCAATTCGTTGATCTTCTAAAAGCGATCATTAAATGATTGAAAAAACTGTAAAATTTGCGTTCACAAACGTTCGAAATATGGTTATTTTTCTTGTAATGTTGACTGTCTAACTATTAGTGATAGTGCATTGAAATATATTAATAAAACGTGGCAATTAGATTAATTTATAAAGTTCTATGATGTTTTAGCTACAATATTGTACCACATTCACGAAAAATCCACGAAATCTAGTAATTGTCCTACTTTAGGAACACCTTGTATAAACATCCTCGTGGTTGTTATCTCGTCTTTGAACTTTATTAAGCTTAATCTTATCGTTTCCGTATGTAAGTGCGTTCAACACAAACGCCCCACATATCGAATATAGAGAGGAATTAACCGTACAAAATAACATGCTTGATGCACGCGTCGATTTCCCGGTAACCGATGATAATGTTCCTTATAACTTATAAACATCCATGGTGCTACCAACGTGCACCTACATGCATGTATGTTAGTTTAGTACAGTCGAGCGCAGCCTTTCTACTCGGAAATTCGTCGGCCTTGGCCACGTTATCTTCGATCGCCCTGTAGAAATCAAATAAACATTTTTCGTCAGTGGTCGGCCAGTCAACAATTCCCTGCCGTTTAACCGGCTTTCGAACAGGTCTCGGGCCCGACGTCGAGTTCACTGCGAAGCTTTGACGAATTCGGTGCGAATAAAAGTGCCGGAAAAATATGGTGCGAACCGATGGAAAAGTGGTGTGTTTTTTGGTGCTCGAAGACGGCACCGTCCTCACCGGCGAATCTTTCGGCGCGCAAAAAACCGTGGAAGGGGAAGTCGGTGAGTTTCGAGCGATTTTTTCGATCGTATGCGGTAAACGCGGATTTACTGAAAGCGGGTTTATTATGCTCGACCACGCTGCAACATTGAGGTTATAGATTATTGGTACTCGTTGCTCGGGATGGGATTTGCGTCGCGCGTTCGTGTCGCGTTCGTACGTTTTGAATTCTTTTTTATTTTTTTAATTCCGCCGGTCGATAAATTCTCGCCGAACACATGACGGTGTCGATTTCTTTGGTCGATTAAATTGTTATTGAAATCAGAGGCGTTGTAGAATGTATACAAAATTGTTTCGATCGATAAAACCTAATCGAACATATTTGCGCTTTAATTACTTTTATTGCTGTACTTAATTTTATTGTTATTGTTATATTGTCCCCAACTACACGGAGCGCTCTTTTCTACCTCGATTTTTCGTTGAAGGAGGGTCCCGGTTACCTGAGTTTTATCATTCTAAAAATTTATTCACCGAGTACTGTAAATTTTTAGTCGAAAAAAATACGCATTTATTAGAATTTGCAAACTACCTATATTATGACATTTTTTTTATTCTTTTCAGTTTTCCAAACTGGTATGGTCGGTTATCCCGAGTCCTTAACAGATCCAAGTTACCGTTCGCAAATTTTAATTCTTACCTACCCCCTAATCGGAAACTACGGGGTCCCGGAGCAAACGAAAGATGAACACGGGCTACCCTAGTAAGTCAATCTGTTTTACACGGTAAACTACCGAAATTAGGGTTGTACTATCAACTGACCCGTAACTTTCGAATAACAGACCCATTGTTATCTCCCAGTTATTGTTAATAAGGGTATAGTGTATAGATAAGTGCAAAATTGTTTGCAATATGGTCAATTCTGTGAGTTGAGCGAAGAAGGATTATTAAAATAATAGTGGTTAGAGTGAGAAAATTGCAATCCCACAATATCACTCTTTCTTCTTCCTTTATACAGGGTGTCTTATAAGTTGATACTTTACTGCGTGTAGATCTTTTAATTCTAAGCAACTTTTTCAAGTAAAATTTTTTAATATTCTGGAAAATAAGAGAGCATGTTTTTTTTTCAATTTTTAAATATTAAAAAGTTAGTTTATACGGTCCTGTTCATTAAAAGTTAAAGGGTTAAAGTTAAATTGCTCAAAATTGTCGGCTTTTGATTGGAGAAGCTTTGGAAACACTCTCCATAAACAATCAATCCATTTTATTTGTTTATAAAGATGAGCCATTTTCAATTTAACAATCGAAAAATTAATTTTTTGTCATTAATTATTGATTATTGTTTTGACACCTGTATTGGTAATGGCAGGCACGTATTGGAAATTATTCGGAATTTAAAGAAATTTTAAAAATGTCCAGAATACTAAAAAAAATTACTTGAAAAAGTTGCTTAGAATTAACAGATTTAAACGCAGTTAAAAAAAACTATCAACTTATGAGACACCCTGTAAATTATCTTTGTTGCACCCATAAACCACAAATTTACACATATCTGTATGCATAGTAGAGAGTTCGGGATGAGCGATAGCTCTGTCGACTATCATGCTTTACTATGTATTAATTATTAATTTTTTTGTTTAGTTTTTTCGAATCCAGCCGAATATGGGCGTCGGCGCTCGTGGTCGGGGAGCACTGCGATTTCCCGAGCCACTGGCGCAGCTCCAGAACCCTATCCGAATGGATGGCGGAGGAGAACGTACCGGGAATCCAAGGGATCGATACGAGGCAGCTGACGAAGGTGATCAGAGAAAAGGGTACCATGTTGGGAAGAATCACCTACAATTTACCCGCTCCCGATCGTCCGATCGCCGATCCTAACGCGAGGAACTTGGTCGCCGAGGTGTCGATTAAAGTGAGATTAATCGAGTCGAGTTAATTACGTAGAGGCGACTAATCGGCGTGTTTTTTTTTTAAGGAACCGATCACGTACAATGCGAAAGGATCCCCGCGAATTTGCGCCGTCGACTGCGGCCTCAAATACAATCAACTGCGCTGTTTGATTAGCAGAGGGGCGAGGGTGGACGTCGTTCCGTGGAATTACAGATTCAAAGTCGACGATTACGACGGGTTGTTTTTGAGCAACGGTCCCGGCAACCCGGAAATGTGCACAGAAACCATAGCGAACATACAATCTGCCATAAACGGCAAAGCCACCAAGCCGATTTTCGGCATATGTTTAGGCCATCAGCTCCTCTCCAAGGCCATCGGCTGCCTCAGCTTTAAAATGAAGTAATTATATCTTCCCATTCGTATTCTACGTTGCTAAAAATCTCGTTTTAGGTACGGAAACCGCGGTCACAATCAACCCTGCGTGCACCACGACACGGGCAGGTGTTACATGACATCGCAAAACCACGGTTTCGCCATCAAGTCCATACCAGAAGGCTGGCAACCGCTATTCACGAACGTCAACGACGGCACCAACGAAGGTATAATCCACACGACTCGGCCGTACTTCAGCGTGCAATTCCATCCCGAGCACACGGCCGGGCCGCAGGACCTCGAGAAGCTCTTCGACGTCTTCCTCGAAGCCGTCAAGCTCGGCCCGACCGTCAACGTTCGCGATCTAATAACGGCGGCGCTCAAATTCAACGTGGAGAAACCGTTCTCCATGAGCCTGCCCAAGAAGGTCCTCATCATAGGATCCGGCGGGCTGTCGATCGGCCAGGCCGGCGAGTTCGACTACTCCGGCTCGCAAGCCATCAAAGCCTTGAAGGAGTCCAACATCCAAACGGTCCTGATCAATCCCAACATCGCCACAGTGCAAACCTCCAAAGGTCTGGCGGATAAAGTGTACTTCCTGCCGCTGGTGCCGGAGTACGTGGAGCAAGTCATCCGCTCGGAGCGGCCCAGCGGCGTGCTTCTGACCTTCGGCGGCCAGACCGGCCTGAATTGCGGCGTCGAGCTCGACCGGCAGGGCGTCTTCCAGAAATACAATTGCAAGATCCTCGGGACGCCCATACAAGCGATCATCGACACGGAGGACCGCAAGGTGTTCAGCGAGCGGATATCCGAAATCGGGGAGAAAGTGGCGCCCAGCGTGGCCGTGCACTCGGTGAAGGAGGCGCTGGAGGCGGCCGAGCAGCTCAGCTACCCGGTTATGGCGAGGGCGGCGTTCTCGTTGGGCGGTCTGGGCTCCGGATTCGCCAACAACGCGGATGAGCTGAAGAGTTTGGCCCTGCAAGCGTTGGCTCACTCGAATCAATTGATCATCGATAAATCGTTGAAAGGTTGGAAGGAGGTCGAGTACGAGGTGGTGAGAGATGCATTCGACAACTGTTTGACGGTTTGTAACATGGAAAATGTGGATCCCCTGGGAATACACACCGGGGAATCGATTGTGGTGGCCCCGAGTCAAACGTTATCGAATAGAGAATACAACATGCTTCGATCGACGGCTCTGAAAGTCATCCGGCATTTTGGTATAGTAGGAGAATGTAACATCCAATACGCTTTAAACCCGCATTCAGAAGAATATTATATTATCGAAGTGAACGCTCGGTTATCCAGATCGTCGGCTTTAGCTAGCAAAGCTACTGGGTATCCTCTAGCTTACGTTGCTGCAAAGTTGGCTTTGGGGATTCCCCTTCCGAACATCAACAACTCCGTGACGGGAAACACCACGGCTTGCTTCGAGCCGAGTTTGGATTACTGCGTGGTCAAAATACCCAGATGGGACTTGCACAAGTTTACCAGAGTGAGCAGTAAAATCGGCAGCTCGATGAAGAGCGTCGGTGAAGTTATGTCCATAGGCAGGAAGTTCGAAGAGGCGTTTCAGAAAGCCTTGCGCATGGTAGACGAGAATGTGACAGGCTTCGATCCGTACCTGAAGCCTGTCAACGACGAAGAACTGAAAGAACCCACCGATAAGCGAATGTTCGTGCTGGCGGCGGCTCTCAAACAAAACTACACCATCGAGAAGCTGTACGAACTCACCAAAATCGACAAGTGGTTCCTGCAGAAGATGAAGAACATCATCGATCACACGAACCTGCTGGAGACGTTCGACCAGCACAGCTTGACCGACAGCACGTTGCTGAAGGCGAAGCAGCTCGGCTTCTCCGACAAGCAAATCGCCTGCGCCGTGAAGAGCACCGAGCTGGCCATTCGGACGCAGCGCCAGGAGTGCCGCATCACGCCCTTCGTGAAGCAAATCGACACCGTCGCCGCCGAATGGCCCGCCACCACCAACTACCTGTATCTGACCTACAACGCGTCCGGCCACGACGTCGCCTTCGCCGAGGAGCACACCATGGTGCTCGGATCGGGCGTCTACCGCATCGGCAGCTCCGTGGAATTCGATTCGTGCGCCGTCGGCTGCCTGAGAGAACTGCGAAGGATGAACGTCAAAACGATCATGGTGAATTACAATCCGGAAACCGTCAGTACGGACTACGACATGTCGGACCGGTTGTACTTCGAGGAGATCTCCTTCGAGACTGTTATGGATATATACAACCACGAAAACCCGAACGGTATAATATTGTCGATGGGCGGGCAGCTTCCGAACAACATAGCGATGGATCTGCACAGGCAGCAAGCTCGCATACTCGGCACGTCGCCGGATTCCATCGACGGCGCCGAGAACCGCTTCAAGTTCTCCCGCATGCTCGACAGGATCGGCATCATGCAGCCCAGATGGAAGGAGCTGACCAATCTGAAGTCGGCCGCCGAGTTCTGTCGCGAAGTCGGCTACCCGTGCCTGGTGCGGCCGTCGTACGTGCTCAGCGGCGCCGCCATGAACGTGGCGCACTCCGACGAGGACCTCGAAACGTACCTGAACGCCGCCAGCTACGTGAGCAAGGAGCACCCGGTGGTCATCTCCAAGTTCCTGCTCGAGAGCAAGGAGATCGACGTCGACGCGGTGGCCTGCGACGGCGTCATACTCTGCATGGCCGTGTCGGAGCACGTCGAAAACGCCGGCGTCCACTCGGGCGACGCGACGCTCGTCACGCCGCCGCAGGACATCAATTCGGAGACGCTGGCGAAGATCAAGCACATCGTCAAGTCCATAGCGGCTTCGCTGGAGGTCACCGGGCCGTTCAACATGCAGCTGATCGCCAAAGACAACGATCTGAAGGTGATCGAGTGCAACGTTCGGGTGTCCAGGTCGTTTCCGTTCGTTTCGAAGACGCTCAACCACGATTTCGTGGCGATGGCCACCAGGGTGATAATGGGCGAGGAGGTGGATCCGGTGGATGTGCTCCACGGGTGCGGAAGGGTCGGCGTGAAGGTGCCGCAGTTTTCTTTCTCCAGATTGGCGGGCGCGGATTTCATGCTGGGCGTGGAAATGGCCTCGACCGGAGAGGTGGCTTGCTTCGGGGATAACAGATACGAAGCCTATTTGAAAGCCATGATGAGTACAGGGTTTAGCATACCACAGAAAAGTATACTGTTGTCTATTGGGACGTTTAAGGTAAGCATTAATACAACTGATGATGATGTTAATGCTAGAGCTGGTCTACTAGAAAATATGTAGTAGCAGTTATGTTTACTTACTTGATGTAATTTTGGATTTGGTATAAATTAAAGGGTTATTTTTAGCACAAAATGGAGCTGCTGCCGAGCATGAGGGCCCTTCAAAAAATGGGTTACAAGCTGTACGCCAGTTTGGGAACGGCCGATTTCTACAACGAGCACGGAGTCGAGGTGAGTGCTTGAAAATTAGAGTTTCGCTTAAAAAATAATTTTTAATTTAGTAGCAATAAATAGTACTATTTACAATTCAAAATTAACCGTTTTATCTACAATTCATTAAGAAACATTCAGCGCTAATCAATCGCTTAAAGAGACTCTAACTTGACAGTTTTACATTGTTGTTATGGAGTAATTAAGGACATTGTTTATCTTCACAGTTTCAGATTGTTGTTATGGAGTTACTAAGAACAATGTTTACGTTAAGGAGACTCTTTAAGTGATTGATTACCGTTAAAAAATACGAGCCAAAAAATCTTATTCTCGGTGATCTTCCACAAACATCACACTCTTCCTGGGCGCCTTTTTCTTCTCAAATTCCGTTTTTCCGTTGGTTTTACGCACCTCTTCGATGAATTTAACGTTCGTCAGCGTACCGTTCGCTAATTTTCGATTCGTCTCCATTTCGCCGAGCCGGCCTTGCAATTCCTCGATGTCCCCCAAGTACTTGAGGACGTCTTGAGCGAACGACGGGCTTTCGTCTTTCAAGATCCTCGTCAAGTAGAAGGCTTGTTTGATGTAGAAAGTCGCGGTTTTCGACGATACCGGCAGGCATTTTTCGGCTATTTCCAAGAACGTTTCGATGAAGAACATCAATATTAATCGCCTCTTGTAAATGTCCAAGGTCTTCCCGAAGTCCCACTGGAAATTCAAACGAAACGGAATGTTATTTGTGTTTATAATCGGTTCTTATTTATATTGTTTTCGAAAATATTTATCGAATGTTTTTAATATAATTGCGTCTAAATTTTAGACTTGAACAGATAATATTATCGAGTAGAAATGTTGATTTTTTGTTCAATTAAACTTTGAGCTAACGATTTTCAACTTGCTATAAATGATTCTACATTACTATAATATCTATTACTAGTATCTTATTTGTGTAATTCGATGAGTGTTTCGGTCTAATATTTTATAGAATGATTTAAATTAACTTACATTTAAGTCGATAGAATCGACGGATCCGCGCCTTTCGTCGTTGATCTTCTTCTCCGCCTTCTTCCGCTCCTCTTCCTGCCGTTGCTTGAATATCGCCTGCCTCTTCTTGCCGTCTTTGAACTGCTCGAAGTAATTGCTCTCGGGCTCGGGCCCGCGGAGCCGCCGGGGATTGACCATTTGCGCGTTGGTGGCGGCCAGGGCGCTGCCGGTGAGGATCCGGTGCAGCTCCTTGAACTTGAACGGCTGGAAGAACGTCCTGCCGCTGGCGTACCGGAGGCTGCGGAGCGCGCGCATCAGGTGCATCAGCGGCGATTGCAGGATCTCGTCGAACGCCTCCTGCGCCTTGCGGATCTTCGGTATGGAGACGTCGCCCAAGGTGTTTTTGTCGTTGACGAAGAAGTCGGAGATCTTGGGGCGGGCTTTCGACAGGTGGTCGTTGAGGTTTCGGATGAGTTGCAGGAGTTTCGTGCCGAGCCGGTGCTCCGGCCAGTCGGCGTAGTTGGATTCGCATTCCCACAGCATGAAATTCCTGATGTGGTCGGTTTGTAGTCCAAGAAACGTGGTCTTGGGCTCCACGTACATCTTGTGGAGCGTGAGTAGGACGAGCATGCATTTGATTTGCGCGTGGGACATGAAGGTTTCCAAGTATCGCTGCGCCTGCGGGAAGCACAGCTCCCATTCGATGTCGAAATCTTTCTTGTCGCCTTTCTTTTTCAAGTGGCCTTTGGGCAGCAGCACGCACTCCATCGATTGTATGTCGTCTATCATTTTGTTCGTCGGGAAAACGTAGCGTTTTCGGGGTTCGGCCGTTCGCTTGCCTTTCATTATGAATTTCAGCGTTTGCTCGACGGGCCAGTTCGCTTTTATGCAGGGCATTATCTCGTACGGGACGGTCCTGGAGGATTCCTCCACTGTGCAGAATATCTTCTCGTTCGTCACGTTTACGTTTCCGACGCGTCCGAAATCCAAATCCGCGGCCACTTCGTTCATGAACACGTCGTTTTTGTACCGTTTCTTGAAACCCTTGGTGTTGACGTAAGCGACGATTTGATAGAGATCGTTTTCCTGTATATCCTCGCCGAGCGTGTCGTCGGCGTCCCAGGAAATTTTCTTGACTTTCCTGTAGGAAAGGCACGTGTCCAGCAGGCGGTCGCGTTTCTCCAGGCCGCGCAGGATCTCGATGGGTTTGGGCGTCTTGAGGTCCTGCAGTTCCTTGTAGTAATTGGTGTCCGAGGACTCCTCCGAGCTTCTCGATATCGATTCCTGCTGGCTGAGCTGTGGGATCGGCGATTGGCCTTCGGCGTCCGGTCGTTGATTGGTGTTTATTGATCTTAATCGAACGTAACCTGCAATTGAGTTTCGGGTTTAGCGATTTAACTGGCCGGTTTGGAAACTCTACAAGCATACGGGAGTTAATCGATCATTGAAGTGGTTAAAATTTAACAATCGGGGCTTAATTGAGGTGACATATTATTATATTTTTATCAATAACTGTCGATTATTTTGATCAATTGATTATACATTTTTGGTTTGTTATTCAACCAATATTATTAATTTACTACTTGTACTATTTAATAATAAGTATCGATTACTTGTTTTAAATAGAACTGATGGAAATAAATCGAGATGAGATTAGTATTCTGAAGTCGATGCGAGTACAAGAAAAATTAATTTCGATAAAATTATTGCAGATCGAATAAGATAAGTATTATGTAAATACGTGAATCTGACGTATGTAAGAGTATTGTTAACTGATTAATGTATTTTTTTTAGAATTAAGGAAAAGGTATATCAAAAAAAATATTATCTATACCTATTATCATATTATTTAATTGAATAAAAATTTTACGATTCCTGGAACTCTTATAATTTTGCTCTTAAATTTCACTCGTTCAAAGATCGAAAGCAATGCATTTTTGAAAACAATGTATGCCATATTAGGTGATAGGCTAATTTTTTTTGTCAATTACTCGGAATTATAACCACTTTCTCCATACATTGATTGGATCAACTTCCTGTTAAGATTTACTATCTTGAAATAAAATTCAAAATGGAAGAATAATGGTTAAATTTTTTAGAAATGAATTAATCTTGATCTGCTACTGTTATCTTTATATTACTATTGAAAATTGAGTCGAAAAGTTTGAATGAAAGTTTAATTCCTCTACACTAACACTCGAGTGATTAGAGATTAGTGATAATCTGATTGTTTTATTCCGTCTTCAACAAAACCTTCAGTAGTCATTTCCAAGCGTTTATTATAGAAATTTCCAAACTTAACACACCTTTTTTTTGAGATTCTTCTATTCTAACAACAGTTCTATCATCGTCCTCCTCCACTTCCTCCATTGATCCCACTACTCTCACTTCATCGCTCAACGCGAACACTCTCCTGGCCGCTAAGGGCACGGAACTGTCCTTTTGAGGGCCGTGGTGAGGCCGATAAATTACATTCTGCCCGACTTTTTCCAGTATCACGTCCGGAATTACGTACTTTCCGGATTTTTTTAACAAGTCCCTTTTCAGATCTTCCCTTTGTCTGTAAAACAAATCGCGGAATTTACTATCGTTTTATTGCGATCAAGTTTCGGATGAATTAAATGTACTATAGTATCTACATAAATATATCTGCTAATTATAAATTATAAATGTTCTGCGTGATAGCATTTAGGCGATTGTGTTGATTGCATGTATGTGATAATTGTTCGTTTAAATTGTTTTTGATCAGAGCTTCAATAAATTTAGTTAAATTGATAATTATATAAAAATTCGAAATTGTAGGATTTATAAAACGATATTATCTCGATTTGATTAAAAGATAGAGCGTATTTATTTTTGTTAAACGAACTAAATATTCTTTACATCGCTGTTTATTATCATTTCCTATTTTTAATTTATCTCTTCTAAAAATATTTTCTGTTTTTTGCAAGTTTCTCATCGACACTTACTGTGCGTAATTCTCGAAAAACATAATGCCCATTAACATGTTATTCAACACGAACACGTCCGGAGTTTCATTGAAATCCCTTTTGATATCGTTGATGTATTGTCGATCAGCCGCACTAATACTGTCCTCGTTTGCACCGTTCACCGCCCGATTGTCGCTCTCGCCTCTGAGATGCCTGGCAAGGGCGGACTCGACCTCCTGAGGCGCTGCCTTCGAATGGCGGACGCCCATTTCGTTTTGCACAGGAAAATCCGTTCGGAACCGCCCGATTTACCGCATTTTAACACTCGACGTGCACACAGCGCGAATGTAGACCGTGGAACGACCGATGGCGTTTATCAGGCCGATTTCTGGAAGCACTTATATTTGTCGAATTATCAGCGACAACTTGTTTTGATACTGATACGCGCTTACATCTTTCCAATTGATCTACTGGAATTTTGTACCTGTAATGCTACGAGTACACGAGACAATCGTTAATAAAACACCTAGTAATTACAAAGGAATTATCTTGCTTTTTAATTGACTACTCCTAGCTAGTGTACGTTAATGCTTGATAAACTAAAATAGCTCGTTGCCTTTGCGTTTTGTTCAGGTGGAATCGGTGCAATGGACGTTCGACGACATCACCTCCAAAGGCGAATTGAAACCGCTGGCGGAGTTCCTGGCCAAAAAGCAATTCGACCTGGTGATCAACCTGCCGATGAGGAACGGCGGGGCGCGTCGAGTGTCTTCCTTCATGACCCACGGCTACCGGACCAGAAGGGTGGCCATCGATTATTCCATTCCGCTCATCACCGACGTTAAATGCGCCAAGCTATTAGTCGAGGTGATTGTCTACCAATACTATTCGCTTGATTTGTATTGATTTCGTAATGTATGTAGGCCATTCGTATCATCGGTAAAGCGCCGCCGATGAAGACCCACACGGATTGCATCAGTTCCCGGAACATCATCAAACTGCCCGGGTTCATCGATACGCACGTGCACGTCCGAGAACCGGGCGCTACCCACAAAGAGGATTATTCTTCGTGCACGGCTGCCGCCCTCGCCGGCGGCGTCACCCTCATCTGCGCCATGCCCAACACCAATCCCGCCGTCGTCGATGAAGAATCCTTCGCTTTGGTGAAAAAACTGGCCAAGGAAGGCGCTCGATGCGATTACGCCGTCTTCGTCGGTAAGATAAACCAATACTTCATCCTTTAGTAGCTCGAATTGCTGACTAATCCTGAACAGGTCACCATCGATCTAGTCCTTAATTGATCTTGGAACGGTTCTATCCTTCACACGGTCCTATATTTCTAAGATCTGGAAGCATAGGTCGAAAAATTTGAGGATAAAAAGATATATTTGAGGATAAAACAGGGTTCCTATAACGGCCGCTGGAGGCGACGTTGTAAAGGACCACGGTTTTTAAATTAGCTTTAAGAAAGGTTATATTCAAACTAAAAATAGATACATTATATAAAATTATACTTAAATCAGCGATGATTTTGTTGTTATCATTATGCCTCACTTATCTTCGGTTAATGTATTTTCGGTTCCATTTTTTTTCTAGAAATGTCAAATAATAATTTTTGAAGTATTGACAGCTTGAACTGTCATTTCAGACAACCGCGATTTATATGTAGCGCGACGCTGAGATAAGTTGGTCCTCCGATCGTTCGCCACGGTGCGGCGCAAAAGTGAAGCTCAAAAAGTCCTCAAATAACGGGAAACATTCTCTAATGCATAAGCATAGGGAGTTTCCAGACCTTAGAAATATGAATGTAAAGAAACGTGTGTGAAACGACAGTTCAAGCTGCCAAAAAAATATTTTTTTACATTTCGAGGAAAAATGGAGAAATACATTAACCGTGATACGTGATCATCGCTAATTTAAGTATATTTTTATATTTTGCATATATATTTAGTTTGAATAAAACCTTTTTTAATGCTAATTCTATAATTCGTACGCAAAAAACCGTGATCTTTTACAACATCGCCTCCTAGCGGCCGTTTTAGGACCCTGTTTTATCCTCAAATAACGGGACACTTCTTAGACCTTAGAAAAATACGATCGTACTTCAAGCATTGCGTTGTCTTGCAGGAGCATCGTCGGACAACACCTCGACCATTTCCGACCTGGCGGCGGAAGCGGCGGCGCTGAAGATGTACCTGAACGAAACGTTCACCACTTTGCGGCTGCGCGATCTGGACGTGTGGACGAAACACTTGGCGAATTGGCCGAAGAGGGCGCCGCTGTGCGTGCACGCCGAACGTCAAACCACCGCCGCCGTGATACTGTTGGCCAGCCTGCAGAACCGGGCCGTGCACGTGTGTCACGTGGCCAGGAAGGAGGAGATACTGCTGATCAAATCGGCCAAGGAGAAGGGCTTGAAGATCACGTGCGAGGTGTGCCCGCACCATTTGTTCCTGAGCACCAACGACTTGGAGAAGATCGGGGCGTCCAAAAGCGAGGTTTGTACTTTGTACTTTGCCTTTGAGACCTTAGTTTGTCTTATATAGATGTCTCCATAGCGATGGAGAGCCGTTATGCAAGTACCGGGTAAGATTAGGCTTGTGAATTCTTGCTGTTAGACCAATGAAATTAAATGAAACATAAGTAAAATCACTTCAAAGTCTTCAGATGATATACAGTACATTTACAAAGTTCAAATGAAACCAATTCCTAGTACATACACCGGATCTACCAACTTAAAGATTAGATAATGCAATACAAATATTCGATACAATTCTATTCAAACTCGATTGCATACATTAAAAAAAATGACCAGTCGAACATAAAGTAGTTATCATTCCCTTCGCCTTGAACATTCCCCTCTAGCAATGCCACTCAATCTGCGACTCTTTCGATTCAGGTGCGACCGGTGTTGTGCTCGCCGGAGGACCAGCAGGCCCTGTGGGACAACCTCCACGTGATCGATTGCTTCGCGACGGACCACGCGCCGCACACCGTCGAGGAGAAGCTGAGCGAGAAGCCGCCGCCGGGCTTCCCCGGCTTGGAAACCATCCTGCCGCTGCTGCTCAACGCCGTCAACGAGGGTCGCATGACCATCGAGGATCTGATCAACAAGTTCCACAAGAACCCCAAGAAGATCTTCAATCTGCCCGAGCAGGCGAACACCTACGTGGAGGTCGACATGGAGGAGGAGTGGGTGATACCCCAGGCGATGGCCTACAGCAAGGCCAAATGGACTCCTTTCGCCGGGAAAAAGGTGGATTGGTTGAATCCTTTTGGGTGGTTCCTAGTATCTAATTCTCGTTTTTATAGGTTAAAGGTTCGGTTCATCGAGTGGTGCTTAGAGGAGAGGTGGCCTACGTGGAAGGACAAGTGCTGGTTCCGCCGGGTTTCGGACAGAACGTGAGAGATTGGGATAAACGATTGTACAGCGCTTCGGTGGAAGTGAGCAGACCTTCGTCCACGTTAACTTTAGACAGACCGGCTTCGCCTTACATGCAGATGGAGCAGGACGACGTTCAAACGAACGAAATATTCTCCAAACTTCTCGCCACCGAAGGCAAGGTTCACTTCGCTCAGGAACCGCCGCAAACGTTCGACTCCAGGCAATCGTAATGTTCGTACAATTCGTTACAAATCCAGTCTAAATTCGTTTTCCTCAGGTTACTGTCGCCTATTCCTCCGAGGGTACGAACGGAGAGCTTCTCCAAGCAGAAATTAGAGCCGACGCAACTGGAGCTTGGGCAGGTGCACCACGCTCAACCGCATCACTCTCTCGTGCACAAGCATATCCTCAGCGTGGATATGTTCAGCAAAGATCAGCTCAACGATATCTTCAATTTGGCTCAAACTTTTAGAGCGTACGTTACCAAGGATAGACCGTTGGATCAAATCCTTCGTGGTAAGTAACAGGTTTATTACCGATATATTTTATTAATTGTGAATTTTAAGGTAAAATCATGGCGTTGATTTTCTACGAAGCTAGTACCAGAACTAGTTGCAGTTTCGCTGCAGCGATGCAACGACTAGGCGGTAGAGTTATCTATATGGACGAAGTCAGTTCTTCGGTGAAAAAAGGCGAGACTTTGGAGGATTCCATTGGTGTAATGGCTGGATACGCAGACGTTATAGTCCTCAGGCATCCACAACCCGGTTCAGTGCTGGTAAATACACCTACAACCACCCTAAATATCGTCTTAATTCGTGTAAAAATCAATCTAGAAAGCCTCGCAGCACTGCCGCAAGCCGCTGATAAACGCAGGAGACGGCATCGGCGAGCATCCCAGCCAAGCTCTGTTGGACATATTCACCATCAGAGAAGAAATCGGTACCGTTAACGGGCTGACGATAACCCTGGTGGGAGATTTGAAGAACGGCAGGACCGTTCATTCTTTAGCCAGGCTTCTGACGCTCTACAACGTCCAGTTGCGATACGTCAGCCCGCCTTCGTTGAAGATGCCCGCTCACGTTACCGAGTTCATCAGATCCAAGGGCATCTCGCAAGAGGAGTTCAATTCATTGGAGGAGGTGTTGCCCGATACGGATGTTTTATACATGACCAGAATACAGAAGGAGAGGTTCAGCAACCAGGAAGAATACGACAAAGTACGTGATTGTAAACGTGTCGGTATTAATATTAATTGATTGTTGTTTTTAGGCTTGCGGTCATTTTGTGGTGACGCCTAAGCTGATGACGAGGGCTAAGAGAAAGATGGTGGTCCTTCACCCTCTGCCTAGAGTGTTCGAGATCAGTCCAGAGTTCGATACCGATCCGCGAGCGGCCTATTTCAGGCAAGCGGAGTGCGGGATGTACGTCAGAATGGCGCTCTTGGCGTTGGTGTTAGGTAAATGTTAGGTGCTCGATGACTTGTAATTTTTTTTAATAAACTTTTGAACCAAGTAGTTGCTCACGGAAAATGTAATGGTCGGTGATACGTGCTTATCGCAGGCCGTGTGCATTTGAAATATTTGCGATTATTCAATACACCTCTGTGGCATTTAATTAATGATAGCGAAGTTGATAGAGGCTCGACATTAGAGATAACGACCACTTGTAATAATTAATATGCGGTTAAATTACATACACTCTATTTAATACGCTAAATTCAGTCTTGGAAATTAAGACGTAATACAATAGATACAATATCAGACATATTTTACAGAATAAATAAGATTAAAGCGATAAATAAATTGGAATTACATAACCATTGCGGTGATTAGAAGATATTGTTTACCATGTTCACGCACTATTTATAACAATTTATAGTTTATACAAAAATAAAAACGATTGTATCACATCAAGCGAGAGAACCCGAACATTCGCCCACGTGCATTTTATCCAAAATGGAATTTTGATCTTCTCTAAGCGCCCGACCCACGATCGGCAAAGGAAGTTTCAGTTTTAGTTTCCTCTTTGGCTTAACTTTGGAATTTAACTTTTGAAGTTTCCTGAAACAACAGACTTATAATCAGTTTGTTATCGCCTCGGTACATTCCTTTATTATCCTCCGTATAAGTAGTTTTAAAAGATACTTATTCAAAAGATATAAGGCGATTCAACTTACTCCTGTCTACAATCGATAAATACTGCTATAACAAATAACAAAGCTATTGCTAATATGGCTGATATCACAAATACGATCACTGTGGTAAGTTGTTTAGATTCAGAGTCTTCTGTATCTTGTGCGATGGAAGGTCCGGTGGAAATTTCTGTAACAAAAAATACCTCAATTTACTACCTGTCTACTCCAATTCGCGTTGAATTAAAACAGATAAGAATACTCACTAGTTTACAATCCGAATTTACCCTTTCGTTTGTCATAATAGCCGTATTTGGCGTATTGTAAATAAGAAAAGGCGTTGCCTAAGAAGCATCCTGCTAGTGCTCCGTAACAACAAGGAATAGGCCAGTCTTGGTAGGGTCTATTCCAATCTAATGGTATGATAATGGCTCCTAACCAAGCACCGAACATACAAAACCGTATGTTTAATAACAAGTGTTCTTCTAACTTATTCCCTTCGAAATTTAACAACGAGGTGAATAAAGTGTATACGTAATCAGCGTCTAAGTACAAGCATATCGGTAGAACAGTTAATACGGTCATTAATATAGCGAAAAATAACGTTGCGTATTGTTCGGTTAAAAAGGGAGCTCCGAATAGAATTGCACCGACGTGAAATGTTATAAGCATAAAGCATAATGATAATATCGATTTGAAAATACTTCCTAGTTTAAATCTTCTCTTAGCGCTCTTTTGTGCACGGTAAAAACGGTAATATTTCCAAAACTCGGCCAGAACCAACACATTCTCCATGTAAGTATTTTGTTTTCCTATGCTATACAAGTTTCCGGTGTAATTTAAGAAGTAGACGATACCGGGCAAATATAAGCAAGTCAAGAGATTGTTGGATTTCAAAACTTTGTAAGCTTCCAGTGGAATATCCATTATTTTCAATTTTCAATAAAAATCTTCCACACAATTCAATAACCTAAAAACAAAATACGTCTGTGACATATGACATGTGACGGAATTTTGACAAGTCTTGTAGCCAACTTTGTAAATAGAAAATCTCCGGTAACCAGAGTGAAGTTAGTTGCATACTGCATGAACGAATCGAAAATTCAAATATTTATTTATTCCAGCATTGTATAATTTCGTGGCAAAAAATAGTACGTATTGTAGAAGTTGAATTAACCTTGTATTTAAAAAACATATGGTAAGACTCATAAAATTTTACAACCCATAATAAAAAAATTAAATTCGTTCATACCTGGCGATAAGAGTTAATGTAATAATTAATTATTGTACCTAATTAAGTTAATATGTATGCTGTAGGTGTATTTAAAGATACTTAGAACAAAGAAAGATTAATTAAATATCAGTGGGTTAAGGAGAGAACGTTGCACTTCCACAATATGATTCTTTATTTTTCCTTTATATGGGACTAATGGAAACTGTCTTTGTTGCACTCGCAGACCATATTGCAAAAAAATTTGCACTTATCTGTATACTCTGGGAAATACCCAGGCATTACTATAATACCTATTATTGATATTGATATTCTATATTCTAATTACGGGTAACAAATATGTTTTTAATAGATAAATTACCAATGATTACATTTTAATTGTACAATTAATTGGTGCTTTCAAATTATAACAACTCTCAAGATGACTTAGAATTTATTAGAAATCAAAAATGGATTAATTTTTGTTATTTTAATTCCTAAAGGATTGTATTTATAAAAAAGTTTTATCATTACTCATTCGCACAGTTTATTTATTATTCGAAACGTCAATTAGCATGAAATAATTTATAGATAAGACTAAAACATAGATATAGAAAAATTTTGATAGGAAAATTTATTTTCATTCCCAATAGAAACGAAACAAATACAGGGGGGCGTATTAATTTCAGTGGAAAACAATGATATCGCGGCTTATCTATCGGTCATAACATTCATTATTCCCTTGAAATAACTTTAAATTCGACTATTTCTAGTTACCCACAATACTAACCATTCATTTAATATTATTAAAATCTAATTCTACAACACAAACTCTTATAAATACAATCAGGCCTCACCTTTCATTAAATCCATCACACCACTAGTAGTAACTTCCATGCTTTCGAAAACGATGTGTTGTAAAAACCCGCATTAAAAAACCAGAAACGCGTCCAACGACTTCCTTCTTCGCTTCTTCTGCACCTCACCTCGCCAGCGATTTCTCCTCTCGACTAACTCAAACGACCATTCATAGATACCTAATAACGCCGCCGGTACCGGTCTTATCAATGGTACCGCATTGGTACCGATGATGATAGGAGACTCCTTGCGTGTCGCGCGGCCCGCTCGCACAAACCATGTGCACCTAATCTGCGTTCCGACGAGCAATCGCGTTTGGTGTTTCAAGAGGATAATATAGTTGGGGAGCTCGGTGGAGGTGCAGTGGGATTCATGAAACCGGTGTGATGTGGATACTCATTTTCTCTAGGAAAATATCTATTAAGTACCTGGTTATTGGTCGTTCATAACACCGTAAAATTATTATTTTTTATGGAAAAATACTTGCAGTCGAGTACCTATACTAACATTGTATCGGCTCCTTTACTACTATAAACGATTCTAATGAAACGAAACCAGTTAGAAATTTACGACGTCAGAGTTCTGACCGATCAGCTCTCAATTCGTATGAAATGTTTACGTTTAGTGGTGGAAAATCCGCAAACATAATCGCCATTTACTGCGTTTTTTTTAAATGAAATTGAAGCTCAATCGTGATCCCGACTGACGTCAGTCGACTGCCAAGAGAAATTATTATAACAATTAAATACACATTAAATCATTTATTTCTAATCGTTTCATCTAGCTGATGTGATGGTGGAATGGTCATTCCTCATCATCATGGATCATTCCTTATCAATGATTCATTTCTTTAGTCCTTAATCTTCTTCTTATACCTAAATATAACACCAATGATCACTGATTCCCAAGCTTCCTCATAAATTTTTTTGGAAATTTATCAACTACTTTATCACTTATTAGGCTATCACCAGGTACCTTGAATTTTAGCTGCCTAAATTGTTATTACAGCCAAGGTCAGTATTATTCTATCGGGGTCATTCTAATTTGGTAGGTGTAATTCGAACTTAATGCAAAGAATTATTAACTATTATCGTTTAATAATCGAAATTGCTACGTGGAAATAATTTGATGATAAAACGCCGGTGTTTATTAGCAGATTATTGTTACTGTTAAATCAGTGGCTCGTGGATGATAGCGAAATATACAATTAAAAAAATAATTTTACGAGTTTTGAATATATTAAGGATTTATCACGTTTTTACGCAAACGATGTATGTAAACATTGGGTTTAGTTTCCCTGTTTAGTTAACTAATCATGCAAAACAAAGTTGAAGGACGATTAATTTAATTGAATTTCACAGACCATATCAAGATTTATTATTAAACATACCGGGGAAATCGTGACTATTTTATTTTAATCGAATAGATTGTGTAGGTACCTGTTAAAAGTTATTTGCGTTGTGTGAGATTCCTTTTTAAAAACAATTTTATTGAAGTTAGTACTCGTCATAACTCTTTAGATTTTGTAAGATAAATAGGTAAAAATGCATAACAAAAGCTATCACAGACTAAAATTAATTTCGTTTATTTACTCTAGATGTTTACAAATTAACAAGTTATTAATCATTTTACACATATTTTCAACGCGACAAAACAATCAAAATACAAATATAGCAATGTTGATCGGTTTTGCAGTTGTGACTAGATTAAAAACTACGTTGTAGTTACAAAATGATATTATAATGAGGAAAAAAAAATAATTAAATAAATAGTTTAAACAATTATGTATAGTAAAAATATGTTGAACGATTTCAACGAAATCCCTTGAAATGTTGATAGGACTTGTAAGCGTCGTACGCGTAAATAAATCCCAGTACTGTTCCCATAAACTAAAAATAAATAGCCTTTCGTTTTATTTATACACTTTACGATACGTACAAGAGATTTGTTTAAAGATAAAAATATATTGTTCTTTATAAGAAGAAACGATTCTTCCGGAAATTTCCAACGGGTGACTTGGTACGATAAAAATAATGCCAATAATAAAAACAACAATTATAACAATTCGCGAACAATACATTGTGTATATGCACTAATCTCAGTTATTTATGTTATCGTTTCCTTTTGTCGTTTCGGTTAGACTAATACAAAACAAATTACTTCTATTTATCATAATTTCACTGCGCATTTAAAGTGTTATGCTACAGTAAGCCAAAGTAAATTTGAAGAAGAACACCCAACAATTGCTTAACGAATTTTACCCTTAATTAATTAGACTTAATTAGATTACTTACATAAACTGCGCTCATCGCCGGATACACTTGAAAAAACGGAGTAACGACGAACATGGGTTTCAAAACTGTATACACTGCCCAGCCTAAATAAGAGCACGAACCGAAATAGCTCAACGCCGCTATGCTGTTAAAAAGGGTCTCCTGAAATTGTTGATGATTGATGAAATAATTGCAATTAAGCCTCTAAAAATATACACTTACAAACAAAGAAGACTTGAGTAAATGCAGCGACTTTTGGGAAAACAAATAATTCAGCAACAGCAGAAAGCTGGTCAATAAACACCAAGATGCTGTCGATAAAAACGATTGATAGGAAGTTCCGATCGTTGATGAGTACGAAGATCCGAAATTCACTGCGAGCGTTTGGCAAAATAATCCCACTATCTAAAAACAATTTATTGTGTACCTATTTACAAGAAAAAAAATAGGAATGGTGCCAATTTAATTGGAGTGAATGAACTGCGCTACATCATTCATTCGTAAATTCGATAAAATAATAAAACTTACAGAACTTAAGCAATTTCTATTGTTCTAGAGATAGGATACAAAGGTGTACGAGTACTATTAGCTCCTGTAGCTTGCGGTGCTTCATTACCTTAAGCAATTTGCGAATTGAGTGCTGCAAAATTTTGTGAATTTAGTACTTACTATTTCGGCTAATTTGAGCACCCCGTCTTGAGTTTTCAACACTTGCAACTGAATACACGTGCAACAACGGCAGAAACAGCAAGGGATGCCGCCCTGCCCGCCCCCGCCCGGCATTGTAACAATCGTCGGTCCCCTCATCATGCTTCTGATAATTGTTTTTTATCCCGAAATCGAATTTAACAATCAAATTAACACAAATTTTCGAACGCGTTAGGCCCTATTGGCCGGGGATAGATGAATGCGAGTTTATTCACCGGCCGGGGGGCGACGTGGGTTCTGTTTGTGGCTTGTGCTCGACTGCTAATAAAGGGGGTACACGGCACACGACGCGCTATTTTTGGATACAGACTAAACGTCTACGCTTTCTTCCTGTGTGACATTTTTTAGATGCCTGGCGGAGGAAAAAACGGGAGGCGAAAAAGTGATTTTTTTCCTGCTAAATGTTTGTCGATTTCGAACGGAATCTCGACGAATTGTTTGCGTTCCGTTAAATCACAATTGAATTACAGTTATGTAAGTTGAATTAGTCAACAAAGGCGACATACATAAAGAGATGATATGCAATAAGTAGAAGCAAAAATTACGATATTTACTCAAGTCGTAATAAGAGTAATGTAAGGTAACCAAAGAATCGTAAAATCTAATTAGAAAATAAATAGGATAACTCAAAAGTTTAACGAATTATATTAGTTAAATTTTCTACATTTCTAACGTCTATCACAGCTGTACTATTTTAGTATAGGCGCTAGAACTAGGGTTGAATTTTTCTAAAACTCTCATCCATCGCTAGATCTACGAATTTATCTATAGGCTTGATAATAAACGGAATGGTAAATAAACCTATGCCGGTGACGATCCATTTTCTGTTATTCTTCGGCAGTTTTTCGCTTTTTTTGAGCAAATAATTAGAGAAGGCGCACACCCTGTTAATGGTAAATCCCGGTATGGCTACTGAAGCTAGCAATTGCCACACTAACGTATCCGTTGTGGTATAAACCACTTTTCTCAAATGATTTTGTTCGTTGATTTTATCCTAAAAATAGTTAGAATAATTTCAAATGAAAGCTGAATGTTTGTTAAAGTTATATTGGAGACTCGAAAGCATAGTAAGAAAGTAATTGCTTTGGACTCTTATTGCACATTTAAAATACAGGGCGACAAAACGAGAAACAATTAATTTCTAAAAGATTTGTTGAGTCACCCTGTATACATTTAAAAGTTCGCCTTAAATATAGGCAACACCATTCACAGAACATGACAGATATAGATTATAGATTGCATATTGCATAGCACAGCACACCCTGCATATGAGATGATAATAGATAGAATTATAAGTTATAGGGCAAGTTAAGTATTATAAATACAATTACCTTGTAAGTTTTAAAAGCTTTATCACTAGTGTCCGCTAGGACATATAATGTTGCAATACCATATGTAAAATTAACCCACCTCCTGCCGATTATTGACCTAAATGCTTCTCCGATTTCATTAGCATAACCTAAAACATAAGCGTATTTTGAATACTTAATTAAATGCTTTGATCATCTATTACCTAAATATCTAACAGGAGTTTCCCTGTATAAATCTACTTCCTGCAAATTCTGTTGTACTTTTTCTCCCATTTTGCTTACACTGATTGAATTATTAACCTCACTTTGTTTGGAAACGTCAAAACGCGTGGTAATTAATTTTATCACGCACGGAATTTAGGCGGGATTATAACGAATTGTTTATACATTCAAATAACGGAGTCATTAGTAAATTTAAGGTAGTAAATGGAAAGTAGAATCCGCTTATATTTATATATAGATAATGAGAAGGGAAAAGCAACTGGCCTGTTGGTCTAGGGGTATGATTCTCGCTTCGGGTGCGAGAGGTCCCGGGTTCAAATCCCGGACAGGCCCAATTTACTTTTTAATTTTTTGTCCCTTAATTATTTTGTATTATACATTTATTATGTCCTCTCATTTGAATCCAGTTGCTTTATAATTTATTAAAAATTGTAATTTATTTTTTAATAAGTGTTTTTGTTTAATGAAACAAAATATAATAGTAAATCATATTTATTAATGAAATTAAAATTTTCCACTTCTTTTCCTGCCAGTATATTTAGAATTATGGCGTACTTCTTTCCCTTGTCGTTTTCTACGTTCCTTTTTTTCTAAAATCCAAGTTCTAACGCTCTTTAACGGTTTTCCACGTTGATTTTTAAGCTTTTCTCGTTTGGCTGTGTAAGAAACACCTGTAAAATAATAATAAATGTAATTTCAAAGAAAAAAAATCGGTCAAAAAAATAAATCCACAATTGTCAGGTGTGGGGTTCGAACCCACGCTCCCTCTCGGGAACCAGAGCTTAAATCTGGCGCCTTAGACCGCTCGGCCAACCTGACTTATACAACAATATTTCCACAAACCGTATTTAGATTATTAATATTGCTCAAATTTTCACAATATTCCACACCATAAATTTTAATATTTTACAGTTTATTCGTATAAATTTCATACGAATTAAATCATAAAACATGTTATAACTGAAAAATTACTATGAAAATACCGTAAAAATCGATAACAACTCGAAAATACAGAGCCATCTGTGTGTAAGAGTTAGTATTAACAACTACAATACAGGTAACTTGATCGTTGAAACCTCTTCGAACTTTGAATATCTTTTTTAAATGCAAATTACCTCAACGTGAAAAACTTTTCTACTCAATTCCTAAATTCCAAATTATTTACCTTGAGAATCTTCGCCAGTTCCCAGGGCTTTTGGCAACGGAACATTACCTCCCGTCATTAAAACTAAAAAGAACTTTTTAGCTTTAGTACTGTGAGGGAAATCTACCACTACGCCCCCGTAAAAGCCAGCTTTCATGGCCTGCGACGTCACTAATTCCATTTGTTCACTGTTATCGGGATAAAACTGAAAGACTGCTCTTGCAGATCTACTCTACAAGTTACATTTAAGCTAATTTAATACACGAAACAAGTGCTTTATGGAGGTACTTACTAGGCAGGCGTACAGCGAGGAGAAAAATTTATACAACCTTTGCACAGGTTTATGACTAGATTTATCAGCATTGCACAGCCATTGAAGAGCTGATATGCTCACAGCGCCATCGAAACTCCCTTTTAAAAACAATAATTAATGAAAATATTAATGTATTAGAGTAATAAAATACATACCTGCTTTGAATGGACAACCTTGGCCCATATCAGCTAACATAAGATCTCCTTCGACTTCTCTTTCCTGTGCTACGTCTGTTAATAAATGCATTGAATGAGACTTGATGTAAATCGAGAAGGTTTTAACGTACCTAACATGGCTGTGGATATGTCTAAACCAACCCAATAGTGCCCTTGGTCCTCCAAGACACTTCCACTGAGGCCAGATCCGCAACCGATGTCTAATAAGTAACAAGGAGAATCTTCCGGTAATAACAACAATTCGATGGCCCTTTCGCACATCTGCACTTGAATGTCAATTATTCGTGAACTAGAAGGATGTTTAATTAAAAATGCGCCTTGTTTGTTGCTTTTTTACTTACTTTTGAGTATATTTCCGCGCTTCTTCCGCATTGTAAAACTACCAAATGAAATCATTAAGAGTTAATTGAAAGTGAAGTAAATATGGACTTACTATTTCTGGAGGTGCTAAATATTCTGGTCTGGACATGTTTTCTATTTGATCTAATTGCTTACTATAAAACAATTATTATTAATAATCTAAAAGTAAATATAACCTCACTTTAACACAACGAGCAACTTCTTCTTCTATTCATTTTAAGGCCTCGGCCGCTACGGCTATTCGGCCTAACACATTGCATTGGGCATGTGACAGTTGGCATTCCGTATTTGCAATATTCGGGTAGTGACTAATAAGCCGATGTACGGTAAAAATAATTATTTTATTTTTTACAATTTACTTTGATACAAACTTTGATCATTTAAAAAGTACTCAAACAGGAAATTTAGAATAAAATTTCACTAAATGATAAAACTTACATAAATATTTAAAATTACCTTACGATATTCTTCAATAATTTTTCAGGGGTTTTTAATTTGAAAACCTTTTTTGAACCTTAATTATCAGTATAAAAATATGTACAAATCTAATAAATATTATGTACAGTGGTATTCGTTTAAAAATCTATCCTTAATATTAGAAAAAGGCCTAATCATCAATTTAAACTTAAAAGAACAGTAAGGGCATCGAAAAATCTTGTCCTATCTTTCGTATGGATTTCAAAATCTGAAAAAATATAATAAAAATAAATAATTACAGCAAAATAAATCGAGATACTTACATGATGTGTCAAAATAATCACAAGATGCATCGCTGTTAATTCTTTTAGCCGCCTTTTCAAAAGCTTTTCCAAAAAAACTAAAAAACAAATACAAATAAAAAAATATAACTCCAAAAAATACACTAAATTACTTTTTTGGAGAGTTCTCGCACAATGGAGGGATCCCTATAAGTACACAGGTGCCAGTATCCAAATTTTTCGGTGCCGAAACGATAAGAGGTAGAGTGGCTGCTTTTCTGTTTCGAGACATCATCACGTAAGCCCTTAGAAGAAAATGGGCCAAAAGGAGCAAGATGTGCTTGTGGGAAAACATGTACCAGTTAAGGCAACCCTTAAAACAAAGTTAGTATGAAATAGGTTTCAATGAGTTTGAAATGATAACTTACTTCTTGAACAATAAAATAAATGAAAGGTCCTGCGGTAATGATTTGCTTCATGTCTAAAGCGCTTTGTACTGTTTTGAAGAGAGCTTTTGATATATCTTTGGCTTTTTCGATGGCGATATTTAAAATGTCCCTTTTCTTTCTCGCGAGACAATCCATCGCTAAATTGAACAGTTCCTCGGGCTTCTTATCTCTCGGCTAAAAAAGATAAATATTAAACTTAAATAATCGAAAGCTTAGAATCAAACTTACTGATGATTCGAGTATTGCTAACAGTGCATAAACAATATCCGATGCACAATACAAATTCCTGTAACCATATTGGAGTACAAACGATGCAAATACAATATCCTGCAAATCATATTTCTCTGATAACTTTTCTAAAGTGGAATGAAATTCTTTTCTCAACTGCAAATCCATACTTTTAAACGATTGTCGGCTTTGAACCAAAGGAAAACTGAAACAACGTTGCAAATTAACGATTAAATTGAACAAAATTTGAACGAAAATTTACCCCATATCGGCTAACAGTTCTTGCAACTTTTTATCCCCTTTCAGTGACCAAAGTTTCATTTTAACGGCCGTAAACATGGAGTACTTCAAACTCGATTCCACCGACCAATGCCTGTAAAGCGTGAGCCTCAAATCGTTTTCAAACTTAATTTTCAGTGATGTTTTGACATCAGAGTCGTTGGATTTGTTTTGTAAACGTTCTGCGTGACTCTGCAAAGGAATAATTTCCAAGGTGTACTGGGCGTTTTCTATTTTTCCTAATATCAATTGTTCCGTTAATGCTACTATGGCCAGCCAAAGCAGGTCTTTGTCGTCTCTATTCAGTTTCCAAGCTAACTCAAAGATCCTTATAGCACTCTGAAATTTTTATTGTATAATAATTAATTAGGAAATAGTGTGTTAAGTATTTTTAACTTACTGCTCTAGCATAATAAGTGAATTGCAAATATTGAAACATTAACTTATCCCTGTTGTCTTCCCATAATCTTTTATCTCTCCTTTTCATTAGTTCTTCTTCGCCCAGTCGTCTTCGTTTAGCAGCTCTCGATTCATCATCATTGTCTTCTACTTCTTCATCATCTTCATCATCAGACTGCAAAGGAATAATTGAAACTACTCACTTTTGGATCGACTTCGATATTTACCTCTTCCCTGAAGACATCGTGGAATTCTGGTACTCCTGCGTCCTCATCGGGGGTGGATAATAAGCGTACTTGTCCATTACTGTAAATATTACACAAATCTGTGGGCCTGTGACTGTCCAAAATGAAAAACGTTATATCTTCTTCGGGGTCTAATTCTTCAACAATGTCTATAGTACCACCACAATTTAGTAAAACGAAATCTTTCACGTCACTACAATTTTCCTCGAATGCAGTTTTAAGGTCTTCTATGCCTTTGATTACAGCCAGGGAATATAAAATGTGCTTATATTTTAGTAGAGATTGAAGAATTTTGCATGCGCATATGCTGTCTATGTCATAATGTACCATAAGAAATATCCTCTGAAAATAAAAAACGCCAACTTTGAGGGGGTCCTACTACATACTATCATTTTTTTCTATAAATATTAAGTTCGTGCTTTATAAAATTCACTTAAATATCGTACCTTATCTGACACATATTCATAAAAGTCTGTTTTTATATCGTCTACATACATTGTAAATAAACTAAAAATTCAAGTACACTTCAACCATTATTTATAACCTCTTTCAACAAACCGCCTAAACAGCTGTCCTTTCAAAATTGACACTCAGTACTACCAACGTTAATAACGATTTTTCTAAAAATGGTTTTTAGATTTTTCGTTTTATTTAAAACGAATAACCGAAATAAGTCAAAACAATTAATTTAATAATTGTAAATAATCTTAAAATATTACAGTAATTACTTATTTACGAGGTAAATGCTTAAAAAATTAAATAAACGGTGTAGAAGTGGTACGCTTGTTCTCCCCAGTTTTGTATCGCGACTGTCATTGTCATGAATCATGTGTCACATTTACGTCACTTGTCATTCAAATATATCAATCAAGATTTGACAAAAAGAAGGAAGTTACAAATTGTTTTTAAACAATTAATTAAATTATTCATTGACTATTATTATTAATGCTGCAATATAATTTTATACAATCTCCAAGAAGCTAGTGACCGCAGCAAAATGGCCAGGGATTATGACCACTTGTTCAAACTGCTCATAATAGGAGACAGTGGTGAGTTAAAAGTGTGGGTGGGGTTAAATTAACGCTTAAAATGTTATTTATTTTCCTCTAGGCGTTGGTAAAAGTTCCTTACTTTTGCGTTTCTCGGACAATACGTTCACTGGAAGCTACATAACTACCATAGGTGTAGATTTTAAAATAAAAACTGTAAATGTAAATGGCCAAAAGGTGAAATTGCAAATTTGGGATACTGCCGGACAGGAGAGGTTCCGAACGATAACTAGCACATATTATCGGGGTACACACGGTGTTATAGTTGTATATGATGTTACTAATGGAGAAAGTTTTGCTAATGTTAAACGGTGGTTACACGAAATTGAACAGAACTGTGATTTAGTAAATAAAGTATTAGGTAAGTTCACTGTGGCATTTATTCGTACAAATTTCATTCTAATATACTAAATTTACAGTTGGTAACAAAAACGATACGCCAGACAGGAAAGTAGTGCTAACGGAGGATGCTCAACGGTTCGCTGACACAATGAATATTAAATTATTCGAAACCTCGGCGAAAGATAACATAAACGTAGAAGAAATGTTCCTAGCAATAACGAAATTAGTTTTGAAAGCTAAATTGGAAATGCAAGAGAGACAGAACGTTACTCAAAACGATACGGTCAATTTAAGGAAAACGAATAAACAAGGGAAGAAGAAAAATTGTTGTTAGCCATTATAACATAATAATAATATATAAAATATAGCATTGATGTGTGTCGGTAAGTTGTGTGAATGGATATTATGACAATTTTGTAATGGGACGTTTTTTTTTAATCGATAGTGCAGCATCACTAATGCATTTAACGATTTTCGAAATCCTCTGTATCATTCCAATGTCACGAAACCATTACAGTGAAAAAGTATAATTTAATAATTTCAATAGGGATAGATAATATGTAATTTGTAAAAATATGTATGAAGAGCAATTCTACAGAGCTATCTAATGCCGCATAAAAGACCAAAAATATAAATTTTACAGAGATATTTTATAAAACGTACCATATTTCTCATACAATACAAATAATTGATCATATCAGTGATCTCACCATAATTAAACAGGAGAATTGTAGTAATTGTCTAAAGTTAGAATAACAATCGAATTGATTTGTAAACTCCTTGCATTTGGAATTTAATTCTGATTATTTAAAAACTTTTTACTCGTTTAATTTTCTACTCATTTCATACACTTATTACGATTATATTGAATTCATAATATTGTTCTTAACTCTGTATAAATACTTTTTCTTGTTGGGCTATTTCTTTTTTGAGGATTTGATTATTCCGAGTGCAATGGATTGATGTTTAAAATTTCATAGTCTCGCTCCATTAGTGTTTGGGATGGGAACGCTATCCGTAATTGTACAAATTTATCGATAATTCTCAATATTAGCCAAATTTATCGGTTTTTTAAGTGTACCTTCCTTTTTAAATTGTTATGTATTATTCATGATATTTTTTTTTGAAAATGTATATAGGCACTTTCTTTTTTATATCCACTTTTATCGTGTATAGTTTAAAGAAAACATTTAAAATCGTATTCTTTTTTATTATTAAGCTCAACGTGAGTATATCTAAAAACCTTTACTCAAGTATAAAAATTTGAATATCCTTATGTTGAGAACAAACCAAAAATTTAGTTTGAACCATTAGTTGTCAAAAATATCATTTATAGGTATGTAAAATTAATCTAATTTCATTTTTTTTGTAATACCTTTATAAACAGAATGTGAGATATTCTTCAATCATAAAAATGGTTCATATAAATTGCCCAGTAGGCAGTTCAAAAATGGGATGCTATGCAATTAGTTTTAGCTTATTTGTACATTTTGAATATTGCTTCTTGTTGCAATATTAAAAAATAATTAGAGAAATTCATGCTTTGAATAAATGTTCATTGGACGTTAGTAAAATTTAAATAATCAAGTAAAGAAAACGTCAATTAAATAGGATAAAATCGTGAAATTAAATGGCTTATGTGAACTGATCGAATTGTAATTAAAAGTATAACGAGCAGTTTCTATTTTGTATTTTTAAAAAGTGTATCGTCGACAATATATTTAATGAACCATTTAACTCATTATTTTGCAGGTTTGAACCTTTATGTAATATGTTTATTATAATATAAATTGTATATTTGTTGTGGATACTTTTTTTATTACCTACTTACGAAAAAACGGTGAAAACTTTTAAATAATATAATCTACAACTTTTTACAAATTATTTTAGCGGGAATTAATTAACGATACAGATGGTCTGCGTGGATGTTAGCAGCAATTTCCGATTCCCACTTATCGCCGTTGTTCAGCAATTTTTCCTTGTTGTACAGAAGCTCTTCGTGAGTTTCCGTGGAGAATTCGAAGTTGGGGCCTTCGACGATGGCATCGACAGGACAGGCTTCCTGACAGAAGCCGCAGTAAATGCATTTAGTCATATCGATATCGTATCTAGTTGTACGCCTCGAACCGTCGGCTCTTTCTTCGGCTTCGATCGTTATAGCTTGAGCTGGGCAAATGGCTTCGCACAATTTACAAGCTATGCACCTTTCTTCTCCTGAGGGATACCGCCTCAAGGCGTGCTCGCCTCTAAATCGGGGACTCAACGGCCCCTTCTCGAAGGGGTAGTTGATGGTCGCGGGCTCCTTGAAAATGTGACCTAGGGTGACTGCGAACCCTCTGAATAGTTCGGTGAAGAACATGGTTTGAGCCGCACGATCTGAAATTTAATTACTTATAATACTTGTGGATTATTAATGGTTTTGGTATACCTGTCATAGCACCGAATTCCATACTCGGTTCTACTTTACTAACGCACACATAATCTTTCGATTTTGCTTCACTGGATGAGCATCGTATATTTTGCAGTCCAGGCCGTACGAATTTCGAACCTAAAAATTGCGAGTTATAATCGAAATTCAATTTATGTCTGCGGTTGAAATGGTTGTGATTGCGGTTAAAATGTACCTGATTTTGCTGCAGAAAATAATTTTTGAACCTGAAGACTCATTTTTGTGAAAAAATGTATTCCGTATTTTTTATTATGATTATGTCACCCGTTTTTTAAATGTCATATGTCAGTGTCAAATATAATATGAAAATTTGGCCGAATACCAGCATTGGCCAATACATAGGGAAAAAATATGAAAGTAAGTGAACCTATGAAATAACTATTTGAAAAGTGATTTATTGAACAATTTAGAGGCACAAAGGTTCTTTTCAACGTCTCACATTCGCTACATTTGCTTATTCGTGATAAGTGACATATAAATCTTTCATCAGCATAATGACGAATAGCCGAGGCAACAGAGGCCAATTAAAAGATGGTGGAAGTTGTCACTGTCACTTCAAAATATAAACAAATATCAAAAATGTAAGAGAAATGTGAAATGTAAAAAATAGATAAATGACTGTATGAATGTATTCATATAAACGGTAAGTTTAAATAATCTCTCCCTCCCTTAATTGATGTTATCCGTTTATCAACAATTATTTAGTTTTTCAACAAAACTTTCCTTTATAAATTAATTCCCTATGATTTGCTTATGAAGAGAATAACACTCAAATTAACTAATTTATACTATTTCAGAAACTCATGACATCGGTATCTATATAACTATCCCTTGGAGATATAATGCTCAACTTTACAAATCCATGTTTGCTGCCGAAGGTTGTATGTAAAACTCCATCAACCGATGACTATGGTGCTGAAAATTTAATTAGTCCGAATTACACCGACAAAATGCGCGGTTTCATTTCTTACCCTTCGATTAAGCCGCCCGTAGAAATCGAATTTAACTTCATATGTCCAGTAAACATGCATTACATAGTATTAAACACCACAGTGGGAAATCAGCGATGCAGTGGAATAGAACTATTCGCTAAAACGGATGAAACGGACTACTTATCAATAGGAAAATGTGTATATGATAATCCTGGAATAGTGTTTTGTAATAGTAGGAAATACTCTAAAACAAATCCTCCTCCTAACATTGACGGACTCTTTAATTTAAGCTTCTTTAAATCGAACACCTTTCGATGCTTCTTGAACGCTACTGCTGTTAAAATTTGCATATTCAAAACGAACAAGTCGGTGCCTTGTATGTCTTCAGTAGAAGTTTGGGGTACTCCATCGAGACAGTGCTCCAAAACAACTGTAAACACAGTCACCAAACTCGCTAGTAAAAATAAAACTATACCTGAAAAACTCGCAACAGAAGAAAAGTTCGTGATTCCCGAAGATTTCAAAGACGATTTAACGTTCGAATTGATGTCGATGCCTATGACGCTGCCTAGCGGGAAAACGGTGGACCAATCTACACTTGAAAAACATCTACAAACTGAAAAATCGTTTGGAAGAAAACCCTGTGATCCATTCACAGGCGTCAAGTTTAACGAAAACCTCAAACCGGTGATGAATGCCGGCTTAAAAAGCCGCATAGACATGTTCGTTTTGCAGAACTCTCACAGAGAAGGATTTTTAGCGACAAATAAATGGATTTTAGGCGGAGATTCCATTAAGCCTTCCGCCCCGAAAAGACTTCTCGATGATGATTTGGATTCAGCTATAGCTGAAGCTAAGCGAAGCAAACATTTCATCGACTTCACAAATAGTGTAAACAAATGTTCCTCTTGCGAAACTGTGATTAACTTCTTATATAGGCTGCCTTGCGAACATTTCTTTTGTAGAGATTGTTTGCTTAAAATTTGCGAAACTCTAAAGTGCTCTAACTGCTACAGGGATTTCGCTAGAAACGAAATTGTAAAATATAATTTGTAATTTATTAATAGATCGTCGGCAGTGCGGAGAGTTTTCTCGGTTTAAATCGGTCTTTAACAGTCCATGTTACTTTTCGCTTCTTCCGTTTGTTTCGAATTAAATCGCTCAATGGGGTAATAATAAAAAAGTGAAGCATCTCGATGAAACTTAGTAGACTCGCTCCTAGAAAGAGAGCCGCAGCGCCACCCATTGACACTACAATATAGACAAATTTTTGATATTACAAAATATATAATTAAGAGCATTTTTATTTACCCACTAAATCCAATTTTCCCCTAACAACGTTCCGTTTGAACCTCTCCGTAGGTAGCCTTTCCAGAATAAGCTCCACCATCGCAAAATCCTCATCCATGCTGAAATTTCATTAATTACTAGGCAAAAATAAATCGTATTCAACTATATCAACCCTCTTTTATCGTCTCTTATAAGAGCCAGCTCGATTTCGTTGCAACTAGGCAGACAACCGCACACTAAACCTTCCCTCTTCGACCAAGAAGCTTTAAGAATCGAAATTTCGCTGTAATGTCGATTCAAGCAATCTAACCCGTCCAAATTGCAGTGATATTCCGCAGCTGAGAACGATATTTTAATTAATTATAGGTAACTAATAATGAGCACTACCGCATAGACCCTAAGCTCGAAGGATTGACGGCCTTCTGCGCAAAGACAGTTAAATAACCAGGGTCTCGCTCGCTGCGCGAGCTCTTCTATTATCTTAAACTCTACCTGTATTTGGCATAAGATGGTGAATGCAGCGGCACATTTGTAACTGAGCCTGTTTCCTGCATTGAGCACAGCAAGCGCTGTAGCTGTAATGCGGGTAAACATCCAGGTCGTTTTCCATCGGGAAACGGCATTTTCTTTGTTCTACGCTAACGTATTGAACCTATAATTGTAGGCTCGCGAATTGTGGGAAAATTTTAAATTTTACGTTACTTACTTCGGGTTGATTGTGGATTTCTTTTATTGCGAAAAATCGCTTGAAATGAACGTGAGGCGCAAGTTCGATGATATCTTTAGCTAGAGTAGATAAAGATGGGATTTCTAAAGGGCCTAGGGTGTACAACTGAAATTCATTCGCATTAATTCAATCGAAAATTCCTTAATTTATAATCCATACGTTCACAATTCCGTTGATTTCGAGCACTAACTTTCCAGGACCGGTTACTTTATTGGAGATCATTTTATAGAACACCGGATTTTTTTCTCTAAACAAATTTAAGGGTAATTTCATTTATTAAATTATCTCGCTTGTATTTTACCTCACTTGCATCGAATTTAAGGCGAAACACTTGCCCAATTCAGTATCAATTTCCCTGAAATAGGCGCAACAGTCGAAACTAACGCTGTTCCATTTGCAATCGCGGAAGATATCCGAACAAGCACTTTTCACCTTAAAAAATAAGCTTAATTTAACGATTAAAGCGCATCTGAAATATACCTCATGTTGGTAGAAACTAAAGTTCTTGACGAAGCAATTTTTATCTCTCGAATCCCCCAATTGGGGCCCGCACACTTGGAGACTGTACAAATTGAGCCCTTTGTAAAACACCAGCTCCTTCACGAACTCGTCCAAGTTGTAATCGTGAGGATCCCCGAATATTCTTCAAGAAATAAATAAGTACAAAAGGAATACATAATAAAAGTATTACCTATCGGTCACATTCGCGATATTTTCGTCGTTGTTCGTCTCGCAGATAACTATCGAAGGGAAATTGGTGTCCCAATCGAGAAAATTCGTATCGACTACGAAGCTGATCGCATTGTGCAAGAAATCATCGTAGGCAGATAAGATCAACAGACTGGCTGCAATCCAGCTCAAAGTGACACAAACGAACCAGAACAACCTTTCTGTCCAATGTCGCCCTTCTTCGGCAATGAACCTGTAACCGTGGAAAGAGGTGTTTAGTATGAAGTTTTTGAAAATTGAAGCTCTCTTGGGTTTCTTCATCGTGAAGGGGATTGGGAGAATATGGATATTCAATATTTGATTTTTTTAGAATATGTGAATTGTATGTATTAGTTTTAAGGGTTGTCACGCTATAATGTAATCATATTTTGGTACAATGTGAAGTAGTAAACTTATTAATTATTCAAGTATTTAACAATAGAAGGATTTTCTATACAAATTTCTTAATGACAACACAACACGATTTCTGTTATGGAATAACACAAACTTCTGAAAAATGGCGTTAATTTATTATGGCATGTACCTTATTTTAAACATTAACATTACTAATAATGGCGCTATTCGAACAACGAAAATACAGATCATAATCAACAACTCGTGGCAAATATTTTCAAAAATGAAACTACGGCTTCAAATCGCTAAAATCATTCGAATTGTTATCCCACAAACAATAATCCTCTTTAGTGGCCGCGACGTATTCATCGACCAAATCTTGAACCACCTCTCTACTCGAATCCAATTCGTCCAAATTATCTTTAAACATATCCTCCTTTTTGAACTGATCCAAAAACGCCTCCCTCTTTCTCAATTTGTCGTACTGCGTTAGAGCCCTATCAAACAGCTGAAATAAAACAATAATCACTCATTAATGCAAAACATTTAAATGTTAATCACACTTACAGAACTTATATTAGTATGATTAGCCAACATAAGACCTGAGACTCGGTGAGCGGACTGAATGTAAGGAGACTTCCTCGATAGAGCAACCTGTATACTAGCGGGGCCCCAAGGGATGAACTGGGCGAGTTTGCGTTCGCGTATCCTTTGCAACGATTTATGCACTTGAGTAGCATCCACCTCTCCCTGAAATACCACAATTATGCAACTGAACAAATCTCCAATAACAAACACAAACCTGAATGATGTTGAGTATAGAAATGAAGCAATGCTGGGAGCTTCTGTCCTGTGCTGTGGACACCATCATGTTCTTCGGTTGCAACAGCCGCCTCATAACGTCTAAAACAGTGGTTTTCCTGACGCTGGCCTCGTCTGTATCGGTCGACAGGGGAGTGTAGCCAGTCATCAAGAAATGCAAACGAGGCGTTGGAATCAAAGGTCCCAACAGCTCCATCAAATCGTTGTTCATGTACGAAGGATATCTGCGTAGAAATGAATATTATAAACGATTTATTACTATTAATGCCGAGTCGTTTGTACCTCAATGTTGTTGTAGAAACCGACATAATCGTACTGACCAAACTGTTGATTTGAGTAAACGTGGGATTCTGTATTTTCAAACGATCCGCCGCAATTCTATTTAATGCTGTGTTATCCAGAACCACCACGGAATCCGCCGATTTGGTTAATCTCTTCAGGGTAAGCAGCGAGTTGTATGGCTGTACAACCACATCGCTACGAAAGTACAAAGTTTACTAATGCAATTTCAGAAGCCTTGTATCTTACCTTATTTCATCCAAATTGGGAAATACACTGTACGTTTGAACCAATTTTTTAGGAAATCTATCGGAGAGTTTCTCAAGGATGTTCGAACCCATTCCGGAGCCTGTACCACCAGCGATCGAATGGCACAGAACGAAACCTTCCAAACTGTCGCTACCTTCTGCTTCTCTGTCGATGATATCGAAGATTTCTTCGTTGAGCCTTTCGCCTTGGGAAAAACCCGACGCCCAGTTGTTACCTAAAGGTAGATTGTTTAGTAAGAATTGGTTGAATTATTTATTATTCCTCGTAGTACCTGCACCACCACCATTCTTCGATAGAAATACATTTTCTTGATTGTACAGCTTCGAGTAAGGAGAATTTAATATGGTGTTTATAACTCTCGGTTCTAAATCTAACAACACAGCTCTTGGAATGTAATGTTCGTCATCGGCTTGGTAGAAAAACACATCTTTACGGTCGATACCTAGAAGAGTTATATTTATAGAAATTTTATTTGGAATTGTGAAATTTTATGTTATTACTTTCAGTGGCGAAATCTTCCAGTATTCCTTCGGGATTTATGCCATGTTCGGCGCACAATCGTTTCCAAAACTCAAAACCAACTGAAATATAAACAATTAATAACAATTACTTTAACCTGTGGATAATTATAACGAATCAGCTTACTTTGATTGCCGCATTGGCCGAGTTGGAGAGTTATCATTTCACAAGGCATGGTTTCGATTAATTTTTCACTTTTTCAATCAAACGAGTCTCATCTGTAACTAAAATATTAAAAAAAATCGGTATTTTTGTGCAGATGATAAATTATAAAATTCAATGAATGTCAAAACCATCTGTCAAATTTAAATAGAAATAACTCGTTTCTATTGGTTGGAATTGCTGTGTTCTAAATACTAAACCGGTTGGAGCTCTGACTAATAACGATTTTTCTTCTTTTTTATACATTTAAAACTTTTCGAAACAGATGGCGCTACCGGTATGTTTTGATCACAGAACATACATAAACAAGAAGGGACATCTCCATGAGAATCTCGTAGACCACAGAACATACATAAACATGGTTTTGATTTATTTGGCCTTTGCCGGTGATAATATTCTGCAAAAGTTTCTTGTAATTCTGTGTTTTATTACCGCAATTGATTTCGAAATTCATAATTAATTAAACGATTATTATAGTATTAAATTTTTCTGGCTCAAATAAAAGAAAAACCCTGTGCTTTTATAATAAAAGATAACGCAACGAAAACAAATAAATGGTAGTAAATTTTAAAATTTTATTAACAAAAAGAAATATTTGTACTGCAACTCATATAAATTAGAAACGCGCTTTTCAGAATCCACCGAATCAGCTACGAAAATGATCAGTCTCGTCGTCCTTTCGGCCCCCGTTCGTCCACAAGAACCCCTTCCTTTGGAAATAATCCTCGATGTCGCTCAAACTCCGCGATTTAGTCTCCGGCAGAAAGAAGTACAGGAACACGCAGGCCGTCGCCGACGCGACGCCGAACGTCCAGAACACGCCGGAGATGCCGATGGCGCCTCGCACGAACGGAAACACCTTCGACGTTCCGAACAGCATCGAATTGAAGAGCATGAACGTCAGGCCGCCGGAGAGGCCGCGGATTTTCGCCGGAAACAGCTCGGCCAGCAGAACTCCCGGCAGGATGAGGAAACCGAGCGTGTTACTGGCGACGTAGATTAACACGAAAAGGGCCGGGATGTAGTTGAAGCCTTGGCAGTTCTGGTGCAAAAACGTCCCGAGAAATAAAGCTGACAAGGCCGTGCCTAAACCGGACGTAATGGCTAGAGTTCTCCTGCCGATAAACGCCAGAAGGATACAGCCGAAAATGGAGAAAACGAATCGGACGAAAGCCGTTAATATAGCGACGACGAAATGGTCCAGTTTCTTTTCGCCTATCTGCAAGTAACTTAGAATATCTACGGCGTAGAAGACGATGAGATACGTTCCAGATAACAGCTGCATTGTATTGAAAACGTTTAAGATAATGAGCGGTTTTATCACTTCGCGTTTGAACAGATTTCTTATCGAAAATTTTCCATCGCTTTGAGATTCGGCTTCCAAACGGTCTACGAGGTGTTGGGTTTCTTCTTTAGCCTTCAAAACAAATACTCATTATCAAACAAACTAGTTACATTAATAATTCATAATACAATACCTTGCATTTATTGCCACCCCTTAACCAAGTCAGGGCATTTTTAGCGTCCTCCAATTTTCCATGCCTTACCAACCAAGTCGGGCTCTCAGGTAGTAGGAAAAACACTATCAACGATACTATAGGTAATCCGGTACTTGCCACTACAAAAATTATTAAAAGTTGTTTGGATTGTTCACCATTTGAGATTAAATTATAATACCTGCAACGTATCTCCAGGGTAGGAACGAACCCAACGCGTACACCAAAAGAATACCGAACGAGTAACTAGCCAAGGGCACGCTGGTGAGGAACCCCCGCAAATGGGGCTCCGACGTTTCCCCGATGAACACCTGAAAAATAACCGAAAGAGTTACACAAAGTCGCGTTACAATTCGAATGTAAAATTCGAATGAAAAGGGCTTTTCCGAGGCGACGACGTATAAAATTGGAATAAGGGCGTCATCGAATCTCGAGCACAATACACTTCGGGTTTATAGAAGTTTCGCTATGGATTTTCCGAAACACCCGAGTTTTTTTTTAATTAAAATGCCAACGAGCAGGGAAAAAAGTTCCCAGTTCCCAGTTCCCAGCAATAGATGAAAATATTTCATTGGCAACGGAATATAATACGTTTCGCGTTCGAGTTGGTAATGAGTTTCGAAAATTCACGTATTGAATTTCAATGCTTTCAATATTACTACCATAGAATATCTAACTAATGAGCTAGGTATTAAGCGTAGGATTAACTCACTTGTCCGGCGGCTGCGGCCAGTCCTGATGAGAATCCTGCCACGAGCCTGCCCAGCAATAGCACGGAGTGATTGGTGGAGAAAGCGATCATAGCCCAACCGGATATTAGCGGTATCGAGGCGATTTGCAGGGCTAATTTTCGACCGCAACGCTCCATCAGTACTCCGCTAACCAACGAACCCAATGGAGTAGCCGCTGAATGGATGCTAGCTGAGGAAAAACAGATGATAAATTTATAAAAATAGCACAAGTCATCAATCATACGCCGTAGTTACTCATGAAGATATCATAGTTAATGCTTATTGTTTAATAATAGCATCACCAGGTGTTATAATATCATCATCAGAATCGCTTTTTGGGGATTTATTTTTAAGCGTCCTTCTCCTAATGCCGCGATTTTTTATTCGTTTGGAGGCGGTTACGTCTCGTTTTCTTACGAGCTCATTACCATAAAACGTCAATGGAGGGTTTTTCGTCGGGGCTACAAGGGGACTCTTCTTTTATACGGTCGAGATGCAATTTGTTTCGGTTTTTTCGCGGCTCATTCTCCCTAGATAAACGAGATCTGGGCGTTATCTGGTCTCGCATTTATTCGCACATGCCATCGTATTTCGTATATACGAAGAGTGAATTAAGTAAGATCGAGCGGTTTCTTTCCGATAACGAGATACAAATTGGAAACGTATATGGACGTTGAGAATCTTGTTTACAGAAATTTATTTTGATGAATATAAATACCTAAAATGATTTAAGTGATGCGACGATTAGGATTAATTTATTATACTCGTCCTTTCGAAGAGTGTCCGAAGGATCTTCTCCGAATAATTGCCACTCGAGTATACCGTCCGATTCGTCATCCTCATCCTCACTTACAGCCTTGCGTGATATTCTCATCGTTTATTGCGCGCAATCAACGATTCCTGACCTAGAAATGTACGAAATCGGCCCTCCGCTGGACCGAGATTGCCGCCTTTCGGCCTAGACGGAACCTTCTAATGTCACTAACCGATCGAGTGTAATTCGCGAAATGCGATTTCGTCCACTACACGGCCAATGTTACCATTAAATTACGATCAATTCGAGTCGATTTAAAGGTCGTTCACATCGCTCGACACCGTCCAAACAAATTTCTAACATTCGACGATGAGCGACGCGGCCGCCGATGGAAATAGGTCAAGATCGCCGCGGAATTTCACGCTAATCAAAATCGCATCAATTTTTATTATTCTCTTTTGCATTACCTCCGCGTACCAGTTGACTCGTTATTCGATTAACCAAAAATATCGCACTCCTAATATTTTTGTCACAAAGAAATTATACTGTTTATTTAAATTTTCTTAAGTAATTGCATTACAATACAAAGTCTGTTTCAAAACTAAAAATAATCCCATCACTTTTAAAACTTGTTACGTGCGCCTTTATCCTTTTACGACGTAAAATATTCATAGCGACTCCGAGAGATTGGTTCTCAAGAGGGTAGTTTTTTTTTATCGAACGTTGCATTATCTCGAGCGCCATTCGATTGACGTTCGATTTAATTGCCGGATATACGCCCGTGATGCGGAGTAATTAATCAACGGGGAAATCGAGCCGAGGGCGAAGTTCGCGTACGAGGACCATCGATACAAAACTCGGGGATGGGGGATTTATCGAGTCCTTGTCGCGAAACGGTTCGTCTCGCGTTGGGGAGTTTCTCGATTATCAATTAGAGTGTAAGATGGGAGGTCGCTTTCGTAAGGACGAATTAATTTTTGAAGTAAACAACGCTGAAAGTGGTGGTGTTACTCACCGATCCAGGAGCCGATTTCGTCGTCGATTTTCATTGAGTCGTTGAGAAATTTGAGTTGCGGTAGCAGAATGGCTGAATAACCGACGGGCATGCCGCAGCTCGCCGAGCTTAGCATCACAGCGCTGGTTACGATGCTCTGGAAAACGATCTTTTTTAGATAAATTCTAATATTAACCAGTTAATTTTCTCTATACTTTCGCCTAGTTATATCATACTCAGTTATCGTTTTTTTTTTTAATTGAGTGGAATGGAGTACCTATTAGAGCTTTTGAGGGTGTTTCCAGTTCGGTGATTTACGATGTTTGAATCGAATTTTATTAGGCGGAAACTGAGATAAATCGTTGCTTTGGATGCCCTTTTATACTCGGATATTGCGCGAGAATAAAAAAGAAAAGTTATTACCTGCGCGAAAATTCTTTTTGCCGTTTCATTATTCCGTTGTTCTTCCTGCTTTTTGGTAGTGTGACTGTGGATAGATGAATTGACCAGCAAATCACTGACTTCGCTGGAAAAAGGAATGTGTATTAAATTACTTTGTATGAAAGTATGAAATTAATCGGGTACTTAATATGAAACATTGATTTGCTTTCGGTTTTTATTGACTTTTTTCTCTTAAAAGATCATTTCACTGATTCTATCAGCTTGTTTTGTTGAGTTTCTCGACTTCTCTATACTCACAATTTTTAATTGCATTTTGCACTATTATTTCTTTATAATTGTAACAAATAATTTTGCAAACTTGGCAAAATATTCAAAATAAAATAAATTTTAGATTACATTATCCTTTACAAGTCCTTTAATTTCATTATAATTTCTTCCAAAAAATTCACTTCAAAATCTAAATAACTTCCATTTGTTATCAACAAAAAAAAACCTACGAATCGCGACATTCACTGAACTCGATTCCCTCAACATCAAAAAGCTTTCGAATAGAACTTTATCGAGCTTTACCTGCCATGGAAGTTTTCCGCGTACGCTTTGGCCCTCATGCTCTCGAGTTTTTCAACAGTTCACCCGGCTGAATCGTCGCCGTCGAGCGCACTAGGTAGTCGATGATAGCTCGCACCTTCCGGATCGTAAACTACACTTAGATGGCATTGTCTCAAACTTTTATATTGTTTTGTGTTTTAATTTCCACCGGTCGGTTGCATCAAAACGACTCCCCCTACGCCGGACTGGCCGCTTCTTCAAGCGCGCTTATGTTAATTAATTCCCTCTCCAGGTGCGGACTCGCTCTACCTATCCGATTTGAATTTATGCAGTATTATGCGTTATTGATTAGTTTAGATTTGTACCTATGAAGTCGCTATTTTATCGGTTTTAAGTCGGCTAATCGGGTTTAAGGATTTTTTTGCGACCTTCTCGATGGCGATTACAATTCATATTTTTGGCCCGACGGGCTGCGTTTTGCGTAATTGGACGATGAGACGAAGGTCTGCGTTTTAATTTACGCGCATTTAGTAAATTAGATAAAAACAGAATGTCATTCGAATTGTTGATGTTTATTAGAACATGTAACAATCGTTAATCGTAGGTGATAGGTCGCCAATTTGCACGTTACTAAACGCTGATTATCAGGTGTTAACTTTATGAAATTTAGAAAATCTACTCTGGAGACGTTCGAATTGTAACGTCTACAGTTATTCCTATCGTACTGTACCTATGTACCTATTTCGAGTCTTAAATCATTCTTATACCATTTAATCCGCACCAATTCGTTCATATTCTACTTTATTTTCACTACAATTTATCGTATTTCATTTCCACATCATTAATTTTAAGTATTTTTTCCAATCTCAACTAAGGCAAATCCTGCTTTATATCACTAGTTATATAGAAGCTGTAAATTCCGGCAAATAGACAATCAATTTGATAAAAACCTCATTTTATCTATTCAATAAAACCCTCCGAGATTACTTTTTAACAATATTCGCGGCAATAATAACCCCGGGATTACTCTAAACTGTTTTCTGAAACCTACAATCTCGTTATCTCGCCTCTTATAAGTGGATTCAAAGTTGTCTCTAACGGACAATGAGAATAACAATTCGTTAGCCGGGAAAGTTTTGTATAATTTGCTTCTAACGAGTTATACGAACCGCCGACTAGTCCTGAGGGAACGACTGCGGGGCTCTAATTGTAATTAACTATCAGTAAGTGTAGGAAGCAAAAATTTATTGTTTAATTGCTGTTTTGGTCATGAATTTAATGAATGTGATAATGAAATAAAGTGGATTTGTACCTTACCTTACCTACAGGGATTTAATTAGTGGTAATTGTTGTCTTTAATTTCGTTGCTTTGGTAAAATTTATTAAATTTAGTTTTGTTAAATGGAGGTTCTCTCATGATCTGTATAATAATGAATAAAAAATAGTTATTTGGAAGAGAAAACTGATCTGTGTAACAATGAATAAAAAATAGTTATTTGGAAGAGAAAACTGAGTGGATATTCGGATAATTCAGTAGAGGAATAATGCAAAAATGGAATTATTCAACATTGAATGGGGGTGAAATTCAATTTATCATTTCGAAAAAATATATTTCCATTATACCTACTAGTTTTAATCGGTTTGATGATGAAATTTTTACGGTACTTCTTTTAAGTACAAAGAGGTAACTTATAGAATGGTTTAATGCATTTTGGTTAACAAACTTAAACAAAAAATCGATCTACCTTATCTTAACAGATGGCTTTCGACTACAAAAAGCTGATTTTTCCATCTATCGCCGCGCACTTTTCGCCCCAATTCGCCCATACCATTCCGAGAACTTTGCACTTTGTCCAGCATTTCAACAAAGAAACCGTATCTGAAATTATTTCCCGGTTCTAGTGACCTTTTTTGTTCGCTCGAAACTGCTATTTACCGCTATGCGTAAAAATGCATTTTTTTGTTCAACTGCCTCGATAAGCAATTTCGTTTTATCAAAATCGGTTTTCGCATGATGAAATTTCAGCCGAAATGGAATCATTCGTGATCAGGAAAAACTGATTAACAAAAACAGAAGGATTAGTAAACACGTTCAATGATGTTAGTCAAAATAAGGATTTCTATTTAAATATTTTATTATGCAACAAAAATGTTGTTATTTATTACCTACACGAGCTCATTTCATTATTATGTATCTTTGGATTTTTAAATTTACCCTTCTGTCCTCTATTTTATTGTTATCCTTTGGCCTCTACCGTTGCAAAGCATCAGCCACTGAGAATTTCATTCGAGACAGGACGTAAAATATAGGACTCTGTATATGAATGCATGTTTATCGACAATATTCGCGGTAAGGAAAACGGTATTTTCTTGCATTTTCCTGTTTCCATTTCGATTTTCTCGCGTTCAATATGGCATACGAAGAAGTTTGTTTTCGGTAGATTTCATCGCTGAAAAGCGGGAAAAATCCATTTTTCATTTTATTTAAATGAACAATTTAATATCTCTGCATTCCTTTAGTGTGCACCCGAATCGAAAATTTAATATAGCAAGAAAATCCCCGGAATAAGCGGATTGAAAATTAAGTCTCGTACTCATTATTTTATGAAAAAAAGGAATTTTAACAAAAAAATGGATACCACGCGTCCGCTGTGTTTCACGCATAGAAATGAAAAATGCCACGCAAAAGAACAATAATAAAGTGGATAAGAAAATTGGAATTTCCGAAAGGATTTCCCCGACGGCGGGTTTCACTGAATACGTGCTAAACAGATAAATCTGCTTTGCGTGCGCTGTTATCGAATCGCTTCTGCCATTCGAACGGGTCAAAAAGCTACGAAAAATTGATAAAACTTTTAAAACAAACCGCGTCTATAAAGCTACCGGAACCCCCTATTCCGAATCACATATTCTATCGATTTCGCGTCGCGACGAATCACCGAGAAAAACATGAAAAGTATCGCCGTTTTCGCTTTTATTTCGTTGCTCGTGCTCCACTCAGCATCCGCTAATCCTGTGGACGGCAGGAATTTCTATGAGGCGTACGACAACAACCACGTGGGCCACATCAACAGCGAATTTAACGTGGTACTGTTCGACGAGTTCCTCGAGAATAAAGCGCAGGATGCCGGTACTCGAGTCGTTGAAGATGTCGAAGAGATTCCCAAGACCAGCAGGGAGCCCGATGAGCGGCCGACAAAGTCGCTTTGTATCGGTTCAGTGACTATGATGGCTTTGTGCTATTGATCCTCATATTCGTGATTTTGGTACAAAAATGTTTTTTATTTTAAGTATTAATTTATTTATAATGTTAGTGTAGTACTTACTTACTATTTATGGATCTAATTGAGAGAGTGTATTAACAATTTCTAAGACTGTATAATTTTTTAGATTTGTAGATTTAGGTATATTATATTTACAGTTTTTTTTATAAAAGTATCTAAATATGTAAAATTAATACATTTGTTTTTATGAAGGAGTTATTTTACTTAAATTTTCCCTTACTTAAATGACTTTTATCGTAAAAATTTCGATTCACTCTTTGATTCATAGATGTATTATACCATTTTAGATACGGAAATAGTAGGTATCAAAATCGAAATAAATTTTTATTGGTTTAATGAAGCATTAGCTGAGCTATGAATACACAGGCAGTACACGCACCAATGAAAGTAAATTGTAGGAAGATTGTTGATAGAGTGATAGTATCCTGATTGCGGTGGATCTCTATTAAATTTAGCGGCGCGGATGATTATCGAGATTGATCTCGAGCGGTTCTCGAAATGGGACCGGATTTTTTTTTTATTTTTGCACCGGCGAATTTTGTGCGACAATAAACTCAGATTGGATGACGCACTGAAGGTCGAATTTTTAAGTTTTTGCGACTTGACCTACATTTCCGAAATGCGGTTTTTATTCCCTCGTTGTTGTTTATTGAAATTTTACAACGGCTAATCTGCGTTGCCGGTAATTTCAGGCCTTTAAACTAGCATGTTTTTGATTTGATTATTTATTATTGCGATGTTTGCTCAGTCAAACACAGTTCTGATTATTATGCTAATAGAAAAATTCGACGAATTTTAATTATAATTTTACATATTATATGTTAATACTCTATTATTTATTTAATATTCATTAGATAATCATATGATTTGCACTAAAATATCATATCAATTTTCTAGGTACAGATATCTTGTTCGTTCACTGGAAATTTCTCAGTATAAACAATCAATTAATTTCTAATTTACAACGTAATTTCGATTACCCTAACAAAAAAAGACAATTTTATTTATTCTAAGAAAATACATACAAATTTAATATTTTTGCTTTAATATTTTCCTTTCTCTTAAGAAAGACAGAAACCACGCATCATCGAACGTCCCCTATTAAATTTTATCATTCGATCTAAAAGAGTTAGTGGCGTTTTTATCGACCGTAAACGGCCTTCTCGGGGAAATATTAAACAATTTGGCTACAAAGTAAATTTACGGATCCGTCCAAACGATGTCAAAAGGCCCGAATTGGTCTTCATCCGCAGCTCGATTGATCTCCACTCACTATACCGAGTTTTATTGGCTTCCAGCTGAATTTCATTAGTTTCAATTCGTTGATGTATCAGCTCAACCCCCGAGGGAGGGGTAGTCGAAATTAATTTAACGGTTTCCAATTCGACTGGAGCACTAGGAGATTGTAAAGCAAAATTTATTGTTTCGCTAAATGTTGATCAAACAAGAGGAAATTCTCACCGAAGACAACTAAATGTAGTTCGTTAAGTATCTAGTAGGAGAAGTAGAAAAAAACTAGCGGTTATGTAAAAATAATTTATTAACAATAACAATATAGGTACAAAATAAAAAAAATACTTTATCATCTCCACCCTATCCCTGTATTCTTCTCATTGAGCGGGACTTGCTCGGGCAAGATAATGGACGTGGTTTTATTCTTTTTGGACCAACCTCCGGATTTGTGGCGGAGCACTATCCAACATACGCCTATCGCAGATATTATGCAACCCAGAATGACCTCCGAGTATAGGAAATACACACCGTAGTCCGGCAGATTTTGCAGGAAACGCAGCCCTTCGGCTATTTCATCAGACAGATGGGCCGTGTGCACCACGTAGAAGATCGGCATTACGATTTTAGGCACTTTCTGGAACAGCCTGGAATGATTTTTAGTATTTAAAAGTTACTCGAAGGTTCTATGGAGAGAATAAATACAGTACAAAAGTGACTTTCTTACCGTATATTTGAAACAGGCTGAAGCAGCATATTCACTTGCATCGGTGCCTGAACTTCCATTATGATACCAGCTTTCTGGAAATTAACGTTAATTTTGATTATCATTGCAAAAAATTATCCTATTGATACTTACAGGTTCCACAATCATGTAAAATTCATGCAGAGTTTTATTGGGCCTCATGCCTTTTACGGAATCCCTGTAAATGGGGTCTGCATTGAAGAAGTGTGGAAATGATAGCATTGTGGGGGATCCCAAACGGCAGGAAGATACATTAAAAACGCCGGTGGGCATGCATTCGCCTGTACAAAAGCACGAATTTTCCGGGTACTCAGTCCCTAAAAAAATTATTAAATCTTTAGTGGTAGTATTACATTAATGTGGATTAACTTACCGTTATCAAACCCGTATTCTGCCGAGTATTTAAACCCCTTGACGCCTTTTACGGTGACGTCTTCGACGTAATTCAGTACCAGAGTCTTGCAAAGGTCTGAAGAGTAGAGCAAAATGCGATCTCTGCGTCTATTTAATGGTAGAAATTCACCGGCGGATCCTCCTATGTAGTTACAGTTTCCTTTGTAATAATCCATGTGACTTTCACCATTCCATCTGAGGATGGTGCCGAATTTCTCGTCGTTTTTGTAATACATGGCGTACGTTCCATCAAGTCCTGCGGTACCGTTTCTCTGTAAAAATATATGAGTTAAAAGTAATTCATTATTATCGTTTGATATTCATTTTACCCCGAACATGAAACCTCCCTTCTTCGGCGCTGACATTATTTTAGACAATAATCCTAATATAGGATCGTCGTATCCATCGTAAAGCAATTCACCCACGGATTTCGTAATCGATATATTTTGTATTTTCGACGACAGTCCAAACGATACTAACTTTTTAGCCCAAAAATTTTGAAACCTGGTAGAATAACTAATACTCTAAAACAAAAAAAAACAATTATATAATGATTTCAACGAAATTTTTATGGACTTGTTGCAGGAAACTTCATGCTGGTTCCTTCATCAGTGCTTTCGACTTTAAGAGACTTACTAAAGCAACAGGATTAATGGTGGTGATAACATCACTGAGGTTCCTATCGCTGGGTTTTCCGTCGAAGAAGGCTGTTGTTGTAGTGGCGTACTCGACGAAATTCTCATTCCACGTCACGTTGGCTTTGCCTTTGATTTCGTAGAACCTATAAGGCCCCGTTTCCGAAAATTCTGGTTTAACCTACAACAGAAAAACTTCATCAATACAACCACAGAGTTATTCAAAGAGATTCAAGTATCCAACGCGGAGAAGACAAGACTATGAACAGTTTACTTGACACAATTAAAAGAAATTACTATTACAAATTGCTTACCGATGCATTGATGTTACCGGCGTTGGTCCAATTGAAGAAGTAGTAATCGGTCTGGACCGGTGGGCTCCTCAGCCAGTTGTCGTAAGCCGGCTTGCCGGGCGCGAATTTCAAGTTATAGTTGATGACGAACTCGTAGACCGGCTCGAAGAAGATGATGATGCTGGCGCCGATGCATATTAGGACAATGCCCGAGAAGAGGAGGCAGATTTGGCAGCATTGCTTCCTGCTCTGCATCACTGGTCGCTTGAAGCAGAGTTAAGAATAAAAACGTTGCAGTAGAGTTATTGACAACTTAAAAAAATATATGAAAATACCTGATTGTAGATGCTTATTTAATATTAGATTTATCAGGTTTATAACCTGCAAATTTTGATACACTTGCAAGCAATTAAACAAGTAAATACTACTCGTACACACCTGCTTGTAAACTGGTAGGTAAATATAAACTTTTTATTCGAAAATTTTTAAACATTTTCTGAAATATTAGAGCACACGACTAGTCTCCGGAACCAACCGCATGATTTTGTACTGTACAAGAATATCAACGATCGATCAACTCTGTAATCGATAACAATTTAATTGAAGAGCGAGATAAGATTTCAACTTTGTAAGTTGAATCGTATTGATTTTTTTAGTGAAATTCGAACTTATCGATAAGATTCGCCAGACAGTTAGCGATTTTTTACTGTAAGTTAATTAGCTTAAATACTTGTATACATCTGCCGACTAACAGCGAAAATAACAAAAAAAATTTAACAAACCTAAATGGTAATCGGCCCAAATTGGACTGCTGAAATTGTTTCATTGTTGCTTTGTTAGGATTATAAATGTTTAAGTAGGAGTTATTTCCTGGCTTAAGGCCTTTTTAAGGCTAAAAATGAGCGTACGGGGGGAGCTTAAAGAATTCGCATGGTTTTTATATTGGATATTTTGTTTAAATATATTTTGTAAAAGTTGTTATAAAATTTTGTGATAAAATTTGCGAAATTTTCGAAAAAACTTTCCATGTACCTATTTGCTAAGCACAAACATTAATCAATCCGGAAAAATCTAAACTGTAGTAACTAAATTTCAGATAACATTGTTTAATTAGTTTATCAGACAAATCATAATCTTCCAAGTAGTTTGTCAAGTGCATTTTAGTAATACCTTTAATTTTGCACATTTATGCATGTGAATTAATTTCTGATTTGATCGTTGGGAGATTGTGCAGTTTAACATTAATTTAAAGCAATATATGTAATTAATGTATAATAATGTCCTTATTAAATCTAAAATGATTGCGATTGATGTTATAATTATAGATTGTATATAATTGATTATTTTATAGGTAGGTATCGATAAAAAAACGAGTCTACTAAATTTAATGATATCTTTTCAGTTCCTATTTAAATATTTGGAAAATTACCATAACATGATAATATAATAATGATTCGATATACAAGATTTAACTTTTAAGTCAACAGAAAACTGGTCAGTATTGCGCAAGAGAGAAATTTATTATAAAAATGTTTAGTGTGCCGCTACTAATTAACTGACGGCCAATTGTAAACGAAACTACAAAAAGGAATGCTACAATTTTTAGTAGAATTTATCAAAATTCGATTGATGTATTATAAGGAATTAATCAGAATTTTTGAAAAAAATAACAAAAATGCCACTCACCCTGCCGGCTGTTCCCTTGGTCGAAACCGATCGGGTTGACAAATGTAATAATTTCGATTTCTCCCCGGCAATTGAAACGCGTTTACAATTGTTCGGATGAGGTCGATGGTTTTTTTATCGCTCCCAAACAGGTCTCTGGTGCAGAGCGTGAATTATTTTGTGTTGTGGTCCGTTCGCTCTGACGGGAATCCCCACAACTCTCGCATACCGAACATAGCACAGAAGGTCCACTTGTGCGTTCACTATCACAGGAAGGGCCTAGGTATTTTCGACACAAAACCGATTACCGAGTGGGGTTATTTCGGCATCAAGAAATTTAGATTCATTAAATTTCGTGGATGTTTCCCATGTTCAATATCTCCATAAATTTTACCTGATGTTAGTTCCGCAATTAAAAATTATTAGTAGCTTACATGTAGATAATTAATTATTTTTTGTTCAATTACCATTTGAATAGTCGATAGATACATACCTATAGGCACTTTCTTAGGAACATATTAGATTCACAAACTTGGAAATACGTGGATATCTATTGAAACTATTATATATAGTAAAATTTTCAAAATCTATTGACATTTCGATCGTAAAATTCTCACACCATGAAACTACACTATCGACTTGATTATGCGATGTTAGGTTTTGCTCACATTCAGTCGTAGAAGGACCTCATTTTAACGTCCTACGATTTTTTGTTTCGATATTTAGTTTAGTATTCGAAGTGGTCTCGACGATTTTATTTTTCAAGAATACTTTGCTGGCGTTCTTCAATCTTATTTCCTGGTCTAATGTTGTGAATTTTAATTTTCTATTCGACAAAATGCTAATTTTAGGTTAAGGTTAACACGCTGCTTGCGCTGTGTACATATGTATGTGGAGAATTTTGTTTTAATTTGTAAACAAGTTTATTCATTTTTTAAGTTGTGAAAGTGAAACTCTCTTTCGGGTGCGCAATGGCGTTAAGATGGCGCCGATTTTAGTAAAATATGCAATTTTTAGCTGATAATTTTCTCTATTTACTGAATTATCTAATGCGTATTTAAGATTGTTTGTTCATTCTGTAAAATGCAATATATGCACCACATTTCCTACGTTTAAATGTACTGGAAAAAACACATTGCGATATCAAAGTTCAGAAAAAATTCGATAAACAATGTAAATTTAGAAAATTAATTGTGATAATTGGATAGATACTCTATATTTTTTAACAAGTGCAAATATTCCTTTGTTTAAATCGAAGGATTTTTTACACTTTTTAAATAGAAAATAATTTATTACTTCCTTATTGTTGGAATTATAATAATTTGTTTTTTGTCTAATTCGTTTAAGCCATTAATAAATCTATTTTTTAGTGTTGTTATTCAGGAAAGGAGTGGCAAATAATAAAAAAATAAAAACACATTTAAAAATTTACAAACTTCCCACGCAAGATAACTTAATTAGCAATAAACAAGAACTAAGATATTGAAATTACACGTATCACTAAACTTACTATGATATTTCCTTCAATGTCTCGATATCTACTCCAAATTTGGAAAACCCCAATGAAGTACCGCACTAGGAATGGTTTACCACAACCTGTGTACTGCACCAGTGCATCCGTTTAAACCGGTGCATTTTATTTATTTCAAATTAACGCTGTTGTCGTTTAAGTTTTAATCGCAATATAATATTATTTACCTGTTTCAGTGGACTCTGAAAGGCTAGAATACGAGGAAGACTCGATAAGTTTACCAATTGAAGAAATTATTTTGAAAAATCAACATCTTATATCTAAGTGCATTAAATAATTATTACTTTCATGGCTGTTTCTATTGTGCACTTGAATTTTATATGAATTGAATGAACAGAAATTGACTTATAATTTTGAAAAATACTTACTGTAGTGAAATAATTCACCAATTTCAAACCGTACTGTAAATTATTAGAGAATATACAAAAATGAAATTTGGTTGTAATAAGCACGTTTTTCCGTATTTATTCTAATTTAAATTATAATTATTAGTACTTACTTATAACACTGTAGGTATTTATCCCAACGCTACTGTTGCGAATAAAATTTTATGTCCGTACCTTTATTCACAATGGTCCATTAAAATCGAAAAAATAAATAAATACTGAAGAAGAACTGTATCGTTATCATAGGTTAGAAAGGTCCGTTTAATCTCACTGAACTGTCGCCTTGTTTGTTACTAATCATCATTTATCGACTCCAACTTCCAACCGAGATAAGTTCAAATAAATGGTTCAGTTTGGAACGAAAAATCTGTAAGTCCGTTACCCACTGAACTCTAGACATCCTACAAAGAAATGGTAATTGTTTATGTTGCGATAAAGACCTATTAATATTCGCATCTTTGTGTATCTCGGAAGAGTATTCCACTCTGTCATAATCATAACCAAACGCCGATAAAGTGACCGTATTATTTTCGTAAACCCAACATTGACTTATTGATAGCAGTTTCGGTATTTTATTAATGGTTATTATCGAAAAATGTTATTCGATGGTTTCCAAAATTGTATAATAATACATACACATAAATAATCGTGTAGTAAGTATTGTAATGAAATAATTAAAGTACACATAATCATGATGTAGTATGTTTTGTAATTTTTATTATTTTTAAACATAATAAAATATTTTGAATAAGTATTTTAATTTTCTGTTGTTGAGTTTTTTGTCGAGAAAATGGAATATTAACAAAGAAAAAATTTACAACAACTATTTACGTACCTTAGATGAATTAAAATTTTCTTCAATAGCAGCGGAAAATATAATGCGCTGTTATAATAAATTTTTATTGTTACAACACTGGACAAACATCAAATTAACGCACAGCCAAGAAAATTCAACTTTATTCGCATAACAATATTTACAAACTCGCAATCAAATGACCTGACAATAAATTTACACTCCGAATTGAATAAATTAAAATGCTCCAACTTGATATAAAAAAATTTAATCCTCGACGACGATCCTAACGATTAAGAAATGAAACAAAAAATTAAAGCTACTTTCCTAGCGGTATTTCCCCGTGTTCGTGCGCCTGCGCCTTCGTCGAGGCGCCCTTTTCGTTGATTTCGAACGTCCTTCTGTTCGACATTCGACACCAACAGCACGAGCACACCACCCACAGCAGCGTCAGGCAACCCAATCCTATTAGAACATAGAACGTGTAGTTGCAATATTCCGGGAAATTCTGGATCAACCTCAGGCTCGAAGCTATGTCGTCCTTGAGGTAGATGTTTTGGGTGAAGTAGAACAATGGCAGGAAGACCTTCGGCGATTTCTCGTAAAAGCTACAACAATAATTGTATATAGCACCTATAGTAATGTAGGAGTTTATAAAAAAAACTTACCCTATATTTGGTATAGGTTGCAGTAACATATTTATTTGCATGACGATTTGTATATCCATAATAACACCGGATTTCTAAAAAAAAAGGTAGCGTAAATTCGTCGATTTTGTGTTGAATGTAGGGTTCGATTACCGGTTCGATGGTGATGTACATTTCGTGCTTAGTTTTATCGGGCTTCATTCCCTTTATCGCATTCCTGTAATACGGATCGGCCTGATAAAAGTGCGGAAAGGACAAGAAAGTCGGCGAATGGGCCCTGCAATTCGAGACGTTGAACACCCCCGAAGGGAAACATTCGCCCGTGCAGAAACAGGCGTTTTCCGGCCTGGTGGTCCCTGAAATTGAAGCGAGCATTGTAATTGTGAATCGCCGAAGCGCAGTTAACGGACCATTATCGAATATATAATCGGCCGTGTACTTGTAGCCTTTGACGCCTTTGATGACCACGTCTTCGACGTACTCCAATTCGGCGTACTTGCACAATTGGTCCGAGAAGAGGACCAATTTGTCCCTTCGTCGATTGATGGGGTACAACTCCCCCGCGGATCCTCGTATATCGTTGCAGTGGCCCTCGTAGAAGTCCGTGCGGTTCTTGAAGTTCCAGCTCAACATCCGGCCGAAATTCTCGTCGTTGGCGTAATACATGCTGAAGAAACCATCCTGACCTTCGGTGTTGTTTTTCTGCAAGAGTTTATCGATTTTTTTTCTGCGCTTGCATTACAACAAGAAACATCGTGATCGAGAATCGTGAGTTCGGGCGAGTTATCTGAAATACGCCACGAAATCCACGTTTTGACTTACACCGTAGAACAGACCGAATCGGTCTTGCACGTTGAGGAACGGGATCTTTGATAGGGTGCCCAAGATCGGTTCTTCGTACCCGTCGAAGAGGATTTCCGATACGTTTTTAGTCACATAGAGGCTGGATACGCTGGATAGAGTTGTTGACGCCAGTCGCTTCGTCACCCAATCGTGATATCTCAGTTTATAGGCTATCGTCTGCGGAAAAATCGCTAAAATTTGATATTGGAATTTGTTTCACCATACGTATAGAGCAAAAAGTGCTACTTAATCTAAATGTGATTTGTCTTTCGATAAGTTTATTTTTACTTTATTGGTTTCCACATAGCAATCGTGTGGAAATAGTGATGGCGATTTTCTGACACAAGCTGAATATTCAAGAAATTTCGAAATGATTTTGCCGCAGTATCTGCAATAGAACACTCTAGAGATCATAGAGATGTTTAGTTGTATTACTTGGAAAGTTTTAATTGTGTAGACAAAATAGTTAATTCAAATTTCTTGAATAAGACGTAAACACTAATATTATGTGTGTAATTTCGAAACTTCATGAATAGATAAGGTATAGTATCTAAGTCGGAATAAGGCCAATCATTTAGTCATTTTTTTTCTGTTTTTAACGGAAAGTTTCTAAGGAGTTAATTATAATTGAAAATTAACTGGTAATTCTTATTTTTAGATGTTGTTTGATTAATTTTCTTCGACAAAAATACACCGAAACACTTTTCCTCAATAAAACAATGCGAATTTCTGCAATATCATTTACAAATTACAATTGATTATGCAATGGAAATATCCGGATTAACCAGGGGATACGGCATATGTAAGTTAAATTGGAAACATGAGATGCGTTTTAATGCATTCCCGGGAATATTAATTTACTGTGATTGCACAAGTTAAATAGACTTACTCTCAATTTGAAGTTGAAAAATAACAGTTTAATAAACAACTATCGACTTACCAATGGTACAATATTAATCATGGAAATAACATCGTTCAATTTCCTGGCACTGTTCTCCTCGTCGAAGAAATACAGCTTCTTGTAGGTGTAGCTGATCGTGCTGTTGTCCTGATGCCAGGCGATGCCGATTTTCTCCTTCACCTCCTTGAACCTGTAGGGTCCGATCTCCTCGAATTCCGGCTTGGCCGAAAAGTTGCTGATCTGCTCCGGATTCGTCCAGTTGAACAGGTAGATGTCCATCAGCAGCGGCGGCTCGTTCGTCTTCCACACCAGGTAGGCCTGCGACGTCGGCGAGAACCGCAGCGCGTGGTTGATGACGAACTCGTAGATCGATTCGAAGAACACGATGATGAAAACGCCGACGCCTATGAGAACGACGCCGGTGAATAGGAGGCATATCTGGCCGATCTGGCGGCGGCGACGCTTCATTTTCGTACCGCTGCAACAATTTTATTCAAACGGTTGTACAGCGGGCGCTGCGGATTTGCCGCGTTACTTACTACAAAAACTTTAATTCGAAAATATTATGGTATATACAAAGGAAGCGGATTTATCAAGTTTACGCTGTGTAATGTACGAATTATCTCTTGTTAGTTGATTTAAACGTGAAGACGACGACGATCGAATCGACACATGAATTTTCCTAGAGTTCATCCGAACCGATGCTCGCGTTATCGCATCAGCCGTAACCTTTTTTAGCGCAAACTATGACCTCTTATTTCATTTCAACAGCGCAAGAGATGGATAATAAGTTATATTTAATTCCGAGAGGAGAGCAATATATGATTATCTAGTGCGAAAACCCGGTTTATTAGGTGATTTCCGAACAACCATTGTATAGTGAAATGTTAACGGCTATTTACATTATCACTATTCATTCGGGTCAAGTGTACATATTGGTAGCATATCGATGATTCAATGCTAAATGGTGGTTTTATTTCCAGAAAAGTTGCATAAATGAAGCTAATATAATCGCTATAAATTTTACAAGTATCGTTAGAAAAAAAGACTGATTTTTTATAAATTTCTTACCCCAATGCCACATATTGGACTTGTAAATTGGATGCTGAATTCTTCATTTCGACCAATTTATAAAAAAAAATTGCAAAAGATTAGAATCTCTCGGAGGAGCGACAACAAATTCAATTCTTCTGGTCGATGAATAGATAGTGATTGTTTAGGATTTCAGGTAAAAAGGTAGATACAACTAGCTAATAAAAATCGGTTACAATTTTATCAGTGTAAATATGTAGTAAGTATCCTTATCAAAGTCTAATTATGACCGATTGATTGTGTTCTTGATCGGTTTATTATAAAAAGTGCATTAACATTACACAATTAAATAATTTTCTAACATGTCTACTAGCCCATTGGGGGAAATATACGCAAAAGATACAGAAAACTATTTATTTCAATTAGTTCATGCGACCTTTTTTATTCCTAGACTTCTCTTAAATACTTATATGAACTTGAATCGTCAAGTTCTATGAAATTGGAAAGTAAAAGTATTAGTAATTAAAAGGTTTAAATATGATTTATAAAGATAATGCTTAAAAAATGTAAGTATACATATATAATATAAAATAGCAACTCCATAAAGCAGTTTCACGACATATTGGTATGAAATTATTTAAATTGAATTAAAATATTCCACATAAATTGCATTTTTTTAGAGTTCTTTCAATCTAACTATTGGGTAGATATTTTTAAATAAAAATTATGTTTTTTTTATTGCCTCATTTTCTCCAAAATTATACAATCATTAATTCAATCAAAAAGTCTTATGAATTTACTTCCTAATTTGAATGTTCTAATTTAAACTAAATTGGTGATTAGTTCAAGCGATAATAAGTAATAAAATTAGATGGTTTGTTATTATCTTATCAACAATTCCTCATTCGAAATAGGCTTTCCTTTGTCGTGAATGAATCGATATTTTGCATTTGAAGAAAATCGCGATTTCTATCTTTGTATTATGCATTCCTTTGATTAATTATCTCGAAAAAATTTTAATCATTTCAATTTGAATTTTTCATGTCTGTAAAAAATAAGCAAGTACAGTTTCATAAAAAAAAACCTTTTAACTAATTATAGTACTTTTTAAATGTTCACAATTACTTAATGACTAAATTACCTATATTACTTAAAAACATACAAGATGAAAATTGATTGAAAACCCGGAAAGCATTAATTTGTTTATTATCTATTCAAAAAAATAATACATACATGTACACTCATTAATTGAACATTATATTGTCTAATCAACCAGTACTCATTTTGATAAGAGCATTTGTTTGTTAGATCAAGTTTAGTTTAAAAATTGCAAATACATAGCAGATAAATATTGTTATGTTAAAATGAATGAAGATAATTTTGCGCATCGGATGTTAGGAAATTTCAAATATTTTTATTAACTAGGAAGAATTTTTACGAATTTTGAATAACATAAACAATCGAAAAGCAAACAACAGCGGCGCGACGTTACGAAGGGGGATTACTCGCTAATTAGTCAATATTCAACTCACTTATTCCAGCTAACATGTTCGGCGGTGAAAAAAAACGTCATTAATTTATTGAAAAATTGCCGTTATCAGAAAAAAAAGCGACGAAACTCCGGAGTCATTGCACTAATTTAAATCCCTTTGTCGAAACGAATGACACGATCCGCGTTTAAACTCTTTCTAACTATGAATGAAATAATACATAATCATCTTTGTCCGCGTGTTCAAGACCGTTTTTGTTATCGACAAATTCAATTTTGCGCGCCTCTGCCGCATGCAGAGGAGATTTTCAACAAATTTATCGCGTTTATTCGATAATAGGAACAGAGTGCGTCCCAATTCAAGACGTTCAACAACTTCCTTCAATTAGATGGTGGCTAATAAATTGAACGAACGCGGATTTCTACTAACTCGAATAATAAAAATGCAGGTTGAATTACTTACTATAATAGAGCGATATTCTGTATTGTATGCAAAATAGTCATCTTATGCGGCGATTTCGACGTGCTAAATGCAGTGCACACATTCGCTGTAGGACGTTCTACTGGAAATGCTTCAAGTTCGTAGACGACAAATAAAAAATATCAAGAAACACGGATTTTCAAAAGTATTTTCTTTGGAATTCCGATTGAATTATCGAGAACGAAAGGTTGATTCGATTAGAAGAACGTGAACAAAAATGTTTTGTATTCTGTTCGAAAATAAAACTCGTACACTTGTGTAGTGAATAAATATATTACAAAAACTATTATTAAAAATTCGTTAAATAACTATCACATGATTGGTAAGGCAAATTGAATATCCCTTGTATACTTTGTTTTAAAATTTATGACGAATGTAAAATCTTATTGGTACATACAAAGTAAATGAATAACCCTGTATATTGTTTTTTCGGAAATTTTCCATCAAATTTTATAAACATAACAATTTTTTAAATAACTTAAAAAATATATTTGTATATATGCATATACAGGATGGTTCATAATTTTGTTACATTTTTAAATTGCGCTTTGTAATATTCCGCAATAACATAAAACAATTTAAATACGACTTTTATTTCTAATAGAAAAATAACAATAAAAAGAGTCTTAGCTATATTTTTCACATAAATACGTTAGATCTCCGCTCGACAGCCGAGCGAATTTGTACAAACCAAATATTGGCCAATAATATCGTCAATATACACAATGAAAAGAGCTTTTCCAAAAAATAATATATTTTTCGCTTCGAAAAAACTCTTCCAAATGCCGCCCCTTTGGAACCGGGCGAGGCTAACATCGAATTTCCTACATCATTTATATATCACAATAATTTCCGTTTTTGAACTTCCGCGCGCGCGCACCGCTAGATGCAGCTACTCAGTCACTCGGAGACACCATTCGCAAATTCGCAAATTCATACACGGGATCGGCTCTCACACCTGAAAAAGAAACAACGATCCAACGCATCAGTGATTCAGCGGAACCTCTTCCTGCGCCGGCGCCCTGACGATATGTACATTCTGTCGCTTCTTACGGAATACCTTCTTCGACCACATGGTATAGAACACCACCAAGAAGGATATCGACGCCACCACCATCAGCCCGATGCCCACCAGCAGGCAGATCAAGTCGAAGTTGATCAGGACCTTGATCATGAACGTCATCTGATCGGGTATGTCCACCTTTTGCTCGAAGTACAGAACCGGTATGAAGGCCGTTGGAACGTTTTCGAAGATACTGCAAAAGAAATTACTCGTAAGTAATTATCACACTACCTTAGTGTAGATTGTTGCGTACCTGATACCAGGAACAGGAGCCATGCGAAGGTTGAGTTGTAGCCTGGCTGCTACGCTCAATGGAATTCCCGTGGTCTGTATAATAAAAATTGTTCGTAAGTATAAAGTGTATTGTAGCGTTGGTAACAAACTTACCGGTTCGAACACCATGTAGAATTGATGGAGGTCCTCCTGTGGATTCAAACCGTCGACCAGGTCGAGATAGTACGGGTCAGCTTTGTAGAAATGCGGCAAAGACACGAACGCAGGCGACCCGTGTCGGCAATTCGACACGTTCAGAGCGCCGGAGGGCATGCAATCGCCGTCGCAGAAGCACTTATTCTCCGGAATTTTAGTACCTGCACAAATCCACAATTACACCCAAACACGCAACTCTCTCGCGGACATCCTTACCGTTATCCAGGAACTTCTCGCCCGCGATGAACTTGTAGCCGACGATGTTGTTGATCACCACCTCCTCGTAGAACTCCAGCTCCATGTAGCGGCACAAATCGGACGTGAACATCTTGATGACGGAGTTCTTGGTGAGCTTGCGCGGGAAGAAATCGCCCGCCGAGGCGCCTTTGAATTCGCCGCACTGGTCCGGGTAGAAGCCCGTGTGGTCGGCGAACTTCCATTTTTCCAACACGCCGAGGTCCCCGTCGACGCCCGTTTTCATGTTGAAGATGCCGTCGAAGTCGCTCGAGCCGTTTCTCTGATAAAAAATACGATGATAACGATGGAAGCGATGGAGAATCTTGCGTTACTTACGCCATAGAACCATCCGAATTTATCCATTCCTTTGGGTAGCAGGGACATTTTAGCGGCGCTGGTCAAAAGGGTGTCGCTGTAGCCGTCGAATAGCACCTCGCCAACCGAATGCGTCGAGTAAATGTTATTGAATATCGCCCTTATCGAACCGGAAAACAGCATCTTGAATCCCACGTGCCAATTACGAAGAGCGTGAGCCGCTGACTAAAATAAACCAATCAATTACTCGTACACCAGAGTACCAACAAACGTACCAGCGTAACAGGATTGACGCTGGTGATGGGATCGTACAAGCTGCCTTTGCTCTTCTCCTGATCGAACCACCATTTTTTGACGTTCTTGAACGTAACGGTGTTGTTATCGTTCCAAACTATATCGGTTTTCTCTTTGGTTTCTCGGTACACGTAGGGGCCGAGCTGCTCGAAGCGCGGCTTCGAGCTCTTGTTGTACACCTCCTCGGGATTGGTCCAGTTGAACATGTACAAGGTGAGGCTGACGGGCACGGGGTTCTTCACCCACATGTTGTAGGCGCTGTTGTCGGGCTTGAGCACCATTTGGGTGCTCATGATCGACTCGTAGATGTCCTTCGAGAAGCATATGGTCAGTATGCCGGCGAGGATGAGCAGGAAGCACGTCACGCTGACGCACAGAAACAAGGCGAGGGATCTCTGCGGCTGCATCCTGTAGGTAGTTTTCGCCTAAAACAGAAAAAAAAAATCGGGTTAGTCGATCCGGTGGAGTTAGCGGTACTCGTAACAATTTTGATGGATTGCCAGTGTCAGGGATTCATAGGGACATTTTGTTTTAATTCGTTCACATCTTTAATCCCGATTGACATAATAATTCTATCGCTAATCACAAAATTGGTGTATAGTAATAACTACTTACAACAATAAAAAAAATTATGCTCATTATAATAATTATTTAATAACCGATTTGATTGATTCGGTTGAAAAAAATAACGCTGTTAAATCCACCGCAAAGTGATTAAATCAATTTTAGTGCGTACGGAATGAAAATGCAATTAATTAGAGGCTGATTTAAAATAATTTTCATTTAGCTAGAGAGTTTCTAGACTTTGAACCCGTGTACATGTGAATATCACGCATTCACTCGCTATTTATTGTAGGTAATAATAATTGAGAAAATGTCCCGGCTGTTTCGATTCGGAACACACAAAGATTAATTTCTTTAGAACTCGTGGGCGGTATGTGTTCTATTTTTGAATATAACATTTTTTTTAATAGAACGAAGTGTTTTAGCACACGATTAATTATCGGATTACATTTAGAAATATCGGCGATTGTGTAAAAAAAAACAATTTTTATAGTTATACGCATCAATGAATTCAGTTAACAACCCAATTTGTAATGTTGTGATAAGATTGCGATAAAAGCTATTTTAAAAATCACCTTTATAAACAATAATCCGTTTGTAGATACGCCTAATAGTTTTTAAATTTATTTAATATTTTAAAAACAATTCACTTGTAATATCGTAAAAAACAGATAAAAGTTGGAGTAAACAATTTTATTGGGTTGTGGGAAAACGCAGCAGCTAAAATGCCACCGCACGAGGAACATCATAAAGGAAACAGGCATAATAAATCAACAGAAATAAATAAATACAGAAGACAAATGTAAAAATAACACCGCTAGAAACTGAATGAATACCATAAGTTATGAATTAACATGATAAACTGATTCGTTATTTAATTTATACAATGTAAAAGGCTAAAGAAAATTAGCAACTAGAAGAGGCATATGAATTTCTCAAACGTGTTTCGCATTCTCCTTTAAATCGAGGATGATTCCTCACCAGGTTAAAATAATTATTAGGACATTAAAGCAAACCTACGTGACTTTTTCAACGTATAAAACGCAAAATTACCTCGAAACGAATTAGCAATGAAATTCACAAGTCGTCCGAAGGATCTGACCTAATTTGATAGATTTTCAATACGATGAGAAAATGTTAACAAGAAACGAAAATATCCGCTTGTTTTGTTTAATGAACTTTGTTAGATAAGATATTAATCAGCAGATTAGTATATTTACGTCAATGATATTATTACCTGTACGATTAATGTTTTCTAGATAAAATTTAAAAGAGTGTACAATAAATGAAATTTGTGATTTATTTTTATATTGATATGAATTATTATTTCTGCGTAATATTGCAGAAACAAAACCTGGGGTGTTTGCCTTTCTAGTTTATGTACATAAGTAGATGAATAAAAGCGGATATTATTGTGTTATGTGGTTATTAAATAAAGTATTTAATCAGTTCAATTATTACTTAAAGAATACCAATATGCATGGTGTACAATAGAAACAGGAAACATTTAAACTTTACGTACAAAAATTGGTAGTTATGGACTTACTTTATAAGCGTATTTTTTCACAGAAAACACAAAGGGCTTCATTTTGATTGAGCCGGACTCGCGCAAAACTCGGATATATTTTAGCGCGCTCAGTCGACGCTCGCGGAAAAATTTAAACAGTCACAATGTCTCGCCGGGCGATCGGGAATTGAAATCGAATCGAAAATGTTCGCACGATCGCGGAGACGTTATCTCGGTTAGTGGATGTTGAACTCTGGACTCCGCCGTTGGAAGCGTATTCCCCCGAAAAAAAAAGAAACATCATCTACCTACGGAACTCGAAGAGTCCAAAGGTTGCCTTCGAAGCGTGATCGCCACGTGAACCCGGCGTATTTTTGGATCAAAGTGTAGAAAAACGGTGCACGACCGTCGAGAAGTACGCCCTGCGGTAATTGCCGTTAATTGGGCGTACGTGTGCGACGGTTTTCGATTTGTCGAACGTTAAGCCGTTGTTTCACTGTTGATTATTTTTTTATACTTTTTTTTTCGCCTATTATCTGTTATCCAAAGTTCAGCTGTTACTCATCGAGGGGAAAACGTTAGCGCAGGCGGTACTTCCTTATACGATTTTAGATGAAAGTTTGTGCCCATTCGGTTCCTTTCTCTGCGAGTCTTGGTCCTAATCAATTTAATATTTAAATGTTTTCTTGGTCTCGTTTTTTCATCAATTTGTTATCCTTTAGTTACTTTATGCAGATGCTTCTTTGGACACCTCTACAGAGCTGAAGTATTACTTGAAACTTGAAGCACTTTAAAATTAAAGTATTATTAATGTTCTCCTAAAGTCACCAGAGAAACTTTCCATTCTGTTGATACCCTTTTAGACTGATTATTTCCAGATTGTATCAAACAACTATTCTTCATTTTCTTCATGTTTTTTATCAACAAACTTCCTCTGGATTCTCCACTAAAAGAGTTTATCGTACATTCGTTTCAACACCTCATCTCATCCATATTTAATTAACTTCTTGAACTGCATTACATATTTATTACTTCTCACATGGTTGTAGCTCGGTGGAATTGTTTCGTTATGAACCATTCATACTATTGCATGGTAACCGCGCTCTCCGATTTAAAAATAGCGGGTACAAAGTATAAAGTCCAAAGTCCGAGAGGCAGTATTACCTGTAGAATCGTTTGTTGGAATGTTTGTTTTGGTTCCACCAGTTTAAATGTTTCTGACGTTCCGCACCGGCGATGCGGTGAAAGTGATTACCTTCGATCGATTTATTCGTCGATTAATCGCGAGGGAAATCCTGCCGGGTAATTAGTAATTATTATTTCGCGTGTCGCTGTAGTTTGAGGTTCGCGAATTTTGGTTCGGTTTTGAATAAAAAAAATCTAGTATGGTATTTATCTGTTAATCTCGCTCTCGGCAAAAAATTGTTCTATTGATCTCGAAGATATCGAATCGAGTATAAAAAATATCGGTAACGGTATTACAACAATAACAGTAAAATTTAGAAATAAACATTGCTTTGTTCGTGGAAGTTAATAAGTGTAGCAGAATTTTAAAAACTGTGTCAAGATTATTTAAATGTACCTAATGATAAAAATTGTACAGAAATTTTAACATAAATAAGTACTAGAATTACATATTAGTATTGATAAAGGATTTGTTTCCTTGTACACCACAATCATTTAATAGAAAGTTACGCGAAAAGCAAAGTGTAGATCGAGATGAATACTAATTTAAATCGCAGGAAAAGAAATTTAATTTAGTATGTACTATTATCTAACTATTTTTAAACATGCTTCATATAATTAGATTATCACATGCGAATTGTGCGGGCTAAATTACTGGATATATGCAACACACATAACACCAGTGGCTAAGTACTCAAACTCCTAAACCACCTACATAAGTATGCAACACTGTTAACATCTCATATAACTACACCGATTAGTTAAAGAGATAAAAGTAATTGCCATAAATTGTAGAATGGAAACCAATCAGTAAAATAGCCCAATTTAACGTTTATAGTTTTAACCTTTAACAGTTTTTGACATTTATCCATAACCTCCTGTATACAGAAGATAAATTTGTAGAACGAAATTGATAAGCAAGTACTAGTATTAGTTCCTAGCCTATACTTACTGAATAAAACAGAATCCATTCAGCAAAAATGAATTCTTGTGTTTAATTTGTTCACATTATTTGCGAAAAAAACCGCCAAGCACTAACCGGACTTGTAGGTTGTTTTGTCTCATAACCTATATCTCTATTTTTATCTCTACAATTTATCTTGTATATCAAGTAGTACTAACTAAGTAGTACTAACTAAAAGGACCAACTAAATATATGCAACCAGTTTTTCACTTCATATATCGCTTCGTGTAGGCATATAATGAAATATTTCGCTATGAAATCTAACTTCTTACATTATGTATACAATAGTTCATTACATTACTTAGTTACAACCCCAAGTAACGGGTAGTAAATCTTAATTAAGACGTAAAATAAAGCCAGTTCTGGTCCTATTTGAGGGCTACAGCTCCCTCTATAACAGGTACACAGTATGAACCCCATAGCTCATACATCAACCCTCTAAGTGGATTTAAAGTCTTTGTGGTTCGAAATCCATTTCAGCTACGCTACATACGGCTCTTTGACAAATAACAGTGTATTGTTGAATTAATAATATTATGGGGTGTATGCTATTACCTAACGATACAGTATGAATTATTTATGGTACGGTAAATAAATTGTCCCTTAAGATAAATAAACTGTCAATCATTGTTGTAATCACAACAAAGCGGTTTCAGTAATTAATAGTTAATATTTCCTTTATTAAAGTGGACCAGATAGTAATATTTAAAGGAACCCTTTAGACCATTTTAACATGCATATACTACAATAAATTTCATTCAAAAATTCTACCAAGTTAACCGAGCAATTTTTTTATATACATACCATTTCGAACATGTCCCATCGACAGTGAAGGCACTAGTAAAAAAATAAGCGAAAAAACATAGGTATTTAAGTCTGCGGACGAACTCTTGTAAAAAACTAGGTGTACTGACCCAGCAGACCTGTTATAAACTTAAAAATAAACATTCCGAATTGAAAATATAAAACCCGTTCTTACTAATTTATTGTGAATATTTTATTAACTATATTTGAGAAGTAATCATTTTAATGCGACAGAATTTGCATAAAATACACATTTACTTATTCAAATATCCGCATCTTTTATTTTAAAATACGCTATGTACTTTCGATTGTAGAAAAAAATGTATCATACCTATTCGTTCCGGTACCGCCCCACAATCAAAATATAACTGAATTTTGGACTTCTATTAATTCACGATGGCATTTCCCGATAACGAAGAGATCGAACACGGCTGTTTAACCTAATCGAATAGATAAACCCGGACCAACGGTGGCGATTATAATTTTAAGAGAACTAATAAATAACGCATACAAGTCAAACATGTGATTCGTTTAGTACCGCCTACGTTGAAATTAAGGAAACCTTTTCCTTCTATCCGACCATTCCGAATAGTTTTACGAGGTGATGCCGAGATATTGGGATAATTCGGAATCTTCCTTGAAACTCCTTTTCTCTTGTATTATGAATATTCCATGCTTCCAAAATGAGTTTCTGTTTGAAGCAATTTTAACGTATTCTCCAGCGTTTTCCAGAAATCCCTAAGGCATCAATCAAAATATCCGAATCGTTGAAATGTTGTAGAACAATACTTCAAGGCAGTCTCTAATCTCTAATCTCTAAGTGTAAAACTTACCGATGAAGTTGTAAAAGAAGGAGAAGAAGAAAAAGTTTTGGGAACAGGTGTTAGCTATTACTACCGCTTTTTGAGCTACAAACGCACTTAATAATGACCCCGTATAAATTCTAATGATAAAATTTAATAGAGGTGACAGGTCAAGTAGTTGAATTGTCGGCAGTTGAGTGACTTTTCGTTTTACTGTTTTGGCTTTCTTTTTGTCACAAAAATGCATTTAATTTACTATTAAATATATCTATTTTTACCCAAATTTATGAGGATATGCTTGTTTAGTTTTTAATATTTTCATATTCACCGCTAGAGTTTTTATCAGCTTGTCTAATTCATGCCAAAAAATTTATGAATCGCTAATAAATTATTCGAGTAATAGTAAACACAAATTATGTTCAAAAACTTCATAGGAACTTACCGAAGTAATGGACTAATCTCGTTCGAACTATTCACTAGTAAATATCACAAATTAATGAATGAAAATCGACTGTACAATTCATAAGCAGGCCATAAATTCATTTTTTTATCAAATTTCCTTCCTTCTTTCCTACAACACTTTTAAAAAATAACTCCACGAATCTTATCAGATGATCTGTGACTTCACTGTACATACCAGGCAAATATTTTGGAATGGAATGATTTTCAAGTGCGAATTTTGATACATTTTTATATTGTAAACAGTAAATGTTATCTCTTGTAAGGTAAATTTTGTGAATTCCGAAATGTGTATTGTACTAAATTTATCACATTCGCTCATCAGCGGGCCATAGAAAATTCGAAGGTGAAATTTTGCCGATGACAAATCCACATTTGCGTTGAATGTATATTAAATTTTCAATAACTCTAATGCAACCTATTTCGTGTTTTCATTTCATTCCTAATGTATGATTAAATTGATAAATATATGTAGGTATTTCCTTTTAGTAGATATATTAATGCATTTAGGGAATATATAATCACGTCAATAATTACTTGACTTTAAAATGTAATTAATAATTACACCTTTGGAAAATCTATTGAATCATGATCTTGTCTATCAACTAAGTAACTAAAGTAATAAATTTAATTAAACCTATTATTTAATAGCTTTATCTGTTAATAGTTTAACATTTATTAATCAAATAAAATAAAATGTATGACTAAAATTAAAGAAAACATGAATAAACCCTCGTAAAATAAACTATTAGCAAATTTACTCAATCAATTGGCAAACTTATAGCAATTATAGGTACTATTAACTGATGCTAATTAGCAATTATAAATCAATCATCAAATGGATTAATCTAACTAAATTACCAGTAGGAAGGTACACAATATTTTAAGGCATTCACAATACACTTTTCTTAAAATATATTCCGCCAATTTGCTTGTTTTCACTCCAATTCACATCCGGCAATTTGTATAATTAATACGTCCTTCGAGGGCGCGAATAAAATTAAATAATTAAAAAAATTTGAACACCTACTTGCAATTTTGGTATGGGTGAAAAATTCGTAGGCATTTTAAAACACTAGAATAGCACGCTATGTTCAATGGAATTATTACGAATACATCAGGCGATGGGTTTTTTTTAGTTTCCTTCTAATCTTTACAAGTCCACAATCTAGAAAGTATAGAATTGATAAGAAGCGATAAAGGTAATAAACGCGAAATTGTTATAGTACTTGACAAATTTTCAAGCGAACTATTGCTATTGCAATATTGCAACGAAATTAAAAGGAATTTAATGTTTTTGGCGCAACTCTAATGGGATTTCGTGTCTAATAAATTTTCTAGATGAGTTTATAGAGTGTAATAGGACTTACCGAATGCATGTAGCATTAACACTGTTAAGTGAATTTTAATTTAATGATTTCACGCATATTCTCATTGGTAATATAATGATTATGCATATCAGGACTGGAGTTAATTTTTTATTAATTCAATCCGATGGTACAGAAAGGTAAATCCGGTATTCGCTAAAATATAGCATTCTTGAAATATGGACAAATAATAATTAATATGTCATTAAGGTTTATTAGATATTTTTTTATTTGAAATGGTTGCGAAACCTATCTACAGAAACCTCGATTGTTTGGTTTTCTTGATTTAGATAATCTTGTTACAAACCTGGAATGAATTGAACACGAGAGACCAAGAACACGTGATATATGCAAAAATGTAGCATTATCTTTAATCTAAATGTTAAATTTTGCTGAAAATAATTTAATCGATGTCAGAGGTTAAATGAGAAAATTTATTTCGAGCAAATAATGGTATGAACCAATTTTATGTTAGATAATTGTATACCAATTCTGTTTATTATCAATATATGCACATAATAACAAAATGCGTGGACTTACATTGACCAAGGTGAACTCTTCATTTTTATACACTTTCATTTTGTCTACCGATAACTCCACGCATCGACTGCACTCCAACTGAAACAGAGAAAAATTCGTGTAAACAATAAAGCAACCCTTTCGAACCGTTTCAAAGGGGAAAAACTACACCTAATAGGCTTAAAATTACCGCCCCGTATGAACGAGTACGTTCGACCTACTAAAACACTGAAAGCGTTTTACTCCGCCAACTTTTAAGGCATCTAAAATTCATGCGATTAAGAGGGTTCGGTTCTTCAACCCTTATATTTTTTATATTTTACCTATTATTTTTTGATGACAGACGATCATTTAATTAGGCAGGTTTGTTTTGTGTAAAAATAAAACGAATTTAACCCTCTATTGTTCCCTTATTTCAAGACTATAAAAATTTCCTAATCGAGTGGGATGTGAAGTTCAATTAAATGGACTACAAGTTTAATACACCCTTTTACCAGCTAATTTATTGTAGTTGAATTTTAGTTCTAAACGAACATACGGCTCATTTAATGTACCATTAAATTTCCGCACAGTAAAGTCCGTTCGTTTTTCCGGCTCTCGCGTGTGAATTTTATCACTTTAATTCGTAAATTCAGCGCAATTGCGCATTTGAAATGCGAATTTGTATCAATTTAAGGACAAATTGACAATCACGCATCCCCATTTGGTGCACTTTAGAGATCCCATTGTCGCCTCTATATCCCGTCGATCGTCTTAAAATGTTTATCCGGAGGTGGAGAAAACCCACCTAAAGACGTCTGGCCTCGTTGCAGAGCACACGATGTCGGTTTCTATTAACTGTAAAGTAAAAAGCGTCCCACGTTCGATTTTCCCCGATTATAATCAACCCTTTTGAATCATAGAAGATGGGAAAAAATCCAATGGAAATTCGGTCGAATAGAAAATGTATTAAACATAGAATAGAAAATGTATTAAAGATCCTCGTCGCTTTTGACTTACGTCTCTCCCGCGGGATTATCCAGGATTTTCGTCCTCGCTCATCCTTACGGGCAAAACAGTTATTACGTAATCCGCTTTGCAAAATTGAGGCTCTTAAAATGTGATTTTTATTAAGAGAGCCATACGAGTTCGACCGCAATTCCATCGTTTAGATACGTTGTAAAAACGTCTTTTGTCGTAAATAAGTAGCGTAAAATTTAATAAAAGTCTGTATATTAACCTGAAAATTATGGAAATGTAAGAATCTTGTAAGAAGCTTGTACTTGAAGAAGTTCCATATTTAGCATCAAAATCATCGGTAAGGTTAGGAAGGTTAGAAAATATGAAATTGTGGAATTAAAAAAAATCCTAATAAAAATCTACATGAATACTCGTTTCTACCTATTACGAGTACTTCCTACATGATCGTAAAATTTTATTGTAAATTAGCGAAACTTTTATAGTGAAACGAACTCAAGGCTGGAAAATTTGGCGAATGTTCAACCCGTTTTATCGATACTACAAGTGTACTACGTATAACGTGGATCGACCCAATTCAGACGATTCAAAGACAACTTACTTTACAAGGAAAATTTGTCAACGCACAAAGTGTATAAAGCTTGTAATCTATAATGTAAACTATCACTCACAGTGTGCCGCATTTTCGACAAGATGTCGCACTTCAAACCAATTTAATTATAGCAACAAAGCGATATGTCTTGGCTCGCGCTCGTTTTTTCTTGTACTACGAATAATCGTGCAAATGTCTCAACCCAAACAATGTCAATGAAACTACGTCGGGTTGTTTGAGTGACGACAAGGAATATATTTTAGGAACGATTACAATTTTGACGTCTTTGAGAAATTTACATTCAGGATGTAGCCTTTTCGATTGTAATTGAAACCGTACAGGAAATCAACGAGGAATTAACAATATATTATATGTATACATGTATAAACCAATGTTGCTAATACATACAGATCGTCGGACATAGCTGAGGACACTAAGGTCATATAAGCACCCTTAATAGTGCTTATATAGGAATGAGTTCTTATTATTCTAAATCAGATTTAGCCAAAGTTTGGAATTATTAATTCTATTGTGATGATTATTAATTCTCGATTCAATTATTTCTATGAATAAATTATGTATTTCTTGATTAAATAATTGAAGTAAATTTACGTTGACGCATCTCGCTATTCCTCTAGAATTGTGTAATAAGGCTTTTTGCGTAATGTTTGGTAATGAACTTCAAATTTATTTAACTCATGTTTGTTTAAAATCGGGATATTTACATTTTTTTTGAAGAAACAGACACTTGCTCTCTAATGGGTCATAAAACACTTATGTATTTACAATAAATGAATGATGAGTTCTTTGTGTATTTTACCTACTTAACATAAATCACAATGTGGGTTTTTTTAATTAGGATGTTTTTGAAATCAATTGGATTTTTTTTTGGTTTGCCGTCATTTCTCCTTTATTGACAACCATAAAGCAAATAATTTGCATAAATTTATGACATTTTTTCAAATTTAATTTACCTAAACGTAACAAGCAAATTAAAAAACATACGTCAACTACCGAATTGGCTATTTTTAGCTATTATTAGCATTGTTACAAATTTTTACGCAGATAATTTAAATATAATAGAATAATTACATCATAATTAGTTGATACCTAAAAAAACAAATGGAAGTTAATTGCTAATTAAACAACGCTTCCAAGCCGAACGTCCACTTCATCTCGACATCGACAAACAGTTTAATTGAACTTTAATATTGCAATAGTTCACTCGTTAGATTTAATTTTCTGTGCACATTTCTCACGAATGACTCCAAATGCATCTGCCAACTGATATGCATTGCATTTTAAAATATAGCAACCTATCTAGCCTATTTAATTAAAATACTTGAAAGAATGGATTTTGCATTATTTAAGATTGTTTTAGCAATATTTTATTAGTTAAAAGCGAAGTTTAAAATGCGTTCGATTGAAAATTGAAGAAAATGAAATCGTAACCTGATAAGCTGATTTAATTTAAGATTACTAAAAGTCTACAATATTTGTTTTTATGATATATTATTAGATAATGAAATAGTAAAAAAATCATCGGTATACTTACATGATGGGATATTTCTATCCGATAGCGATTGTGGCGATTGCTTAGCGGCAAATAAAACGCAAATGAACGTAAAACGGAATCACAAGTACCTACTACAATGAATTAAAGATATTTTTCATTAGAAACATACACTCGACACTGTGCTTCTTATTTTGTCTGGTTATATTTTTCGCCAATGTTACGTACATATGTTAGATATCAACACATTGAACACTAATTACTTAAGTACGTAAGAATGAATCCTTTTTTTAAATTTTGTTATTGTCATTAACGCTTTTCAAACAATAAGTTTAATTCCATCCTTGAATAATTTGCATTCAATTAGCGATAACGCGACATATTTAGGGTGTCTCCTATTTTCGTTCAAACAAGGTCGTTGTCTTTTAGATTGATTAGATGATAAAAAAGAAAACTCTCTAATTGTTTAGATATATTTTTATTAAACGTTTTGATAATTTACGTTGATCTAATTATTAACAATATCTCAGTACCAATACATTAATATAATGTCGCTTATTAGTAGGTAAATAGTATATAGTTTCTAACATTTTCTAAATTTTAAATAGACTTTTCTATCACTTCTTTTTTTAAATAATATGTATTTATTAACAGTATTGGTCTAAATAGTTATTTATGCTTTTTAACGCTAAAAAGTAGAATTTTGAAGTTTAAAAATATATTTTTGTTTCATTCGTAAACATTGACGTTGAATTATACAATTGGAATATTAAATTTGTAAGTAAATTGTGTAATCAAATAACAAAATAATTGTTAACTGTAGTATGCATAAATTTCAAATAATTGCAACCAGCTATCACGTTTTAATAGCACTTGATAATTGAAATATATTTTGTAACGCTCTATTAGAATTGTTAATTACAATAATCAAAAATTAATACGAAGAAGTATAAAATATTCATGGTTTAATAATTTTTTATTAAGTTGATAGCTAAAATTGTAATTATTTCAATTTCGTTTCCGTCAGTTAAATCTAATTGGTCCTATTTAAATATCGTTTATACGGTTATATATCACAATTTAAATATAATTTTACTACGAACATGGGATATTAGAATAGGAGTTAAATTTTTGTACAAAAGATCGGATGGATGTTTTCATCATTGATCCACGGTTCTCGAAGCATCAAAATTTTAATAAATCATGCTTTTCAGTAAACAGCCGAGGGTGATTTTTCGAAAATTGCCCTCCACTCGTTTCAACTGAGCACTCCTTTTGCTAACTTAAAAGACTTTATTTCATCGTGCAGTAAGAAAATGTAATTTAATTGTGCTACATTTAAAAAAATAATTATCGCTAAGTTACAGGGTGGACCAAAATTTGGCGTTTGTGTTGGGGCACCCTGTACACTGTACATACGTTTATACTTGTTTATTTATTATTATCGTAAACCTTAGAATTCAACCTTCTATACGGCTTTTATTAATGAATCATTCTCATTGAGTATTATTTGAATATTAAAACAAACTAGATAATGAATATGAATTATGATATGCTAAAACTAGTTGTCGTTTATAATCTACAATTTTGTTATAATATCCATGCAAAATTCCTAATGAGGTTAATAAATTATAGATAGGTATTTAAAAATTTAAATTTAAGAAAATGTACCTTCATTTAAGCAAACGTTTCTATCTAATATAATGAATAAATTTGAATTAAATGTTAATTTTACGTCAGCAATTCAAATTGTAAAAAAATACACATTGAGCATCTCTGTGAAAATAAATAGAGTGAATAACATTTGCTTCGTGTCTCTGATGTTAGTACTTTTCTATCCGTAAACTGGAACACGAAATTTCGTTAAACTTTTATCGGTTTCAATCAATAATCCATTAATAATCCATGATTAAATGTTCGCATGGCGAGAGTGCAAACATTTCTACGAATGTATGTATGTTAAACGAAAGTTCCCTATGTTTATGCCGGAGCAAAAAATATACCTTTTAGAACCAACATGGATAATACCGAAAAACCATCAGTATTCTCTATAAATAATAGATTTTATCACGGTAAAATGTTCAAAATTATTATTCATGTATTAGATTAGTTTGATATTAACTTTTGCGTCTCATCGCATGTTCAAAAAAAGAGTCTAGGATCTTTAAAAGTGTTTATTAAACTTTACTTCTAAGTAGAGAGCTTTATAAAAGGGCGTCCTTTTAAGCTTCTTATTTCTTTTGAAGTCGACGAAAAATTGGCTTCGTTTGTTTGTTAAAGAAATATCCAGAGCTCTTTCTGAGTGTTTTGATATTTTATTTTGAAAAGAATCATGCAGAATGTGGCAGGCAAGACTTTTTAAAATTCAGGTAATGCATAAATTGTATTATCATACGCTCATACTGTTTTTATAGTTAATAATTTATGTTTGTATGAACTGCTAAATACCAACAATCCTATTATTATTGATTTATTTAGAGGTAATGAAATATAATATAAAAAATATTACTTGACAACAGCACGTAATTTAGACATTATACTTCGTAAAATACACACATTTAATGGATTATCGATTCGGGGCCGATTTCATAAATATTAACACAAAATATATCTAAAAAAGGTACTTCCATCGGTGGAGATTTTTATTCGAGCCCGTAAAACTTGTTAATATTTCGGTACTAAAAAGCGTATAAATGCGGCAATTTTATTCGAGCTTTAAAATATTTTAACAACGTACTGGAAAATATTGCTGCAGTAAATATTGTGGTCTAATTTATTTTTCTAAATCGTAAAACGGGCCAAATTGAAGACTTTTGTTAAAAGCCTAATTTATTGTTCCTGCCATTTTTTATCAATATATCTGGTTGATTAAAATGGTAACGCGACACATATTTTTGTGGTACCAACAATTAAAAGTTGTTAATGCTACAGTATTGTATTGTATACAGATTAAAATTTATAAAATTCATTGGTCTCCCTTTCAGCTTATCGATGCAAACGATTTTTATTATTATTACTCTGCCCCGGTTTCCCGAACGAGCACCGAAGAAACCAAACCGAACCCATCAATTGCACGAACCAAACAGAAATCTATTCACCTATTACATACAAAAATATTTATACTTATCACAACTATTATCAAACATCGGAACTTTTCAACCCCTCCAACAGCGGCGCCGTGATCTTCACATCATCCAAATTCACGAACACCGGCGATCCCCGATCCTCCTCCACGATCGAGCTCCTCCTATCGAAGCTGATCGCGCTCACGTCCAAGCTGTGCGAGCTCCACTCCGCCTTCGGCCTGTCCCTGTTCATGTCGTGCTCGAAGCTGCGCGACGCCTTCGGTATGGCGCCGGTGCAGATCGGCGGCGGCGGCGGCGGCGGCGGCGACGGCGACCGCACGCCCGGCTCCAGCGACTCCATCGGCGTCTCGAAGCTGATGGTCGGATGGAAGCTGCACGACGGCTGGGCGCGCCTCTCCGCGGCGTGCTCGAAGCTGATGAAGTTCCGGTGGCGGCCGAGCGACCGCTCCGCGAAGCACGACTGCCTCCTGGAGCGCGGCTGGTGGACGAACGGCCGTTCGATGTTGATCGACGGCCGGTGGTGGCGCGCGTAGTACGGCCGTTCGATGGTTATCAGCGACGGGCGGCGGTCCTTGTTCAGTATGGGAATGATCGAACCTGCGCGGATTATTAGCATTGGTTTATCGGACGTTGCAGCTTCGGAATTGGTCGTGCCGGAGTGGTAGAAAGTGCGAGAGATATGTACCTTTTCTATTACCTTTGAGGGAAGCCGTTGGACTGTGCTCGTTTACCACCAGGTGTTGTATGTCGATGGCGGATTTGACGCGTCTCGGCGGCGGGTTCAGCATGGCCACCGTCGAGCTGCCGACGAATACCGAATTCTGCCGGGGGCGGCGGATGATCGGAGACGGAAGGACGGACAGCGGGTCCGTCAACGCGTTGACGTTGTATTTAGAGAACGACATTCTGGCCTGGAATCGAAATTGATATTTATCCTGGGAACTTTTCGGTTATTGTTTCGTGGTAATTGAGGTCGGGAACGGGGGGCGGTTACTTAAGGAAATTTAATTAACTCGGATGTGGATTGAGCGGATGAGTTTTCTTTGTAATAAGGATTTTATGGTGTTTCCTTTTCGGAAATGCGGTAATTATAATTTTGATGGCGCAATAAATTTACATGACTTAATAGCTTTCTAAGGAATAATGTGTATATCTTACAATATTTTACATTGTAGTGTATTAAACGGATAATATAGGCGTAATTAATACAATAATTTTTATCACATCAAAAATCTTACAAACTGCTAAACTTTTAAAAGAAATATCCTTTCACTGGTAATCAAAATCATTGATGCTTAATGATAAACATTTATTTCTGATTACCCGGTACTATATTCAAAATTAGCAGCGATTTTTTTAATAAAGGCAACTTTACTTACCGGATAACGAGCAGATAAAATAAATGTTTACTTTGTAAAATATACCGAATGCGTGCGAAACGATTTACCCGCCTTCGGCCGTAGAAATGAAATTGTAATGTAAACGTACGGTTTGTTATTTTAAGGTTAATACGACGATATATCGCATTTAATGCAGGTAACTTCTACGTAACTACCATGCAGTGTAGCTAAAGTGCCTATTTTTAAAACCCTTATCAAAACATTTTGCTTATGAAATAAAAGGCTCTGCGAGATGGACCTGACAGGTCTACATGCCTTTCAACTTAATAAAAATACGGTGTTTTTGGAATATCTAAATTACAATTCACGGTGAAATTTATTTTAGTTGTAAATAATTTCAGGAAAATCACTATAAACGTCATTGTTGGTCCATAAAACTTAATGGAGGAATTTATTTGGAAAGCGGGCGCATCTTAGAAAGCTCCCAGAGGGTGTAAGAAAAATCCGCGCTCTCCGAATTCGAAGTAATTTCCCGAAGTAAACTGCCATTTGTTATTTTCTTCGCGCCTGAAAGAATTAGCTAAACTGCACGCTAAATCTACTAGATTTTCATTTTCATCACTTAATGCAAGCGAATAACACGGCATCAGGAAGAAGTGAAAATTGAATTAAATAAAATTGCTTAGAGCAAAAAACAGTGTTTGGTTATTCAATAAGAAGATGAAGGAATGGAGGGAGTTAAAGTGAAAGAAGAAAAACACAAAAGAAACGCCTACTGGCGTACATTGTACAAAATTTCTCCGACACGTTGAGCAGAAATCATTTTTCTAAAGTGCAAAGTTTTCGCTCGAAAGAATTCAGCCTGAGAGACAGATTAGTTCACCTGAAAATTAATGAAAATCGTCGGAAACTTTCCACCGCAATTCAAACCATAAATCACACCAAAATTTCTACCAATTCTTTAAATTTCTGTTATTTAACTTTCTGGAGAACCGGTACATTATGTACATACAAGTTACACCATCATTTCAATTGCCTGCGATTATTACTATACGCCTACTCAAACAAACTCGTCTACTAACTAATTAAAGCGAATTCCCGACTTAACCTTATATGCACCAATTAATCGAGTCATCCGAATTAATCGATTACCCGATTTACCCACGAACAGTACATCATTCTCCAATTACCTACAATCAACTAAAACGTAATTTAATCAGGTCGAATAAACTCCGGGAAAAACGCACTTTACATTTAATTACATCTAACGTTAATTAACCCGAAACGATTCGATGAAGAACTCAGGAACAACTTAGTTAAATTCGAATTCATTTGGGGCGGCGATAGCGACTAATTAGAAAGATAATCGGGGGAAGTAGGTATATATATAGGGGTAAAAGTTACCCGGAGTAGAATTTCGACGTCCAGAAGTTCCTCCGAGGATCAAATGTTAAATGCAAACAAATGAAACTTTAAGGGTTTAATAGACTGGAAGACGCAGTCTGTTTACGGAACGACTCTAAACGCTCAAAACCCAATGGCGTAACTAAATTATTGCTAATTTTGTTGACTTTATACATGTTTATTTCACAAGTAAATGCGTACTTAACGTGAGTAGATATTTACATATTATTGTAAACAACGTTAGGGGTAATCAGATTATTATAACAACCATAAACCCCGCCACTGTACATACAATATTTCATCAGGCTTCCTTAAATTTCGGGGAAAGTTTGCATAGCAGATTTTCGAACGCAGTCATTTTTAAACGAGCTTTCGAGCGATTTCATCGCTAATTATTATTATTCAACAAAAATCGTTTATCTCTTAAATAATGACGTTGCTTATCCGATTGGTTTTAATTAAACCGATACAATTACCACCGTTCAATAACACAATTACGTGCAAAAAGAGAACAGAGAAATTCCGACGAGTTTCGCCTGTGCTAGTGCTTTTGATCAAGAGCGTGCTCTAAGCCGGTTCGAAAAGGTAATTAAATATTACGCGTAAAACTAAAAACTATGCAGGTTTTTGGAAACTACGTAGATTCTATGCCGAAACAACCACTAAATTTTCCGCCCTCGACGGCGGTTTCGAAATTACCGACGAGGAGGCTCTATAAAAGGCTCTATTTAACCGAAACAGACCGCTCCTCTCTCGCTGGAAAATGATTTATCATCTTTCCCGAGTTCCTGAATTTTCAACCGTTCGAACCGCCCCAGCTCGCTCATATTTCAATTATCAAGTGCCGGTTCTGTGTGTGTGTGGGTATTCTATGGTGAGCTGCGTGCAGAATCTTAATGGAAACCCAGAGAAATTAGCGATGAATTGTACTGCAGGTAGTGGAATATAATATTGGGATTCTATTATTGATTTATTATTACCTTCTATCAATTTTATCTTTAAACTCCTAAAGGAATAGAACGGAATTGTGAAAAATTAATTGGATTTATTAGTTAAAGAAACGAGCAGTAAAAAATAATTGAATTGTGTAAGATACATAACGTAATAGGTTATCAAAATATAGGAATTTTTTGTACTTAACAGTATCTACAATAATCAGAACTGTCGAAATAAATTAAAGTTTTCTAGATTAAATACATTTCGAAAGAACTAAAATTTACAATCGTAAGCTGGACGAGTAATATTCCGTCTCGTTACCATGTTGTGCAGGAAATTGTAGAGAGAAGTTTATCGAGCATAAAGTTAGTATGCAAATTAGAGAAAAAAACGGTATATCCTTCTGTAATTGAGTCGTTCGTTGAAAATTGCAAATTCTACGTCACTGCAGTTTAAATTCAACGAGAAATTAGCCGGCGTTATTTCGGGAATTCGGCGATAATATTTCTCATTACTCTAATCAGGAATGTGTATCTCAAACGTAGACATGCCTGTAGGGAACGGATGTTATAAAGGAGAACTGACGAAGATACCTACTACATATAACAAAATCATCTACATTCGAATATAAATGATTAATTTGGAGGTATCATTTAGGATGTAAGAAGTGTTTCGTGTAGGGATAATGTAACAAAATTCGCTGGGATTTGAGCATCTTGAAGATTAATTGTTCCATTAAAATTCGCACTGTGTTGAAAGGAATCGAAGAAAACAGGATTTAATAAATAATTCAATTTTGGTAGCTCTTGGATTAATTAAAGAATTTAGTTGTTGCAGGATTAATTTATCCATTCAATAATCCCACTGATGATTTTATTGAAGAATATATTTTTTTAACACTCTTTCTGCGATTCCTTTACACTCGAAAACATGTATTTGAACCGTTCTAAGGCATCCCAAAAGCGCCATATCGGCCATCTATCTCTAGCACTAACTAGCAGAGACGTACTGTCGGAGCTTTCTGAGTCCTCGTCGGCAGAGCCGCGGCGGCGTTGCTGCCGATGCTCACTTGATTCGACATGACGGGCGGGCTGAGCGGCGCCAGCGGGCACGACGGCCGGTGCGGCTGCTGATGGAACTTAGGCTGGTAGGGCTCCAGCATCCGGATCTTGCCCCAACGGTTGAAGAACAACGCTATGGCCGCCACCCAGATGACCAGCACCAGGGCCACCAGTAGCACTTCTTCGACACGGACGACCACCACTGGAGCATCTGGAAATGTTGAGCATAATTTTGTATCTACATATTTTCTTCTATTGCAATGAAACGAACCAAAATCTGAAGCATCTTCCGAGTGTTACCGAAAACCGGGGGATATTTACTTTACTATTAATTAGTGCACATTCGACGATAGCATATCTCCAGAGCAGAATATGTCACACTACGACCGACTTATCGCTCCTTATCTTTAATTAATCAACGCAACGGGGAGAGACGTATTTCTTCCTGCAGGTGACTGGGGACGAGTTCCACTTGGCAAATGCATCGTCGACGTTTCGCGGACCAATTTGGAAAACGCGATCCGTCAGCAGATAAAAATTGATGAGGTTGGACGAAATATGCCGCTAATTAACAGCGAAATTACGCGTTTTTACTCTACTATTATAATTACGTTGTGCTCGATAATGGCTTGGAAATATTTGTGAGGTATTGAAAAAATGCATTAAGCGCCACAATAGTTCTTTGTATGTTTGTATTCCCTGAAAGCGTTGATAACATCACGGCTTATTTGAATAATAAATTCTATTCTTACGCTAGATTAAGGTCGTATCGCAATGCATAAAGTAACATGTAGGTTCATAGACAACGTAACTATAAGAATTGAGGTTGCGCCATGTATACCATCAAATTGGTAGCGAGATAAGAAAATAATAAAACACTTAAAACCGGAATCGGATCATGCCGGGGTCGGTCTCTGCGGACAACAATCCAACCGCAGTACAAATTACTCTGCAAATAGGATCGACGAAGGCCCTTTTTTCCACCGAACAGCTTGTTTCCAAAGGCCAGCTCCGCAACCGCATCTTTTATAATCATTGGCGATTTGTATTCGAAACAGTTTCTGTTACGGCCTTTATTGTATCTACAAGCACTGGACCCCTTGTATAAGAATGCCGAAACTTTGTTGGAATGAATACTACATAATCAAATATGTAGCTAATCTAACTGGCTGGAAGATAAATTACAAATAAGGAGATAATTGAATTGCAAATTGCAAAAACGCTGTAACATGCGGCAACTGGGAAAACTCGGGTTACCTTCCTCGTGTTAGAGAATTCGAGTGTAAGCGGGGAGTTTTCGTAGGCAAAACTTTCCACATCGTATCACTCTAACGTAATGCCTTCCGTTTAAAAGCGGGAACTTCCAGTTAATTTCGTTGGAGGTTCGGCCTTTCGCGGATTAAATTTTCCCGTATGTCGGACGGATTCGCATTTAAAGAATCTCATTTCTCATTGCACGATTCGACTTTCGAATTATCGAACTTTGTTTCATTAATGGTGTTTGAGTTTACTTTGCTGGAAAAATCTAGGAAAATCTGGAAATTTAATGCGATAAATTGGTCTCCATATGGTGAATCTGGAACCACATAAGACACGTATGAAGGGTGAGAGACAATAAGTATTTGAAGTTTCGGCTTTCAGTTTTGAGAAGTGGAGATGTGGGAGATAAGAGAGAAGTTTACAAGTTACTCTCGATTGGATGTACTTGAGACTTTTATCGGGTTTTCTTTCGGGTTTTCCGGCCACTCTCCTCGTGTCAGCGGCGTCGCCGATAAATCAAGCGACCGTAAAAAGTTATGTTTTTCCATACTTACTGTCCGCACTTAATTCAATCTCAATCTGTTTCAAACGAACAAAAAACTTGTAATGATCACAGCGAAAAAAAACACCAACCTCTAATACAATTTGCTGTCAGTTTTTTCCTGTTAAAGATAAAGTGTTAAAAAATATCAAATTTTAAAAAGTACACTGTAACATCGTTTGTATTCAGCACAACTTCGATGCCCTCCATAAATCGATCATCTCGGCTACTTTAACTTAATAAATAATTTACGAGTTTCCTGCTCGTTAGTTCGATCCGGTCTTTGGCGATCGCCGGCCCGCCAATTTGGCGTAAACCGTCGAGGAAGAGGTTCCCTAACGGCTTGGCAAGGTTTCGAGGGATCTTAAATCACCCAACGTTCGGTGATGCGGCGTAAATAACGCTCCCGTTCGATATACATTTTTCCCTTTTCCCGTTTTTCCCGTATAAATTAAGCGATCGCTTTAATTGAGTCGTTTACCTGCGACAGGATAATCTGGCGTGTTGTTGCTCAGTAGCGTGGTGGGGTAGCGCGAAGAACGTCCTGAAGATGCCTCTTCGCGTACCTCCACCTCCATGCCGTGAAAGCCACTGTGGCCCTGTTCCCATTCTGCAACAAAACACACTCATCAGAATTCCACGCATGCACCTGTTCGAGAACATATACTACATATTTAATAACACAACACAAATTCTGGTGGAAGAAAATTTTTTGCACTTAAGACCGTTCGTTATAGAATCCCTTTTCCAGAAGAATTTATTAAGTGGATTTCTTAGCCCTCGTTCTGGCACCTACTTTGTGCCCATCTGATTTTTTTGCGCTGAAAAAATTCCTCGGTTTTCCTTTTGTGCGGCCACGACAATGGAAGCGAAACTGATTGAAAACCGCACGACTTGTATCGAGAATTGGGAGAGAATAGACTCGGGAAATTGTTTCGTTGATTTTGTCGTTCGAGGTGACAAATATTGAACTATCATTCGGCCGATGATTTATTAGATTAATTCTCGTTTCTGTAGAGCCGCAGGAAAATGTTGTATTAGATGGAAAAATAAGTTTCGTTACGACTTGGGTTGTTTTAAAACGCCGGGGTATTTCTTTGCCCGGCCGAGTAAAATGATTTGTAAAGGACGAAAAATTGGAAAATTTATTACATCCTTCGATTGCAGCCGTCCGATCGGGTGAAAAAAATAATCGATCTGTAACCAATATCGATACGAACGTACAGCATATTTCATTTGTCACGTGCAGTTTTCTAAATCGTAAAGGCGCTCGGATGCTCGGAAATGATTTCGAATAGAACGGAAGGAGACAATTTAGCTATGGAATTATTGAAAAATTTGAATTCAGAATTTATTATATAAAGGGAAAAACTTATAATAAATTCGAATATTACGGCTGGCAGTCGACGTCGAGGCTAAAATAGAACCTAATTTATTGCCTATCCAAATAAGAAAATCTAAAATCAATTTCCCATACATAGTTCATTCGAACTCAAACGCTTACCCTTATGAAAACGAAACGAATTTCGCACTAAAACACATTTAAAAACCCAATCGAACATCTCCGCATTCAAATCCTCCAACGTTTATTCATATTTTCGAATAAACGCCGAGCAATTGACTAATCTAATAAGCGAAAAGTGCTGATAATTTACATGTTCGATATACCGGCGTGCACATGGCCGCTGACGACGTACTCCGGCGGCCGGGGCGAACGGGGCGTCGAGACGGCGGCGGTACCGGATCCAACGCCCTCCGGGGAAGTCGCCGTCGTCGTCGGTACGCCTGCGGACGATCGACGCGTCGCTTTCTTGGACCTGCGCGGGTCGGAAGAACCCAGGTTGCAACCTTCAACAAATTGGGAAAAAAATAATTAAAAAACTGGCCGGCGATTGTCCGATCGATATCTAGGTGTATGATGGAGTAATTAGTCGAAATCGAATTCGAATCGCGTCGACTGGCAATTAAAATTCGGCGTGCTTGTGTGTGTGAGTGCGGGATTAAAAGCCGGGGTACCTTTGACACTAAATTCCCAATGCCCGCATCCCTATCAGGTCCGTTTGGTTTAATAAATTGTCGATGTCGAATTGGGAGTTTTCATTGCTCGAGAGCTGCATATACATGTCAGGTGGAAAGAGATTTGCATTGCGCCTTCGTTCGATTGGAAAATTAATTTTATTGTTATTCGAAATTTATAGTGTGCTAATAAATTTTCATAGTCTCAATGGGCTAGTCACACTAGAATTTATTACGTAGATGACTTAGGGAGGTTGTAAATTTTGGATTTATTTAATTAATATTTTAATTTGTGCTCGAAATAATATACTCAAAGGTCTGAAACGCCGACAATAGGGTTAAAATAAACCCGGGGTTTTTTTATAAATGCAACGAGCATTGTTTTACACTTGGCGAATTATAGCGTGAAATATTGGGGTTTTCTGCTACGCGGAGATTGATGATGATTTCATAGTAGACTTCACAGAGAACCTTTTTAATGTAGACTATAAAGAAAATAAATTAAATTGCCCAGAAAAGGGTGCTTTTTTATTCGAATTTTAATTCGCATTAATTGAGATAAAAAGGAGTTACTTTTTCATCGTTCGCTCTAATTAAATTTCGTCCGAACAAGAAAAAAGTTAAATTTATAATTAAAACCGAACAGACGCATTTTTTTATAGGTTTAGAGCTCGATTTTTATTTATTACCCGTCTAAAAATACTAATAATTACTTTATTTCAATTCACACGCACTACTGCACAGTTATATTTAACGGCAATGTGTATTTAGATCGTAATTCAAGTTAAGAAACGAATAGAAATATTTATTCAACCCGTCAACCGGCTGGTTTAAAACCAGTATGTATCTATGCACTCTGGATTTATTTACGAACCAGCCGCACTCAGACTTCCGGCACGATTCGGTGGAAAATTCTTGAAACTGCCGACAGAATTCTGTGGAAAGTTGTAATAATTTTTTCATACAAAAATCGAAACGACCGGCGAAGTTACACTGTTGCGGCTCACTTTCGTGGAAAATTTCGGGAGAAATAATTTGTGGAAGTTCCATTAGCGTTATCGAGGGTGTAAAATTCCGTGGGGTGTGAAAAGGATAAACGCGGAGATCGCTATGAAATAAAAAAAATCAGTCGAGTGTTTACTCCGAATCGAACAAATCCATTAGAAAATTCATTCGAGTTTGATTCAATTTATCTACTGTGTACAAAACCTTTCAATAAATAAATTTATGCATTGTGTGACAAATGATTTTATTCAAGGATTGTTGAAAAATTCTTTTATACCTAGATGTAGAAGTATTAAGTCGATAAACGTATTAATTATAGAAAAATTACATGAAATTACGACCTTAAAAGTTGAAATTAATTAACTTGTAAAATATGCTATACGTATTTATTAATTACTAACATTGTTTGCGTTGTTTCTATTTTTTTATGCGAGTTAAATACACAATGGAATACAAAATGTAGGCACACAATGTGCAGAGAATTTTCCATTCCTGTTTTCATTTAACATGCTAATCGCTGCGCGAATAGTCTACATCTACATATCGAATTAAACACTCAAAACTCATAAAAAAATAGCATTTCGACATCACCAAGTGTTTATAAATAGGAATTAGGGCAAGTCGAACAAACCCTAAACTGTACAATTTTCTATTTACAGAAAGAAGCACTCGCCGTATTATTAAAAAAAGGAACTACTCGTACACTATCATTACTCTTTATTACCTAAGTGTTTCAGTGGAAAAAGAATTTATAAGAATATTTTCATAGTTTAAAAATTTTGTGGGACCTCCTCTATTCATAAATAACTAATTAAACTCACCTCAACTCAGACGTTTAAAACACCAACTCATACCGAAACATTACTAATTCAACTCGGCTAATTCGTACTCACGAAACATCATGCGTTAAATTCCAACAATTCAACCATACGGAATGCCCGAAACAACCCTTGTAAACGCTATTCATCAGTTGCAGACGCGCGACAAATCCCCCATTTTCTTTTTCCTTTGAACAAAGTGACCGGCTTCTTATTACCCCTTGCAATCCATCAATTTCCCCTGGAAAGCCCGGATCATAAAAACACATGGCGGCCGAAATGACACGGTATTGAACAAAAAAAATGATATATTTTTACGAGCAAAGCCCCCATATATGGAGAAAGGTTGCGGGCGCTCTATCAAAGAATAGGTGATAGCAAAAGCTATTTTTTCAGTATAGATAAGAACAAAATGTATTGGTTATAGATTATTCTTTATGTGTATAAGTGCAGGGTCCGAAATGAAAATCGGGAATTAAAAAGGGTAGAAATTATTATTATGTTTTTATAGGGCGCTCGCTAATGATAATCGAAGTGATGAAACACACGAAAAGGGTAAACGAGTTCCGGGTTTTTCGTTTCGATATCGATTCGTGATTTTACCGTTGATGTATTCCGTTTGTTGTCATTAGAATTTTCCGTATTTCCTCCGACGGCTTGTCTCTTCGATGTATCATTAATGGAAAAATGTCCTGTTTGTCGACAAATACGGAGACATGAATAAAACGGACGGCAAGAGAATATGGCGTTCGAAGATTAGGCGATTTAGATAGGATTGTATATTTTTTGGTGTCACTACTAGGTATATTAAATAAAGTTCGTATCTATCGTTTGAATGGATAATTCGGAACCAAACGTTTCGTTTATCCGCCAACGATTTATAAAGGAACTGAAAAACGCCATCAATCAATTACCTAATCGCCGAAACCGAGCAATCTTTTCCAATTTGCAGGAAAGAGAGGAATTGTAATTGGATTGGATTTCGGCTTTAAAATGAACACACTAAAAGCGCTTCATTTCTTATAACAAACGGTTTCTTGTTACCCTAACGATCCATCATATTCTTATTTCCTCCAAGCATTAAAATGAATCCCGACGAGCTTCAAAGTTTTGTGTGCTATTCATCACAAAATCTTCTAAATTTCGTATGCACATAAATATACATTTCATCTCGATATTACAATAAAATCTACTCATTAGAATTACTTCGTATTCACTATGATCATGTTAAAAAAATATGCCATGGATAATTTTAAAAATGGTTTGTTATTTGCGATGCAGCACCATTAAACAACATTAAGCGCAATTACGTCGGAGAAACTCGTGAAACCATTTATATCTTTGATAAATCGTCGAAATAATCCGACCATATACTACACGGTTTTTGAAGTAAATGCGTATATACACTTCGAAGGGATATAAAAACATGACAGATGAGAAATTCCAGAAGAATTATTCCTTTTCAAGACCTCAAGTGTACCGAAAAGCTCTCCGAACATTTACTTATTTTAAAAACGTGTAAGGGAGGCTTATAAATATTAAGTATTAACTTGTCAATGCTAAATAAATACAGTGATTGTTGTTTTTGAAGTGTACATACTCGACACAATAAAAATAGATAAATAATAGAAATAGAGTTTAATGAAATACCATTTTCTGGGTTTCGTTGGTACGTAGTCGAACGAATCAATTTCGTATGCGGGTTGAAAATGAGAGAATACGAAAATATAGAAAATTATTTCCTGAATTATTTCCTACGAAGGAAACTCGATGTCATGCTATATTTTTCCATATCGGGTCTTCGTCAGAATCGTCAGTATGCATGAATATTTAATTAACACCGAATGGCACAAACACATAATTTTACTGCTCACATAAAAAACTTTTTGATTACACGTAATTTGGCAATATTGTGCTTTATTAATACATTTTGCATACGCAAAAAGGAATTGAAATTATAGTTTTACAGCGAATAACCTACAACGAAGCATTTAAATGTATAAGTGTGAATATAAAACGTTCTGAATTGCCTGCTAAAATCCTCCTTTGCATAATTTTATCCCCGAAGTGAAACATTCGGATTTTCCGAAGAACACCTTGCTCACCTTACGAAACCCATTAGCATATTGTCGACATCTAATTTCGTGGAAGTCGGAGTTCATTAAAAAGTAGCGAAAGAGATGTCGAGGAAACCTCAACCGTTAAATTGGGGATGTAGAGAGAAAAAACCCGGACTTTTACGGCTGTTCTTGCAGTGACGTTTCCTTTTAATGACACTGCGGGATAAGTTCCAGGCTGGGAAAAATAGCGCCTTAATTGTTCTTCATCGAAGAAGTTTTTTTATACATTTATACTGAACTGTACAATGTCTTTACAAAGACTTCTTTTCTACATGAACTACAGTTAGGCAACCCAGCTTACACGTAAGGTATGAATATTTCTAGTAGAAGTATCACAATTTATTGTTAGTAAAAACATGTACTTTTTGAAGACCCTGTATACAAATTATTAATTTACACCGTCGCGAATTAATCTCGTTTTATAACTTCATATAACGTTTATAGCCGCTATAATTTGATCATATTAGAAAATTTAATTACCAAACACAATTTGAATGAGGGACACGTTTGACGAACCAATGTTCCGAGTCGATAACTTTTTTTAATTAATTATACCCCTCCTTGAAATTAAAGTGGATATTAATAACGCAATTATTATCAATATTGAATATTCTATTCCCAGCCGATGATCGATTCTACTGACAATATATAATCTTATAGTAATTATACGCAATTGGGTCACTGAAATTGAAAAAAAGCTACAAAGAATATTTCCAGTAATAAATTATATTATCATCCTATGACACGATTGTGCAGTGTAGGCAAAAATGACTTAAAAATATATGGAAAGTCATCTTCAAAAATTCGTATTAAATATGAGAGGACTTTCTCGACTATCTAGCAACAATCTCTTTTTCAAAATACGTGAGTCGGTTGCAGAAAACTCCCTCGTAAATCAAGAAACGGATACAACCGCGGATCCTCGACCCGGATAAAAAGAACGCGATAGATAAAGTTCAGTTTTACGAGTGTACATATCATCTCGATTAGTTCTTTTCCACGTTGAAGTTTTAAGTTAAACACCAAGTGTATTCCAGACGAGATGAAGCCGAGAAAAAAACTTAATTAACGGATTTATTAAATCCAGAAGTTTTTCTTCGAGACTTCGCTGCACCGGAGGATTAATCAATTTAGAAAATTTCCAAATTGGATTGAAAATTATGGAAAAATATGGTGCATTTTCAAGATATAAATATGAATTTTTACTTCTGGCAACATGTGTTAAATTAATTACTCAAACATTTGAAAAGGCTTGAATAAATTCTCCGGACAGTTATGTGGAAGTTGAATAGATCAATTTGATTAATGCGTACAACCGATAGGAAATTTTAGTAGAATAATAGCGGAAAAATAAACGACAGATATAAATTTGAACAGAAAATGTACGTATTCATTGCAATGTTACATGTCCAACTGAAATAACTCAATTATCATATGATATAATGCTTCAATAAAGCGTAATGCTGTAGTAGATATACAAATGCTCATATCCAACATTTCGTACAATTCTAATTGAACAATAAATCCAGACCAAATAATCTAGTCAAAAGTTTATCTATTAATAAACTTTATATAACAATAATAATAATATAATTTGTATTTCGAGCAAAAGAAACCATTACGATTACATAAAATGGCATTATTAAGGGCAAAGAATAATTTCTAGTAGGTGTAATTGAGATACAAAAGACTTTTAAAAATTCTATTTAAACAGCGACCTACTTATCTCAACATCTCTTCATCTTCGCAACAACTATGGGTGTTTTCGACAAACTAAACAAAGGACAAAGCGAAAAAAGGAAAAGCGCAAAGTCAAACACGATGGCGTTCTTTAATAAAGAAAAACTCGACATTTCCCTCTTCTTTTCGAACTCCGTTCGTTTTTCAGACGGAATGCGGACTTTTTGAAAGCGTGAAGTTTATTCGCCTAACTTTTTCCGGCAGGAAATAGAAGCGAATAAACAAGAAAATTCGAGAAATAGAAAAGTTACTAAAATAGTTCCCTCCTATGAGTAATGAGACTTTTGCTCAGTTAAACATAAATGTATACTTTAAAGTCCATTCACATTATGCCTTGTAGATAATTACTAACAAATGCCTACATATTTTTTTAAATCCATTTAACCTCCAATAAGACTAGAAAGGAGCTGAAATCGATTCAATTTAAATTATGTTACTGGACTACCCACTATATTAATTTACAAGATGAATAGAATTAATAAAATCATTTTCGTCAATTTTATCACATAAAGGGCTGGTTTTCTTCAGTTGACTTTTCATCAGCAAAGCACACTGTTCTAAAATATTAATTGAAACTCCAAGTAATTAGAACTTTGATTAAATCGTCTCTCCTTCGAGAGCAAACCTTTGATAGTGACATTAAGAGCGACCAAAGAAAACCGAGAGAATTGGCAAACTATCCCCAGTATTCCGCGCGGACGGCACATTTTTATTATTCCCAATCGAAGTTTGTCGCAGAAAAGTCCGGCTTTAATCGATTTTCGTCTCGTCGCTTTATGAAAAATTTTCAATTCGATCGTTTGTTTTAACCGTTCGCCCGAATCGAATTTAGATCAAAAGAAACGTCTCGCCGCTATCGGGCATAAAATTTTTATTGTCGGAGAAAAATTGAATTAATCTCGCGTTTTGAATTTGCAATAAAAATGAATATTTTCCGGAAATGTCCAGATGATTTTATTTTATTACCGCATATAAAGAATTTTTCATGGGATTTTTTAGGTATCTATACAGGGTGTTAATTAATTGTGTCCTTTAGGAGTGTACTTTAGAATATGAATATTTGGATGATTTTAAGAAGAAAACAGGGTGTAACAGTTTTAGAAAAGCAATTACTTTTCTTATTACTATACACATAAATATACTATACATAAAAATAGCTGGAGTAATAAGGAAATTATGATAGAAAAGTTATTTTTTTTTCTAAAATTTTAACACCTTTTAGCTCGAAAACTATAAGAGGTTTAGGACATATATTGATATAAATTTTTCTTCTTAAAATCATCCAAATATTCATATCCTGAAGTATCAGCACTGAATTAATTAACACTCTGTATGGTGTGTTGTTAGGTTTTCATGACGATTTTAAGAGGAAATTAATTAACGAAACATTTAATTACTCTGGCAATTAATTATTTTGTATGAAAGTTATTTGGTTATCATTATTTTATAGAATCGATTGAACATGTGAAATTAATTTGATACTATTTTTAGGTAGGCAATTGAGTGTTGTGTTCTACTATTTTTAAAATCAAATAAATATTAATATTTTCATACAAAATTTGAAATTAAAATTAAACAAAAACCTTAATAACCTAAATAACCTCTTACCTCGAAAAAAATCCAAACTTCAAAATTCCACTCCGACGCGACGACACATTTTTTTTATACGAACGCAATTTATCGAACACCCCTCATATAAATACTCTCCGGTTCGCAGTAGAAAAAACCCGCCCGAAAAAACCCGTTTCGAAAAAAGTCCCGCTCCCGTTGCAACGCCCGTCCTGACATGTGCATATATGCGAAAGCGCGGCGCTTCGAATTCGAACGTCCGGCGTCGCGACGGCTGAGGTAGCGACTGTCAACTTTCTCTTCGAGCGCGCCGCTTTTTCAACTTGCACCGCGAGCGCGCGCTTTCCTCCAGACTTTCACAAAATAACTGGTAAAGACTCCGAACATCAGAAGACCTGGTCATCAAGATATCAATGCTCATTGTGTACCTACAGTTATTATACAGGGTGTTCTCGAACGTGTTCTCTGGCACTAAATTCTAGGGGCGGTAGTTTGCATAATTTGAGACATAACATCCTGTACATGCCTGTGATAAGGATGGTATGGATGGTCCATAGTCCTACAAGACATCCTGATTTTATACTACTTGATTTTTTTTGTTAGTAATGCTCTGTGATATTGGAGTTAATTCGATTCCGGTGACGTTCAATTCGCGTCAAATCGCACGTTTTGGGTCGAATAGAATTGAAATTTCTAATTAACGTTGGTCCACGTGAATCGGCCGCGTCCGCGATATTCGCCGCCCTTAAAATAATTACCCACACGTTTCCTACACGCCGGCCTGGGACCGAAAGGACCTGTAAAATATTATGTAGACCTGTCATTTTCATTCCGTTTTGTTGCTGATGTAATTCGCATTGTTCTACGCATTAATGTCCATTAACTAATTATTCGGGCGTTAATTGAATATATTATGTTGGCTCGAATATCCGCTAAATGTAATTAATCAGTTTGTTTTGTCGTTGAAACGTATATTTATACGCACCTTGACTTATCAATCAAAAACATAGTTTTGTTGTATCATCGTACGCAGCTAAAACTCCCACAGAGATGTCGTCACTAATCGAGCGATTCTCTGTGAACTACATATAATAAACGTTAGTTAATAGAGGTACAAAAGGGCTACCAAAGTTGTGTGGAGGACCGGCCTTTTGAAAAATATACACTCGTTCGCAGATCTGTATCTATTTGACCTTTCCGGCTGTTCGTATCCCGCAGGACGTATAACGAATCGACTCGCCAATATAGAGCAACATTGTTAAAAGAGAAATATCGCTCTTACTATTCGAATCGAAGCGAACGGGACCGGTTCCGAAAACGGGAATTATTCTTTCATAATAGGGTGCGCATAAATCCCATTGAAATTGTGGCGAACAATTGGTTGGATAATTCCGATGAAACGCAATTCGTTGCAAATATTGATAATTGGATACAAAACGTACTGAAAACTTTTTACTTTTTACTGTTATGTAGTGAAGCATTGTTAATAAAACCAACATAAACTCAGCACAATAAATGGACAGAAAGATCGATTGTAAGCATGTTAAAAATTTTGGAATTTTTGTGGTAGAAGAGCATCCTAATTTTGAAGTATAAATGTTATCTATTTCCACACAAAATGCCAGTGTTCCCAATGGTTTCGTGCATTCTCGTCACGTTTTACGCGACAATCTCCACGAAGGATCTCGCAGGGACACTAATGAACTGTCTCACTAAAAAATTGATATAAAAGGGACGGCGTTGTTCAAAAATAACAAGGAGAAAGTGGAAAATCTCTGGCAAATTGCATTAAGATTCGAGTAAAATGTTAATCGTTCACTTTTGTATTTTGCTCTGGGATTTTATTAGTAAAGGTACATGCACTTAATTCAATACATTAAACCGACGATCTTTTCGTTATACTTCACTTCGTTTTAAAACAACTAGTGAATTCCACCGTTGTAAGGACGAAGGACTAATCTCGTTTGTTGTTCAATTACGAGGTGTTTTTTTTTGTCTAAATCTCTGCTCCAATTACAGCAAACGCTGTCGCTTTTAATAAGTTTCGGCCATGCCAAATAAGCAGGACTAATGGATTTTCTTCTCGACGGGGATGCTAAACCAGGACGACTTATTCGAAATAGCGGGACTAGTTTCTACGAGGGCGCGGCGAAATATCGCTGGAAATGGGTGAGTGATTTTTCGTGGATTTTTCTTTGTATGCTGATAGGTTCCGGATCGATTTATTGACGAAGGAAAGCAACAGTAAAATATTGATTGATGTAAATAATTAAAAACTATTATTAAGTAAATCGATAGTTTCATGCGGTTAATGATACTTATCTTCGATGCTTATTATTTTCAGTGTTGTATGACAGAATGTAGCTGTACTTTTACACAAGTAGGTTAATTGTATTTGAAGTTAAACTCATTTTATTCATCTCTTTTTATCGTTTTGTGAACATTAGTTTCATTTTATAGTAAATATTAAGAATAAAGTTGAAAACAATTTTAGTATAATTTAACGACTAATGATAATGTACGTAGTAACCATTTATTTCTTACCTATTTAGTCAAATGAACATTTTTATCATTTTTTTAATCTAAAATAATGATCTATGAACTTATTCGGAAATAGATTTATTTAATGTATTTGTAATAGGTTTTTTTGTAATATTTTTTTGCGTTCAAAGTATTAGATAAGTATCAATATCGACTTATTTTATTTTGGGTAATAATATACCAATATTATTATACTGATCTTGGGCTATTATTTTAAGTTACCTACGTCACTTAAGAATATTAAAGAATAATTTGATACTCACTAAAATTAGGATACTTTATATTCCGTTACCTAATACATACTAATAATAGTTGGAAACGATTATATTGGCTCTATTTTAGAATTGTTTCTTGTATTCAATGACGTGGGTTCGAAGGTTGCAACCATTTTTTAGCACTTTTATTATACGTATATTTTTGTATGTATATCCAGGTGTTTTTTATTATAAAATAGTACAAGTTTCATTAAATATTCATTCTAACTTAGCCATTCTTTAAATAAATTACCTACTCTTAATAAAACTTTTACCCTTTTTCAATGAATCATTTACATAGTTTTAATGGGACTCTTCAAAGAACTTTTCAAAAACTTCCTTTGCCAGTTTTCCAATACTGAATTTTTGGCAGAATTGCGATGAACTTCTTAATAAGCAAAGCACAACCGGCTTCTTCGAAGTTTAAATAGAAAGTTCCTATCTATCCACCCCTAAACGTGTGCGCATCGAATAAGCTCCTGAGGGAAAAACGATCGAGATAAGAAGTTTGAAAATGCGAATTTTCTTCGACGATGTCGCTTTCCCTACTTGGAAAGCTGCAAATATCGAGCGCTTAACTTGAATCGCTTGCTGATAGATAGCGCTGGATGGTGCATTTTCAAATATTAATGAAACTCGAGAAAATTGCCTCATTCCCTTTTAATAACGCAAGTAATTTTAAATTAAACAGAGTCTTGTTAATTGCATTTTTCGCATATTGTAATGAAAACAACTTTTGTAACTCCATCTTTTTAATGGGAGTAGCTTATTTAAAAGTTTGTACTTAATTTGTAACAATTTTTCTTGTAGTTCTTTTACGTGTTTTTTTTGTAAACAAAACTAAATGTAATTTAGCGTGGGCTTTTCGTGGTTTCAGGTACACTATTTGCTTATCATTTATTTCATATCTAGCGGTTACTCGATCGATTTTCCATGTAAGTATAATTTATTCAATACTACTATACTACTATTCTCGAATTAAAAAAACGCTTCGTTATCTATTCAACTGGAAAGTTTTTGATGGGGTTGAAAGACTCGAGTGAAAATAAAAATATAAAGACTATTCGAAATTTATGTTGATGGTATTTTTTCCTTTCGGAAAAAGTTTTTTAGGGATACCTCTGATGAATTCATTGAGAGAACTTTTGCCGTTGGGTGCCTGAATTAAAAGTCCGAATTAACGAGGGTTGGAAGTTTTCAAGCTCGTCAGGCGAAAATAATGAGATTTATCTTTCAAAGAGCATTTTCTAATCAAATTATGCAGTAACAAAAAGTCCACTTTTTCTGCCGAATTTGATGATTACATCTTACTTAGTTCTTACTTGATGATTACTTCTTAGATACTTACAAAAAATATATTCAAGTACCTACAGGTTAAGTATATTAAAATTTATATCTCAAAAATAGTATAATATGTTGTTTGTACAGGTAGAATTTTATTCTCTTGAAACTTTGATGGGGGTGAAGGATCCGAGTAAAAGAAAGGGAATAAAATGGAGGAATGGAAGATAAATTGCCACTTTAGAGACCGCTTCTCCAATGTTCTGTTCCTAATTCGTTTCGATTTAACTAGATGAAGAAAAAACACTTTTCCCTTTCCAACAAACGCGTAACGTAATAATACGGCACTATTTCTTTTTCATAAATAGACAATTACCCACCAACGATATTTCCCTTTGAAATCCAACAAGTATATCCTAATAGCACCGAACATAATCTTACATACGGAATAAATTTAAAACAACAATACTAATAATAAACATTTGGCCCTCTTTTTTAATACTGCTTACACACGAACGTGTATTTTCGGGTTGGGTGATTTTTATGAATAATAGATTTTCGGAAAATGTCAGCATTCTATTGATCTGGTTGCCTAATTTAATTCAATTTATCGATTAGACATAATAACACATATTTCTTCCGATGTCCGTGTTTTACCATTATTCAAACGAATGTTTTACCAATAATCATCCAAAATCATCCTTATTTTAAATAAAATAGAAACTTAATATCTACTTTTAATATAGATTTTTCGAATTAAAAAAAAATGCCTTACATCTCCGCCTTGTAAATATTCTCGAGTCTCGACTCGCTCCTTATTTGTTTACGCCCTTCGTAATGCCCTTTCTATATTCACCTACAACGTATAACAAGCTCAGCATGTGCACGAACTCCATTTTCTATGAATTACATCTCGAAAGTTTATTACACGCACACGGCCGGCGACTTTCCAAGTAGAAATTCCACTTGTTTCCATGGCGAGCCTCGTAAATTTTAATTAAGAAAACACCTGAGTGGCGGCCGGGAATTTTCAAGTAGCTGGTATTGTTTGTTTTATTTTTCCTCATTTTCCGGCCCGACGCTCTCCGATTGGCCCTCTTAAATCTTCGCATACTACATACAAAGTGAGCGCGTTTATACCTCAAATATAGTTGGAAGTCTCCTGATAAAGGTGTTAATTAAAAAATTGTTTATTGTGTTGTAAAAATAAATTTATTCATTTAAACAGTTTCTTGAGCCCTCGTGTTGTTTGGTACATACTTTAGGTATTTTTAACTTACACTTATCGAGCACTCGTTAATTAACTTCGGAGAATATATAGCGTTTGTTGTACAAGTACTTTTAAAAGGAATTTAATTTTGTAAATACCCTTTTAGCGGGCACTCTATTCGTCGTATAACGAAGAGAGGAAGATCGGCGAAAATAAGATAACGTTAAAAATAACGTCGTTTTGTGGAAATTCGACCGCCGTCGACGTTAATTAATTCAACGAAACCTTTTAATTACTTTTGTTTGTTTATCTCGAAAGCGCGACGGCTGGGGATTTTTCTAATTGTGATATTTTCCCGTTTTTCCGAACGAATTTCGCTGATTAATGAGTTCATTAGAAGAGGGAATTCTAGACGGGAACTTACTTATTTCTCTCTTAGGGCTTCGCCATTTAAATGCAACTCGAGTCGACACTGAAAATAGTTTTTCGTATCGATTTAATTGAATGAGTATACTGGATGTTTCAATATATACTGAGTGACAAAAGTAAAAGAACACCAAGAAGCAAATTTTATTTTTCATTCAAACTGTAGAGAGTGTGTACAGCACCACGGTGGTGCAACACATTATTATTTTTTTTTAAGTTTTGTTGTTAATTTGATGAATTAATTTTAATCATTTTTTAATTTTTCTCTTATACATGTAACTCGAATAAATGGTTAAATTTCAACTATTTTTTGGTGTTCTTTTACTTTTGTCACTCAGTATATTATGGAAAATTTATTATTTTAATTTGGATCCACCAGCATTCTCTGAGCATTTATATTTAAGGGCCGATTTCATAATAAAATGTCAAAGTAGCTATCCTTTAGTATAAGGAAGTTTTAAAATAAAGTTTTCTTAAATTTTATTCCCAATATCAAATGGTTTCATAATACAAGTAAAAGGTTTAAAAAAAAGGTTTAAAAGTTTAAAAAAAAGTCCCTTCTTTTCCTATACTTTTGATCTTCTAATATAAATATGTAAATTCTTTTTTATCATACAAGGTTGAACTTGAACTTTCGAGATTATTCATCTTACAAAATAGCAGAAAGCGGTATCTACAACTTTTTTACGCCATCTTAAACGTGTATTAAATAACTTTATAAGGCACTTTATAAAAGCATTAAACCCTGTAAAACTTCTCGCAATTTACCTTTACTACTTTACGCGAAATTAACTCGACCCGCTCGTTTTTCATGTGCCGTAAACTCCTTAAAAATTCACACGCACAAAGAGACATGTCTGCACGGGAGTAACCCGCACATCTCTTTGCCGGAAACCGAAAAAGCGCGGCGACGTCACGGGAAAACGCGAGGAAAAATAGAAAAACAACGCACCGGCCGAGTACCTACCTACATAGCGTCGCGGTGCATGCATAGACGACGGCGTCGACGCCGTCGCGCTGCCTTTCGGTAAAGCCCAACAGTAACGCCGCGACGCTCATGGACAAGAGGTCATATGACCTCCGAGCAATTACGGGAAGAGGAGAAAGAGGAGCCAAAAAATTACTGAGTTATTATAACGCCGAATTTGATGAGGCGGACCATCGGAGGAGAAGCGATCTTCCATCCGAGGAGTGTTTCATTTTAATTAAATTTTTTTTCATGGTATATTTTCGGTGAAGTGAATGTTGGCAGTACGAACGCCTATTAAAAAAATTAATTAGAGAGTAAGTTATTTGCTTAATTAGTAGTTTATAGTTTGGATGAATTTAGTCGACGTGTAATGCGGCTGTAGTACGTTTTAAATTGCTGTTTATCGATTTGAAATAGTCGATATTTGTTCATAAACACGATTACAATTGGTCTAGTGTGTCCATTAAAAAAACTTGTGGGTTTTATTCGCTCTTTAGTACAATTTTTAATTAATTTGTTGGGTAGAGAACGGTGATAACACCGCGTCAGGAGTATTATGTTTGGTTCAATTTAATTATTTTTTTATTATTACAATTATACATAAATACCGTTTTATTTATTTGGTAATATTGTATATTAACAATTACCTCGCTAATGATGTCGTTTGGTCGATTTATAATTTATTTTCAATCAATCGTTCATTTATTGACATTTTAAAATTTTGTTTGTATTAAATAAACTATTTTTAGTTTTTTATATTATTTATGTGAATATGCAAATTATAGAGACATTTCGAATCAACTTTAACATAGCTTTTAATTACACTTCAGTGTAAACTGTAATTAATAGTTTCTTAAACAGTTTATCTGTACATACGAAAAATCGAATTATTTACTAATTACTTCAAATATATCCACATTTCCATATTCACTCAAACTAAACTTTGCTAGTATATTAGCAGAAATGATGTTGATATTTTACTTCCTCGGATTCACACGCAATTGCTCTAAATAATTCACCTAGTACAACTGGTATATAGTCAAAAAACATTTTTTTATGTCATCCAATCAAGATTTAAGACATGTCTCAATGTCTTCTTCACAATTCAGTTTTATTTCAACCCTTATCTCATTATCTCCGATTTTTTTTCATCCTGTTGTTTTAGTACCTTCTTTAGCCAATTTCGCTTTATCACAAATTTTATCGTTGATTTGTCTTTACATTATCACAAAAATCACTACAACTGTTTTGCTGATATCATAGTCATTAAAACGATGTTAGAGAAAATATCTTAATACCCTATAATAAGACCTCTATAGACAAAAGTCGTTTTTCATGCAATTTCCCATAAATCCGGAAACAGGATAGTCGTAAACTCGAATGAAACTCGATTCCGAAAGTTGGAGGAAATTCGTTTTCCAGGGTTATGAAGTTATAACAAATCTAGTCGAAGAGATTTTTCGCTGCCTTGATAGATTAGTAATCACCGTGTTATACCTTCGCCTTTATTAGCACTCAAAGCAGTTTTCCGGAGGTCCCATTATTGGATTTCCTTCATCTTTATCCTTTCATGTTCGCGTTTTAATATTTTGTTCTATAATTTTAAATGTACTTACCAATACAGCGCTAATTATACTAATTTTCCTTCCATTATTACCTGATCAATAATTCAACGAAATACAAAAATTTTACTAGAAATGTCTGTTATTATTACTGTAAGATAGTATCGGATCGATATTTGCTTTATTTAAATACCCACACTATTCTATTACTACAACAATTTCAATGGAAACCCTTCCAGCAAATCCGATCTATGATTTATGATTATTACAGAACATTATAAAATTGCTATAGCAATTCATACCTAACATTAGTCCGTTTATCAGAGGGGAAAAACTATATTTACAGTTTTCTGTCAGGAAGAAAAGAAAGTAGGTACGTTTGAAAGGAGCAAAATTAATGATGATAGCAGAATATTCCCGAAGGATTAGCCTTCGGGTTTTCCGTCGTTTACGTTTAGGGACGTGCAAATAAAGCTCTCGTTCGCAATGAATTGGCCAATAAATAAAAAGAGTTAGTGAGAGTAAATTAGGAGTAAATAAAGGAAAAGTTTGACTCACTAACTCACTGACTGACTGAGTGACCCGGATAGGATACTGAAAAAAGGTTATATCTTAATTTGAAATGTTCATTCTAATGTCGGGCGTTCTTTTTAAAACAGGAGTTCATGAAAACGTAAATAGTCTTTTAAAAATTGCTCAGTTAGTTAAGAAAAATGTACACTCACTATTGTATAATTATAAATACTTTTTCATTATTTTCAAACAGTCGGGAAATTAATTTCTTGGAGATTCTTAATTTCCTGCGAAGATATAAATGCGAGTTTCATTAAACGTTCATTAATTCTTAGCATTACTTTTTTAAAAGGTCATATAGCTCGTGCACAATAAAAAAACATCCTATCCAACTACGTACAATTTTTCATCTCAGTTTGTTCGTATCTGTGAGAGTTCATTGTAAGCCAACAATGCGAAGCATTGTACAACTCCCAGAGAATATTGTAAAGAAGAGTATGTGTGTGTGAAAGGAAGTATGAAAGAAGACCTGCTGGATTTTGTCATTATGCGAAATTTCCTAAAATTTTATCGGAAATCTATATGGAAGCTTTTACTGTTAGCCCGAATGCTGATCAAATATTCATAAGAATAACAAGTTAAGAAACAGGAATCGATATTGCCGCCTGGAAAATTTCACAGATTCACTTTCTGTAGGATTTAATTCGTTCAACGAATGTCGTTAAATCGATTGGGAATTATTCATTTCGCATTTTTAATTAACGTATTAGCTCGAATTTTCTGCGGCTCGTGCGCAAGGCGGGGCCAGAGCGAACTCGATGATTTAGGAGACCAAATATTTTAGAATGAATAGCGCAAGAAAGGCTGGCTTTTACGATACCCCGCGAAATTGCTACCGCATAAAATACACCGTACAACAACAACAGAACAAACATAAACTCCGGACGTTACCGAGTACAAACATCGAAACGACGAAAGCTTTTAACTCGCACACAAAGTAAATTTGCCTTAAAGTTTCGAATGTTGCTGAGGAACAGAACCAGAACGTGCTGAATTCGATAAAGAAGTTGCCTGTGTAAATAATTTCGTTATTGTTATTTCGAAATGTTTGTTGTTATTTCCGAGCCGTACCGCGTATAGATATTGTATTTGATACCAGTTATTGATGGAGAGGTTTTAATAATAACGCGTCTTTGAGTCTTTGAATCTTTGAGTCTTTGAGTCTTTGATTGTTTGCATAGGTATTGTGTACAATAAACACGCTTTACTCAATATTATAACGCAACGTATAATACCTGTAGCTTTATCTTTCCGTTTTCCCACTTGTCAGGGTTGGCACGTTACAGTCATTAATCTTTCGAGATCCTGAAGCACAAAGGATTTGAGGTAGATGGGCCCTAATCAAAAGATGCATTCCTTCGGCTTCTCCAGGTGCACGTTTGTGCAACAGTTGGTGCGTTTCTATTGTATGTAACTAAGATGGATTTGAATTTTTACTATCTGTTTCATCTTGCACTACTCGTTCTATTAAAATTGTTTGTTTGATTTTGTTGGAGAAATTTGTAGAAAACTGGTCACATTTCTGGTAATACCCTGTATAAATTGCATCATTCTCTCGTCCTGCATGAGTTGAATAAACTAACTCTTTAAATTGCAGTAATGCGGTGAATATTTAAACAGCTTTCATATTAAACTGCGGATAATAGAAAAATCGAATATAACGTAATTTACAGGCTTGCATTTGAAAGGAGAAAATTTTTATAGGTTTTCCGGACATTAAGGAAATTGCTATATTGTGACCGGCTTTTCTGCCTCCGGCGTACAAAAGGTCTTCGATTTATGGACGAAAAATATTGAAAACGAATTTTTGTACCAAACGAGAAAATAACTCGATTTTTTAGATTGAAAATATTGCGAATGATAAATAGTTTTTCTTCGATATTCAATAATATGTATACAATATTAAGTATCAAAGTATATATAAATAGATTTAGATTTGAATATTTACAATACAAAAATACGCGGTGATCAAAGCGACAGTATTAACCCTTAACATGTGTATGTGTAGGTGTATGTCGTTTTAAATATGCAAAACACCGTCGGTATCGTTAATTAATTAGAGACCTAAAGGTTTGTAGTTTGTAGGTCGACACACGGTGACCGTGCATTTTATTTTTCGAACGGACGGACGGCCTTCCGTCACGCGATTTTCTGAAAAAAGGCAAAGAGACATACGCCCGACACGCGGACGCATTTCGCTGGATTTCCCATGGCATGACTTTACATGATTTCCCGTTGCCGTGAAATGTGCATTTTAGCGTTTTCTCGGAGACGGCGTGCACTAGACCTTTTGCTTTCTAAAAGTCGAGCGTTTCGCTCTACTTGGCAAGGAAATGGAAATTCCGCTAATAAATTTTCTCCTAATCTTTGCTCGAGATTATACTTGCAACGTTACCTTTCTCTTTCTCTGTCCATAAACTTTAATAATCTTCCGTATACCGAAGGGTGTTTTTTATTACTCAATTGTGCGTTGTTGCACCTTGAAACACGCATCAAAATTATCGAATGCACTTTTTTAGCCCGCTATAAAATTTCCTCTCTAAGCAAGCTAGAAAATTTAAATTTTCAACAGATATCTTCCTCATATCTTCCTCATATCTTCCTCATATCTTCCTCATATCTTCCTCATATCTTCCTCATATCTTCCTCATATCTTCCTCATATCTTCCTCATATCTTCCTCATATCTTCCTCATATCTTCCTCATATCTTCCTCATATCTTCCTCATATCTTCCTCATACCTTCCTCATACCATATCTTGGCATTCACCAAATACCTATCATTATCCCCATTGAACTCCAAGGGTTCAAACCGCCTCTTTAAATGATACCACGTTCCAAAAATAAACTTTTTATTAGGAGAAATTCGCCCCTTATTCATATATCCCCTTTAGAAAATTTGATATTTTAAATAATAATTCTCTTTTCCAGTTAACTGGCTACCTATAACGATTTCATGAATTTAGCGTCGGTTTTCTGTGCGTTTTCTCTTTTGAAAACGTTTTAACGTTGACGAATTTCGGTAAACGAGTGTTTCCATCGGAGCTATTATGTCGGTAGGCACAAAGCGAAAAGCTAATGCGGGTTTTTACGTTTTCAGAAACGCCGGAAATTATATTTCTTACCGGCGATTCCGGTTCCACGATAGGAACATGTTTTATTAATGTCGATATCATTTTC